TATAGTAGAAAGCTATTCCTTTACATTTTGCACTCTTATATCTCTTATCTTGCTTTATATCACTACTTAAGCTTAGTTTCTCATTTCCGCATACGCGCGCGCACTTTCCCGCGCTTCGCGCTAATACGCGCGCGCGTTCCCGCGCCTTTGTACCTTGCGCACTCCTGCGCTTTCTCGCGCTTCGCTTAAGCGCACACTTCTAGATCCTTGCTGCACTCACTTCCCCTATAGGGTCGAACGCACTTGTCTCCTCAAGCAACGCAGACTAGGCAACGCGCGACCTATCAACATTTATAGATACTGCCAGGAGCATCATTTGTTCCTAGTAGTATTGTTGTTTCTACAGCGTTGTTGCTGACAATGCATGCTTCTGCGTGGGACTGGACAACTGTGTTATGGCACCCAGAGCTTCGAGTCTCCATGTGTAACGTGCATGTATCTTTATCTTTTGATTTCATCAGTGTTTTCATATCGAGAATGTGCGATGTGAGAACACTGATGTGATTTTCGACATTACTGAGGTCCTCTCGCACAGATGACATGTTGGAATCCACTTTCCGCATACGAACAGCAAAAGCATCCTGTTGCGGACATTCTTCAGCTTCGGTTGTCGAGGCAATTTGTTGGTGGCAGCTTTTTCGCTGTGTTATCGGAGGTACACTCAAATCGTGAGGCATACCGAACGCTGACAGCACTGCATGTGCCTTTTTGACAATATTATTATAGGCTTCAATGGTATGACACACTTCTGCTCACCCATGCTGAATTTGCAGCTCAGTCGTCATCCTGGAGTGCCCGTTGCGTGCGATTTGCGCTCTTCTTGCTTTTGTACGTAATTGTTTGTTCTTCGATTCCAAACACCTCCTCAATCCTTCGTTTCGAAAGGGATTGGCGTGAGGCATGTTCCCCTCGTTTCCGTTTCAACTTAGGCCTGAATAAGCTTTACCAAGAATTAGGTACACGAGCACTGATTCAGCACACACGCCGGTGACACACCTCAGCCACTCGTCTCGGTCATTGGAAAACTGACGAAGTCTGTCCAACATCTCCATGCGATTGCCACGGGTTGGCCTGTCATAGCTCTTGAGCTTCTCGTGTAAGTTAGCCTTCGTTGTCTTCGCTGTTCTGTTGTATTTTCATGAATTAAATCAAACATGCTGAAAGGGGGAGAAATGTGTGACATACACTGTCCAAATGAAAGATTCAACTGCTTGTCCTGGTGTGTACATTTGACCAAGTACGGGCAGTTCGAGCTCTTCTGACTCTGAGTGATGTTGAGACATGGTGACACCATGAACTGTAATGGTAATGTATTTACGTGTCAGTTTCAATGTTTAAATTGAATCAGGGCATTCAAGTTAGTTTGTTTCCGTGCCGGCCGAGTGTTTCAATTCTCGATCACTTGGTCTAGACTCTGAACCCAAATTTTCTATCATGTCCGAGTCCCTACTACATGCCTTCAAAGGTGCTGATTTATACTTTACTGAGTCAAAACGCATCAGTATCGAGGCTGCAGAAGAGGATCAGATCGAGGAGGAGGAATCTCTCCTCAACAGCTTTGATGTTGATGACTGTGAAGCTGCCGGCACCCTTCGGTTCAGTACTACAAACACTGCTGGTGGCGAGGACAATGTGAAAAAGAAGAAGCCTAAACGCAGCAACAACCAGTTAGCATCTAGTTTGCAGGCAGCATCAGAGGGAGTGGTTATTGGTACAACACTCTCCGACTACCAGAGGTATGGCATGGGACCAGCGAAAATTTCTCAAATCTCACGCGTGTGATCTCTCCAGATACTGGAATCAGTTTAAAGAATTTTGTGTCACCATTGACAAAGCACAAGTTGCGAGCGAGATTGACAATCTTTTTCCGAACCTTCCAGCTGAATTTCCAACGTGGATCGCGCTATGGATCATGGATAAGTGAGTGCATCAAATGTTGTGTTTATTTCGTGCTAAGCTATGGAATCGAGATGCGACGAAAACGATATATGGACCGGGAAAGCAAAGGATCCCAGTGTTCCACGTGCAACGTATGGCACAGCACAGAAGATGCGTGCCGCCATAAGCCACAAATTTGGCAGAGACTACCAGCTCGGAACACAGCCATGGCTGGAGCACCCAGCTATGCCAGGCAGATTCATCGGAAACCCCTCACTTTCGGTGACAATTTCACAGTATATGGTCAGTCTTCGTCGGCGAAAGGTATTGGACTTTAGCATCATGAAAATTGGTGTTGGTGCTGATTTCACGCTATAGATCCGAGCAGGCGAAGCAGTAATGAGTGCTCGCGCGATGGATGAACCTACCATGAAGAGGCTCTGGGAATTTGCATGGTCCACAGACCGAAAAGAATTTGGCCCGATCTCACGCAAACGAAAGGCAGAAAATCCTTCTGAATGGGCTGGATTTTTGCTCTGCGAGATGCTTTATTTACTCTACCTTCTCTCCATGCTTTGCCTGCTCCGCTACGACGAAGCATTGCGGATCACCTGGGCCGATGTCACATTCCAGGTTCAGGACTTGCTGATAAAAAACCACTGGCTCGATGCAACTCCCGAGCTTTTCATGTCACAGGTCAGCTACCAACCTGCACAGTTTCGAGTGAAGCTAGAATTACCATTTCGAAAGACACATCAGTATGGAGGTCAGTGACTGTATGGGCTGTTGCCCACCTTACGGCTAACCTCGAACCCATAGGCATAGCCCCATTTTACATCTACGCTGATCCTGACCGACCGTGGATGTGCTTGCTGCGAGCATTCGCTATCTGGTGGCTAATAGCTCACGAGAGACACAGAGAACTCAATGGGTTCATCTTTCGCAAAAAGATTGGTGTGGACAGCATTAGTGTGAGCCTGACGGACTGCATGGTGAGCTCAAGGTTAGTAGTCATCAAGAGAATTAAGGTTGATATGTTATACTCAGACCTCGGACTCCTTCCTCGAATGCTTCCGGAACAATCTCCTCGACATAAGTGTTGATCCGCGTCCATACGGTACCCACTCGTTTCGTCGCGGCGGGTGTCAATTTCTGCACACGGTGCGAGGCTGGTCATTTCGAAAGATCTGCGACTGGGGTGGGTGGGCTGAGAATTTCGACAACCCTGGTACCATATTCAAGTACCTCTTGTCTTGGAACGACAATCCAGCAGAGGCTCGCGAACATTACATGAACCCAAACAGGCCAGGCTGTGACCCTTGCTATAGCTGCGGAAGAACTTGTCATTGTGGTTAACTAGATACTTACAATACATGTTCTCGTTGTGTCTCAACTAGTGAATAAGTGGTGATATAAAAAATGCCGTGCATTGGGGGCAGACCCATCTACTCGTGGTTTATCCGACAGCCGTGGCCCATTGGATATGCCCATCTGTCAGGGTGCACAGGTGCGCACGAAGAATATCGTTTGTGACAAAACAATTCCCTATAATTTGATAGTAAGTGAAAATTGAGAAAACTCGTCCAATAGAAGTTCATACCTAAATCCAATTGGATCTGCAGCGACTTTCTTCAGTCTGTCAGGGTGCACAGGTGCGCACGAAGATATCGTTTGAACAAACGAGTTCAAGATGGCCGTGGCCCCATTGGAGATCCCCAGTATCAGGGTGCACCTGCCTCAACACTGCGACAAAGGTTAGACCCGCGACGAAGAAGTAGGAGGACGTACCAATGCGCTCGAAGATGTCGTTGACAAACGAGTTCAGGATGGCCACGGTCCCATTGGAGATGGGCACATATCAGGGTGCACCTGCCTGAACACTGCGACAAAGGTTATAGACCCGCGACGAAGAAGTAGGAGGACGTACCAATGCGCTCGAAGATGTCGTTGACAAACGAGTTCAGGATGGCCACGGTCCCATTGGAGATGGGCACATATCAGGGTGCACCTGCCTCAAACACTGCGGCCAAATTAGACCCGTGACGAAGTTGATGTAGAGGTAGGATGACGTGCCGACGCGCTCAAAGATATCATATGAGATTGGCCTTGTTGGAGATCGAGAATCGAGAACCCCGTATCAAGGTCCACCTGCTTCTTTGTCAGTGGTTTTTGCAGGTGCCTTGGAGGCAGTCAACGACGTCGGTCGTTCCATTTCTCGGGCTGCTTTTTGATCCGCGAGACATCGATCGGTGTCGATCGTCGGTGGTCGAGGTCCAGGCGCACGTGGAACGGTATTGGCAAAAACGAGCGCAAGAAACTTAGAAAGGAAGGCGAGCGCTGTGGCTGAGTCGTCACGTGACAAGTTTGCAGTCTCAAGCGAGGACTGCAAACACTACGGTGTCCGCAATATTTAAGACAAGTCTGAATGTCGTGTGAAATGTCAAGGCAATACTTAGTATTTAGCTTGTCATGTAAGCAGATATAAAATTTCAAATGTTAAAGAGATCTTGCGTGACAAGAAAAATATAAAGCAATAGCGAACATTTTGTTGCCGGCTGAATGCCATCAACAATAAGAAATATAAATACATCTTTAATGCTGGCCTATACTTCGAAATGAAGCTTCACATTTAAGACTCCAAAAAACTTTAAGCATTGCACGTGACCAAATGCCTGCTCATAATACGAAGTTTGGGCCACCACTTAGACGGGCGTTTAAATTTAAAATACCCCTTGACAATAAAACGTGAACATAAAACATCAAGTTTTGTCTCCAGATAAAATTAATCGCCCAACGATCGCCCGCTCATCGCCCACTTACAAGTGCACGAGTAGAGTTCTGTTCGTTTGAAGAAAACTTGTACAATTTTTTTCGCATCAGAATAAGTCCTTTGGGGTCACAGACCCCATGTTGGACATGTTTCGTCATATGCTTTCGGTATACATGTATTCTATAATAGTACAATTTTTTTCGCATCAGATTAAGTCCTTTGGGGTCGCAGACCCTATGTTGGACATGTTTCGTCATATGCGTTCCCCCGTACCCATGTATTCTAATATTCTAATAGTACAGTACAGTAGTGACACAAAATAATCTAATTGTCCGTGAATGCTAAGAGGACATCAGAGCTGCACATTAAACGACAAAAAAGATAGCTTACCACTTGCTTTGGTAGTGAGAAAGTCAGAACATGCCGCGTCAAGATTCTTCTTGAATTTCTTCGTCGCTCCATTGAATTTGAGTCCATGTTTCCAATGTGTGTTGTTCACCGGACCATTGTTGTCGGATGAATCGCGGCGACGAGAAACACCTTGTCGGATGTTTTCAAGGCGTGTCTGGAACCAGCTTTCGCATCGAGCAGACCAAAACCCCACATCCAACCCTGACCCAGCCCAGGCCTGCGGCCTAGGCCACCAAGACAACTTCTCTATGCATCCGTTGTCTGATGATTCAAATTTGAGCGCACTACGGGTCAATGTGAATTAAGAAAACTTACTTGTGTATACATAATACGTCCCACAAATGAAATCGACCTCCTCTTCCGATAACTCGTCGTCAAAGTGAGTCTCGCCGTTGATGGTGAGCATTTGTCCAAATGGGACAGCATCCCGTGAAATGCCGATGAGGGCCGAGGGGAGGTTATCGAAGCCAAGGCTATGTAGTGCTAGCTGCCATAAGATCCCACCGCGAAGCAGAGCAGCTCGTGCACGATCTTCATTCATGAACTCGTGACGGTACTGCTCATATGCGATATAATCAGCGTAAATGGCCTTGAAGGGGGGCCGGAAGTATCCGAGCGAGAATGTACGAAGTTCGCTGAGCGGGCGCCTAGCCTCAGGAGAAACTGCCATGGGCTGCAGTGTCTTGAACGTGATACCTTTTTGCAGGAGCTTGAGGGCGATGGTCGAGATGTCGGACCCCCAGTCACGACGGAGGCACATTACAGCTGTAGCAGCGTCAGGAACCACGAGTTTCCACGGGATGAGACTTCTTGATTGGCTTGGCTGGATTACGTAGAGTCGCTCCTGGCCGGGGATGTCGAGATAGCAAACTCGAATGAACACATTCGACGCCGACAAAAGAGTGCCAGGTGCCAGGTCCCAGTGATCGGCCGGGATCTCAGACAACTGCGACGTGGGGAGGGTGACAAGATAACCCATGAAGCATGTAATGACATGCTTTTGCACGTCTGAGATTGAGTCGACATCCTTACCTGAATCTCCGACAATGTTGCAGACGTGGTTGAACTTCTGCTTCTTGACCCAACTTTCAAAAGCGGCAGATCCAGCATTGGATCTGGTGGTCCCACCGTTGGATCTGGTGGTCCCACCATTGGATCTGACGGCTCCACCATTGGTGCTGGCGCTGTTATTCTGCACCTCACTGGAGGTTCCACCATTGGGTCTGGAGGTTCCACCAATGGATCTAGTGCTTGATGCCGTCAGATGGAAGCCGAGGTGAAATCGTAAGTGGGTTATGAAGCGTTCAATACCCTCGGTGTAATCGGACGAGGCTGCAACCTCATGACGCCCGAAGTAAGTGCGAATATCCTGCAAGAAGCTGGATAATGATGGAGGTACAGGGGGAGGTGGCGGCACAGGATCAGGGATGGGGTCCGGGAAATTGAACTGGTCTTCTTCCCAGTCGCCGTCGGGGGTGCTGGTGGGATCCAGCTGATCACACAAGTCCCACTCATTTCTGAATGAGTCGTACAGCCTGGTAGAGTTGCTGTAGTTCCCCCAAGTCCCCGATACCTCAGCCTTCGTGAGGCGGATGCGAAGTAAAAAGCCCTCGAACTCGTCTTGAGGTTGCCATTCGAATACCGTGGCCGTACTGGACTTTCCAGGAAGACTATGATTCTTCGCTGCCCGTTCCCGACTCTCACGTGATTGCCGTTGAGAAGGGGATTCTTTTTCCTCCTTCTTCCGATTTTCCTCGCGGCGTCGCGTAAAAAAAGTCTTCCAATCTTCTCCCGACTTTTGGCCACTGAGTCGTTGAGGGGCCGGAAAGTGAGGGTCCACTTGAGGATTCTCAGGTGCGGTTCCCCGTCCAAGAGCAGGCTGAGTTGCGTTGGCATCCCACCCAAGGGCAGGCTGAGTTACGTTGACATCCCACCCAAGGGCAGGCTGAGTTGCGTTGGTATCCCACCCAAGGGCGCTCCCGCTCTGAGTTCCATCATCCCGCTTACCCCACACGTCATCATCCTGGCCCCAGCCATCATTCTGACCCCAGGTGTCATTACTTACGCGCTGCGCCTCGATTGCACGTGCGACAGCTTCCTTGGACGGGTTATAGTGACGCAGCTTCGCGTCGAACGCAGAGTTGTTCTGCTTGCAGTGAACCCAGACCGGGATTGAGAAGCGTTCGAATATAGGGAGCTGTAGCTCCCAAGGGCAATGGACAGATGATATGATGACGCCGGTGCGCGGAACTTTGGCCGACAGATCTCCGACAAACGAACGCGATAATTCGTGGACCCATTCGGCCGGTATGGGGCTTCGGGGGTTGTCGATCAGAAGAGCCATCCAAGGACGGGTTGATCCGTGATATAGACGGCTCATGATGTGCCATGAGCACGCAGCAGCGATTACTAGACATGCGTCAGTTACGGTGAGATTGAAGATAGGTTCACGTACGTAGGAATGCATTGCGCGATCTTAGTGCGACTTTCTTAGCAAGCTTCGCGTCTGAGTGCGACCTCAGGTACCCATATTGAGAGGGAGCGCGTGGAAGCACAGTGCCCCATGGAATTAGGAGTCCAGCTCCCAAAAGCTCCTGGCACCAGAGCAACTTCTGCTCTAGTTCGCGCCATTTTTCTCTAATGTCGCGATGGAGAAGGTGCTTCCCCTGGCTGTCGACCTCCGTGTAAAGGGAAAACATTGAGTGGTTTAGACACTCAAATATGGGACCGTCGAAGCTAGGATTCAAGGGAACGAGAGGAAACCATGGACGAGCTGCATACGCCCAGCGAGTAGTGAGGGGTGAAGTGCTGTCGTCCGGAGATGCGTCATGATCGTCCCGGGGGTCCCAGACTGGCTCGTGAGGAATGTCGTCGGGAAGGGAAGATGCGTTGAGGGAGGTGTAGATCTTCCCCTCACGCACAAAGATGTTGAGTTGGCCGGGCATGGCGTTGATTGTAGACAGTATCACAGAGGTACAAACCAATGTGTTGAGAGCGAGGAAGAGTAAGCACTATCACAGAGGTACAAACCAATGTGTTAGAAGGAGGAGTAGTAGGAGTAGGACTATCACAACGGTACAAACCGATGAGTTAGAGATGATGGAGAGAGAGAGGAAGGAGACCGACCGACCAAGCTTAAGTACCAGGCTTGACAATAAAATTGTGTAATCATTCCACAAAACCGCTGCGGCCACCAAATATCGAACTCCGGGGTAACAATAGACGGGACAAGTGGAGAGTCCACAAAGCGTTGTGTTGGTTTAGGAAATGACTACCACAACAGTACAAACTGCTGTGTTAGTTTGCAAGGGTAAGACGATACTACAACCGTACGAAACAGTTGTAGTAGCGGACTATAGGAAAGGAGTAACTTGAGACTTTGGCGAAATTTCAGATGCGCGACAAATAGTTACAAATACAATTATGTCATCATTGTAATTGTCAATTACAATGATGACATAATTGTATTTGTAACTATTTGTCGCGCATCTGAAATTTCGCCAAAGTCTCAAGTTACTCCTTTCCTATAGTCCGCTACTACAACTGTTTCGTACGGTTGTAGTAGTATCGTCCCCTTAAGTTTCCGACCTTGGTGGTTTGTACCATTGAGTTCCTCGCCCCCCGATCTCTCTGAGCCCGATAGTTTGTACTATCGAGCTCATCCTAACATTGAGCGCCCCGACCCCTCCCGCCTCATTTTAGGTGGGCGACTTAATCTCAGATCAGAATGCTGACGTAATATTATTTGCAGCTGTTTGTCTCGCCATCTCACATTTCGCCAAAGTTCCCAAGTTACTCCTTACTGCTACTACAACTGTTTCGTACGGTTGTGGTAGTATTATCTTACCCCTGATTTTTCGAGCTCGATGGTTTTGTACCGTCGAGATCATCATTCACAGATCTCTTCGAGTTCGATAGTTTGTACTATCGAGCTCACTCTCAATACACTCGTTCCAACGTCACTACTCTTTCGATGGATTCATAGCCGTTTGGATGGGCGAGCTCTGCTTGCGTGTCCACCCAGTCAACTTGACGCCCGACGATGCGGAGACATGTTCGGATTTGGATAATCCTTAAGAATACCCTCCGCTAGACCATACGTAGGTGCACACGTGAACGACCAATTGGTCACCCACTTAAGGCAAGCCTGGGTAAAGAACGATATGGCCAAGCGATCGAGGTACACTTGGCTCTTCGTTTGTACTGTTGAGCTCATCGTCCATGGCCCGGGGAAGGGGTCATATATACACTGCGTAAGTATCACCCAGCACACCCATTAACTCACTGCTGAAGGGGTTATACACCGCATAGGTTTCACCCAGCGCAATTCGACAACTGCCTCGTAGGACACCATATCTGTTTCCCTGCTCGTCTCGACTCCTCCACCGTACATACAGCGGAGGGGCATAGCAACACATTTTTTTCGTAAGTTAACAGTATGTCTATCATTATATGAGAATAACATCTTTCCCCCCTGAACTTTCTTCCCTAGTATCAACCCGTCGTACCCTCAGCGCCTCATAAAATACCCTCTCGGCTTCAGCAGCGATCTCGTCTTTTTCACCAATGGCGCTTTCTTCACCTACATCTCCTTCCGCCTCTCGAATGGCCTCCATAAGCCTTTCTGCCAATTCGCGCAGCATCAGGATATCGCTCTTTTCGTGGTTTTTTTCTTGTGCATGCGGTAGTTTGTCCAACACCGCTTCGCGCACACTCGCTTCAAGATTATTAGCGAAGAACACCCGTGTATGTCTCATGCGCTGGCCAAGGTCTGCTGACAGCGCCATCGTGTCCTGGAGACATAAGTTAGTGAATTATATTGCCAAGTTAATGATGACTAACATAGTTCACATAGTTCATCAAGAAACATAAGGTCACCAATAGGGCACTTGCGTGAATCAAGATTGTGAAAATGCGCGTTAGTGCACACGACAGAGACCAGGATTCTTTCGAGGTGATGGTTTCCTTTTTCATGCCATAGTCGTAGACCCATAAATTGACTGTAGCCTTATGCCTTAGTGCTTGCGATGCACTGGCGACTATGCAGCGCCCGTTAATATCACGTGTCTGAAATACAATCAGCACCACATCTCCGAATCAAGTCAACACCTACGGCTATTGTCTGCACCAGGCCGGCATTGGAGTGATGAAGACTCTCCAGTAACTTCCCCGTTTTCCTCTCGAATATATATACCAAACCATTGTCACTCCCACCTACCACCAACCTCCCTTCGGCACCGAATGCCACCTGCTTTGGGACTGATACACTGGGAGGAGCGGTGATGAAAGTTCGAACTGGCTCCTCATCACCGAGAAGTCGGTACAACGTAAACCCGTCGGTTGCGTTGTCTACCACAAACACACCCCTCTTCTGGTTGATTGCCGCATGTCCGCTGAAGGAAGAGCGTCAGTCATACTTCAGCAGCTTGCGGTGAATCCTCACATCACCGATTGGCAACTATATTCCTTCACTACTGCGCCGTCATCCCCCTTCAGCTTGATGAAGTTGCCGTCATATAGTCCAAACACATAAACACCTTTATCGTCTGCAAATGCTACAGACTTCGGCACAGTGTTGTCCAGTCGCACCGCGAAAACGGCCTCCAGTTGCGAGTTCGTGTTTAGAACAAGTACCTGAACTATCTTGTCCCTTGTTCCGACTGCAATCCGAGTACTCCCTTCAGAGGACATATCCCATGACAGACATGTAATCTCGAAGCCCGATCCGAGCCTCCTGGTGCAAGTCTCCTGAAAAAGCATCTGTTCGACATTAGGCGAGAACTCGATGATGAACAGGACATCCTTACATCTACTGGGCTACGTCGCAAAAACACGATGTAACCAAGCCCTGTTCCATAGCAAAGGGTTTCTGTCATGGCCAGTCTTGTCGTAATCCAGACAGCGCAGCTGACTGTGCCTCGGGACTCGTAGTTATGAGATGAGCATGTGAGTTCTTTCCGAGATTTGATATCCCAGACTTTAATGCCCTCGGTGCCTGTTTATTTTATTAGCGCTCCAATAATTAGAACGCGTGTGATTTACCGCCGCATGCAAGAGCTTGGCCATCATTAGATACTGCGAGCGCGTGGACAGACCCACTTGTTGTGAGGCGGGCTTGATGCTGGAAGCGTTGGGTTGACTGCCTGAATGGAGACCAGGAATAAAAAAACATCGCTGGGGTGATCTTAATCGGTGTGTGCTCAGGTCAGGTTCTCAAGTTCACTAGCTCAATTCAACAATCTTTATACTAGGGGCTTTTTGTGATTCCATGGCGACTTTGTGCTTTCTGGCTGTTTGTATTCGTCTTTTATGAGCGACGTGTCAGCCTTTCCTAGACAACCTCGCTTTTTGTTGCTTTTTGTTGATTCTTCGTCTTTTGGCATTTTTTTTATTCTAATTACGACACTTATCTTTACGACTTTCGTAGTAATTTGCTTCGAAACTTCGTGTCGTTGATCCCGGTCTTTATTGTTTTAACGTAATATTGTTGCTCTAATGTGTCAACTCATAAAACCTACTAGATCCAGCCGCTCACGTCGCCAGCTTGACCCACTAATATCGCCAGCCTGACCCGCTCACATCACCATCTTGATCCACCTTACATTGACTTACAGATCATGCGCAACACATCAAAAGCTGTCTCTCCCTTTCACGATCCAGAGCCTGGTGCTCCACCCCCCTTCCCGCCTATGCTTACCGACCAGCTCGAACTTTTTGGCAGCCCTCGTCATTCGACTATGCTCATTACTGATGAGATTCTCCTGCCAAAGGTTAGCATCATTTTTTTTGTCTTGCTCCTCATACTGAGAGCATTTGCAGCCCAAGAACACACTGGCGCCTGAGTTCAAGCTTGCGGTACGCCCATCCAAGAATACCCATCCTTCCTCACCATACCCGAAGAGAGTCTCTCTCGAGCGTTCTCGTTCTCGTTCTCGGACACCCATTCCCTCGGATTCATCAGGCTCCTTCGATTCGCTATCAGACAGTGACTCGTCAACTTCGGCTGCAAGTTTATCAGAAGACTCGAAGATTCCAAAGCCTGCTGGTGAGCCCGGTCGTCCTGGGCGTGGAGGATACACGCTCCGCGAGGCTTTGGATTGGAGTCCAAAGGCATACACCAAGTTTAAGGTTAGTAACACACTCCCACTGATGTATGCCTTTTATTTATCGACACCTCTAGAATTCTATGCACCACCTCATCGAAGAGCACCTCGATACGACGAAGTGTGCCTCCTCCCAAAGTCCTATCCTTCTGAAGACTGTCCGCGACAAAGTCAGTACTCGATCTTCATTTATCCATGACCTCATGGTTTATGGTTTATTAGGCTGTCGATGCTTTCCCCGACCTAGAAAATTATAGCGAATTCTGGCCAGTTAACGATATGATCATGATGCGCCTGAAATATACATCAGGTCGTGCTAGGCAGAAAGAAGCAGGGATGGTTACGGGAAAGAGTAAGAAACATACTCCCAAGGTCAGTATATTCTACTCCGAAAGTCGACACTAATACAATGACATCTACAGAAAAGTTGATTCATTCTCACTATACCCGTAACTTAACTTAGATGAATCCCCTTATCATTACCATGTTTGTGATCACAATGCCCGAACTAGTTAGAGTACACCCTTCAAATTGTCTTGGTCTAATTATCCCGTGGGTATATCACATGTTATTGAAAGACCGACAAGTGAATGTGTGCTAAGCTTGTCACATGGTGTGAAATTTTCAAATTGACAATTACATATGTACTCTCAGTGACTGCGCGTTACTTCACTCTCTAGTGCGCCTGCAGTACTTGCAGTACTTCCATAGTCATTTACTACCTTATTTCAAACACTGGGATGCAAGACGAGTGATCTTCCGAACAGTAATATATGTTTGGGTCAAACATGCTGCATTCGGATATGCTAATATTATCTTCCTATTATCTTCCTGTGATAGCAGTAGCCTTGTTAGGCGGCTTTGAGAACAGCGACGTTTCAGCAACCGCCATGTCAAAACATTTTCTCTCGTCTGAACTCGGGCTAAAAATCGCTTCGTTACACCCACTGGGTGTCATCCAATCCGACATCTCCTCCATGGACAAACTGACATCCTGTGAGCTCAATCGCCTGATCACCCAAGAAACCCGCCGCGAAGGAGATGCTAATGATATGGGACATCTATTACCTTTGATCTTCAATTCGTTCGACCCCGCGAACTTGCCCGCAACAGATACCCTCGTAGATTCAACCAACAAGCCGCTCTACGACACTACCACAAAACAGTGGCCCTTAGCGCTTCCCAGGAAGGGTGAGGCCATCGAGAAGACATTCCCATTCTTCCTCAACAACCTCACCAAAGCCCTCCTCCGATCATTTCCTTCGTTAGGCACGTTTCCTCCACTATGGTACGGTTCGAGTTCTACCGTGCCCGTTGAAAGCGAGCATGTTCAACGAAAACCCGATGTCTGCTTATCCGAGCACACGGAGTTGCGTTGGAACACTATACTGGTAGTCGCTGAGCTCACCACAACCTCGTACACCCCTTCAATACCTGCCGGAAAGACGCTTGACACAAAGGCATGGCTCATTTTCAGAGAGCAACCGTGGAGGCGTTTCGTACTATCTCTTTCCTTCAGCAATAATTATCACGAACTCCGTGTACATGTACATGACCATTCGGGCGGCATCGTGACCCCAGAAATCAATATACATGAGAATCCTGATGCTTTCAAACGCGTCATGGCATGCATCGTTTTTGGTCGACGTGACTGCATTGGATTTGACCTCACGATCACGATCAACCCAAAGATGACGAGCTTGTTGTCCGGGGCATTTTGGGCCCGAAACATCAAAGGTCTTCCCAAGCGAAGGAGTCGAGCCACCCGCCTGAAGCCCCGCAAGCTATCTTCACTAGATGCGCAGATAGTGCTGACACAATCTCACACACTGGACACACAGACAAAGTTTCATTCGCTTCCCGACCATCTTCCGTCTCCCGACGAGTTCGCAAATGAGCCTGAGGCAGACTCCACTCCCCTTGTTGATGCGCCAGATCTCAAGAATACAGACGCTGAGGTTGACGATGTGATAGGACAGATCGCCGTCAATGAAAACGTATACAACTTGCTGAAGGTGATCTTCTGCAATCAAGGACTTGTGGGCCGCGGAACCGTTTGCTACCTGGCTCGGAGAGATGGCGAGGAGTTTATTATTAAGGATCATTGGGTGAAAGGCGACAAGAGTGTAGTGTTGAATGAGGTGGAGATGCTGAAAGCTCTGAAGGATATCCCTGGTGTTCCCCAATACGTGGAACACTGTCTCGTGGAGGTAGAGCCGGGCAAAGTCGACGATACGCAAATGTATCGCCAGAAGATCTATAATAGCACCCAAGGTGTCTATCGCACGCATGTCCGTCTCGTCTTGAAACCACGGGCTCGTCCTTTACACGAGTTTCGAACTAGAAAAGAGCTCGTCAAAGCGTTACGTGATATTGTGCTAAGTAAGTGAGCCTGTCGTATTAGTTAGTACATATCTGATTGAACCGTCACAGTTCAAAAGCGTGCAGTTGAAGAGCACCAGGTTTTGCACAGAGACTGCAGTCTAAATAACTCCATGATAGAAGACACCGAATATGGCAGTCGAGGGGCGCTAATAGACTGGGAATTCGCGGCACGCATCACATCGGACGATATGTATTCTGCCGGTGGAACAGTAGGCGCCTTATTTGTTCGGTGAGCAATGAATGACTAATTTTTCAGGGAACCATACCCTCTATGTCCGTCAGCGCCCTTAGGGCAATGGGCAAGCTAAATTATCAATACTCGCAGGGTATGAAGTCGGTAAAAGAGCTTAAGCTAGCCACGGACCATTCGACTCCCCAAAAGATGCCCAAAATCAAGCATACATACCACGACGACCTTGAATCGATGTTTTACGTTTTTGCCTGGATTGGCATAATGTTCAAGGGACCTATGGGTGAAGAGCGCTGCCTTGAGGACGTCGTGGACCGTGATCCTGACAAAATGGAGATGTGGCTACCAGAGCGATGGCATGGTACGCCGGAAGAAGTCACTCAAAAAGCCGAAGCGAAGCACTATTTTTTCCTTGGAGATTCGATGAAACAGTGCATCGGAGAACAATTCGCCCCCTATTTCCAAAAGCTCGTTCCTCTAGCAGAGGAGTGGTATGACCTCATGAGTGAGAAGAGGATGAAGGTCGAGTTTGACGAAGTGGTCTCATTATTCGACAAGCACATCAACGCGCTTCCGGACGAAGAGGACTCTGATGAGTTGTCGAAGAAGGCCAAGAGGTTGGGTGATGGGAAGGAGGGGAAGAATGATGTTACTCCCGCTCCGTCGAAGCGAACTAAAGTTGAAGTGAGCTTGTAACGATTTACTTAGTTTACGTTTACGTGCATCATGACTGGTCGAATAAACTGTGCGCGACGGATTTGTCGCTGGCTACGTCGACAAAGGTATTTTGATGGGTCCGTAAAAGATGCAATGAGATAGCGTCTCGGTAATGCAAGATGCCATTGTTATTGTGCAGTGAAGACAAAAGATAGCGTCCCAGCAGTACAAACGGCTTGGTGAAGCAGTGAGGGAGAAAGGTAGCGTCGTCCTAGCAGTACAAACTGGCTTGGTGAAGCAGTGAGGGAAGAAGTAGCAGTCGTCCTAGCAGTACAAACGGCTTGGTGAAGCAGTGAGGGAGAAAGTAGCGTCGTCCTAGCAGTACAAACAGCTTGGTGAAGCAGTGAGGGAGAAAGTAGTGTCGTCCCGGTACAAACAGCAGGAAAGGTAGCATCCCAGCAGTACAAACGGCTTGGTGATGCAGTGAGAGGGAAAGGTAGCGTCGTCCCAGCAGTATAAACGGCTTGGTGAAGCAGTGAGGGAGAAAGGTAGTGTCGTCCTAGCAGTACAAACGGCTTGGTGAAGCAGTGAGGGAGAAAGGTAGCATCCCAGCAGTACAAATGGCTTGGTGATGCAGTGAGAGGGAAAGGTAGCGTCGTCCCAGCAGTACAAACGGCTTGGTGAAGCAGTGAGGGAGAAAGGTAGCATCCCAGCAGTACAAACGGCTTGGTGATGCAGTGAGAGGGAAAGGTAGCGTCGTCCCAGCAGTACAAACGGCTTGGTGAAGCAGTGAGGGAGAAAGTAGCGTCGTCCCGGTACAAACGGCAGGAAAGGTAGCATCCCAGCAGTACAAACGGCTTGGTGATGCAGTGAGAGGGAAAGGTAGCGTCGTCCCAGCAGTACAAACGGCTTGGTGAAGCAGTGAGGGAGAAACAACTGCTCGGTGAATAGTCGTAAAGTGACGTAAAGTGACATCGCCTAAGACACCATCCTCCAGCTGTACAAAACCGCTGAGTGATGGTGGGTGTGGGAGTCGACAGAAAGAAAGTGCGCAATATATTAGGAGTCATTTAAGTTTTTTAAGTGTCAATTGACAGGTGTTTGCGACCAACTCAAATTATTTCCTTATTTGGTTACCACGAGCTCATATTATGTCCTATCTATCTGTACGGCCGTAATACGGGTTATATAAATAGAGTTCTGACAATTCCAGATCCGAATCCTCCCATTGCATCTCGGATCACAATTCAACTTCTGAGGCACGACGATTTGTATTGTCGTGACTAGTCAACCTTGGACTTGTAGCGATATTCGGTACTTAATTTAGTGACTAAATCTGAATCTATACCGTATACCGTCACAATTCAACTTCTGGGGCGCGATGATTTGTATTGTCGTGACTTGGGCTTGTAGCGATATTCGGTACTCAATTTGGTGACTCAAGAAATTCATCTTACGCAATTTATTGACTCCACAAATTTATTCAACATTATCAACTGCTGGTCTACTAGCATCAAACTATGAACCTGTCAGCCAGCCGATGATTAACGCGAGCGCTCAAGGGCTTCACGAGCGTGAGAGTGCGTGGTAGTTTTCCATGATATCGAATGCTTCGTATAAAGCTGATAGATTCTAAATCAGCGGGGATTGATTATCACTGGGTACTGCTCACTTGTGCATGATAAAGTCGGCTAGCGCATTGTCCCTTCCCCGCATGTTTACAACAGAGCCGGCGCTTGTGCCAACCCTAGTAATAGCTGCATCACCTCGGAATACATTGCCATCGCTGCTGAGAATGGTGTTGATTCTCAGATGACAAGTGCCGCTTGAAAAAAATACAGAACTGATAGATGCGTCTCCCTTCATGAAGGGTGACAAGACAGTTGTGTACGTAAGGTTGTACAGTAGCGTCATTTAAGAGGCTCTCGGGAACGGGAAAGGCTCGCGTTGCGCGAGCGATCAGAACATCGTGTAAGCATTGGTAACCTGGTGAGGTCTGCTCCACGATGCAGAATATAGCCTACACCGCACATGGAATTCAAGAGTCTGATTAAGCTGTAAGCGAAAGACCAGGAGAAATTTAAGATAACTTGCCGACGATGTGGGTAAGATATACGTGCGAGTGTTGACCATTGTGATAAAGATAAAGGAATGACCAATGAAATTAGCTGTAGGCGACCAGCACTGAAGATAACTGGGGAGGTGAGAGCAGGGCGATGAGAGTGGGCGATGAGAGCGGGCGATCTTATAGTATTTTACTAACCCCAAAGCACGCTCCACACGGAGTATTCTGCAAGCTGAATTCGTCATCTTTATTTGTTTCATGGAATGAAGCAACCACGGACAATAATCTAGCAGAGTATCGTAAGCCCACCTGATCTCAGACTTACGACTTTGTAAACTGACTTTTTGTTTGTAAAAAAATGGCACTATTGCCCCTGAACATCCACAGCCTAGCCTCAAAAGTGAGAATCGTGCAACGTCGTTCACAATACAGAACACCCAAAAAGCGGATGTGATGATATCACGATTGAATTGTTAGGGTTGCATATAAGTGGGATAACGCATATGGAGCCCAGAAACTAACATTGACGCTACACTCTTCTTACTCAACCCTATTAACATGCCACGGCTGGAGCAGGAAGACATCCAAACATCCTATGATGTGAACTTGTTTGATGATGACGACATGGAAGACGATATGGAAGATGCTGCCGCGTTTCAAACCGCAAATCATATAGACTTCAGTCTAGCAAGGACGACTCAGATAGACAAGAGGGAGGCATCACGGATGGACCTAGATGATGCCACCGGACAGCCCCCAACTAGTTTCGATAAGGAGAAAAGGTTCAAGACGGTACATCCGGGTGTATAAGGTTAATGTCGAGCTCAGTGTCTGTCCAGGTATCAGATAAGCATCATATCAAGGAAGTAGATTACTCGGCGGAACTGCGCGAAACAGTGTACAGTCAAACGGAACAGATCAACCACATGAGACGTGAGATGCAAATGGTTTGTAGTAAGCTCACTAGACATTACAGATATCTGGCTCACGGCCGTGTAGGAAGCTCAAAACCTACAACAAGCACATTTGTCCAGCATGGAAGATATCAGAAAACAGTGGGAAGTAGCTCTGAGAGAGCGGGAAGCGCAACTCACCAAAGAATTTGAGGTAAATCATTTGGATGCTCGAACGACAGACACCCGTTGATGACAGTGACAAGGCTAGCCGCGCCGAGCAGCACCAACAGCTTGAAGATTATATGAGAAGTCGTGAAGCGGTCGGCCACTGCGAATCGCGAGGCGGTAGAAACTAGCAGTGCAGAAAATTCTAGAGGATAGTCGCAAACTGCTTTGAGCAAGAACTAGCTCAGCGTGAAGAAGAGTTCAATAGAAAGAAAGAGGAAGAGGTAAGGTGAATAACTTGTCACGAAAGGTGGTCAATGACAACCACAGTAGTTTCTAGAACGCGAGCAAGCGAGATTCAGCGAGATGGAGCAGAGGCTGAAGTCCGAAGTCGATAAGTTGAGGGTGAGGATATTGATTCGTGGCTGATGAGTATGCTGAAAATGCCCCAGGCAGAAAAAGAAAGCGAGCTGGCCAACATGGAACAGCAGTTTTCCAGGAGTTACAGATTACCGGATAGGGATACAGAAATGGATGACAGCCCCCGTCCATCCGCAAAGCCATCGTCAGGTACCCCATGCCTTGATACCATCAAGAAGTTAAAGAGAATTCGTGGAATATCGCGCAGGACTCGCCTTTTATCAGTACCTGCGGAGGTGAGTGTCTGGTATATTGTTGGATATGATGTAAACTCATGATACTAGGCGGACATGCAGGAAATCCATCAAGAACAATCATTCGAGAAAGATGCACCACGTCAACAACATGACGCTTCACCTATGGAAGATGCGATTGCAAGAGGTGTGGAGGCCGCTGCTGAGGCGCATTCTCATCGAGAAAGACTTCCCGCTCGTCAAAAAACGCAGTCCCCAGAAGAAAAAGATAGAGGATGAAGAAATTCGGCGAGAGAAGGCTGCCGAACTGAGCTGCGAAAGAGATTTTCTTCTGGTAAGCCGCAACATAGTATCGAGTTTGATTCCCCTTACATTGAAGTAGGGAGAAGTGCGGCGTTTGTTGAAAGATGTTTTCAAGATCACTCAGGATACCGATTTCATAGTCCATGAGGCGGCGAGTCGCGAGGATGTCTACTCATATGAATACGAAGATGGTCCAGGTCCCGATCTAAAAAATCTTACCTTTGATCTAAAAAATGGATCCAAAACCCCCTGGAATAGCAAGATTATTGATGTACTCCTCGAAGAAATACAGAAAAGGTGCGATGAAGAGAAGTGGCCATTCCAGAGGTCAGAGGCGTATTTCAGGGAAATCCTTCAAGACCGTTACAAGCGCTTGCGTACGATCTGGACGGCCGCGCAGCCCAAGGTCACAGCGAAGGGTATACTGGAGACCCCCGTAGAGGTGGAGAAAAGGTTGATTACGAAGAAGGACGAAACACTGAAAGCGACTCGTCAAACGACGCGTCGGAGGAATGTATGCCCGCAATCTCCAGATAATTTTAGTACTGAAGACTTCGCAGAAATATCGTCGTAGGGAAGCGGTTGTCGACAATCTCGTCAAACAAACGGCCGACGAAAACGAAGAAGACCTCCCAGCCTGGCGGTGGCTTCAACGTCTGATCAGGACGTTGGGAGAAGGCGGTATGAGTTCGGAGGAAAGCGATGTAGAAAACGACATTGAAACCGTTCTTCGTGTCAAAAATATGACATGGCGCCGAGCGGTAGAGCGGGAGATGGACATCGTCGATCACCAAAGACTTATGGACGACGATATCTTCGCCCCTCAAGGCTCAAAACCAATGAAGCGGATACGCAGCAGCCGGGAATCCGATGACTTCCAGGGCACAAGTCGATGGGTTGCCTAAAGTTTTGTATAACGAAGGATGGCTCGCTGGTCTGACCAAGCGTCAAGTCGAGAGATTGACGATCTCGGAGAAGGAATTCAGGTGGATGAAAGTCGCGGTTGCGTAGACGAGATTCTGGGGAAGATGTCATTTTTTTGCAATGTGCAGATAGTAATGTACTCACTAGTGAGAGAATTTTGTGTTGCTATGCCCCTCCGCTGTATGTACGGTGGAGGAGTCGAGACGAGCAGGGAAACAGATATGGTGTCCTACGAGGCAGTTGTCGAATTGCGCTGGGTGAAACCTATGCGGTGTATAACCCCTTCAGCAGTGAGTTAATGGGTGTGCTGGGTGATACTTACGCAGTGTATATATGACCCCTTCCCCGGGCCATGGACGATGAGCTCAACAGTACAAACGAAGAGCCAAGTGTACATCGATCGCTTGGCCATATCGTTCTTTACCCAGGCTTGCCTTAAGTGGGTGACCAATTGGTCGTTCACGTGTGCACCTACGTATGGTCTAGCGGAGGGTATTCTTAAGGATTATCCAAATCCGAACATGTCTCCGCGTCGTCGGGCGTCAAGTTGACTGGGTGGACACGCAAGCAGAGCTCGCCCATCCAAACGGCTATGAATCCATTGAAAGAGTAGTGACGTTGGAACGAGTGTATTGAGAGTGAGCTCGAGAGTACAAACTATCGAACTCGAAGAGATCTGTGAATGATGATCTCGACGGTACAAAACCATCGAGCTCGAAAAATCAGGGGTAAGATAATACTACCACAACCGTACGAAACAGTTGTAGTAGCAGTAAGGAGTAACTTGGGAACTTTGGCGAAATGTGAGATGGCGAGACAAACAGCTGCAAATAATATTACGTCAGCATTCTGATCTGAGATTAAGTCGCCCACCTAAAATGAGGCGGGAGGGGTCGGGGCGCTCAATGTTAGGATGAGCTCGATAGTACAAACTATCGGGCTCGGAGAGATCGGGGGGCGAGGAACTCAATGGTACAAACCACCAAGGTCGGAAACTTAAGGGGACGATACTACTACAACCGTACGAAACAGTTGTAGTAGCGGACTATAGGAAAGGAGTAACTTGAGACTTTGGCGAAATTTCAGATGCGCGACAAATAGTTACAAATACAATTATGTCATCATTGTAATTGTCAATTACAATGATGACATAATTGTATTTGTAACTATTTGTCGCGCATCTGAAATTTCGCCAAAGTCTCAAGTTACTCCTTTCCTATAGTCCGCTACTACAACTGTTTCGTACGGTTGTAGTAGTATCGTCCCCTTAAGTTTCCGACCTTGGTGGTTTGTACCATTGAGTTCCTCGCCCCCCGATCTCTCCGAGCCCGATAGTTTGTACTATCGAGCTCATCCTAACATTGAGCGCCCCGACCCCTCCCGCCTCATTTTAGGTGGGCGACTTAATCTCAGATCAGAATGCTGACGTAATATTATTTGCAGCTGTTTGTCTCGCCATCTCACATTTCGCCAAAGTTCCCAAGTTACTCCTTACTGCTACTACAACTGTTTCGTACGGTTGTGGTAGTATTATCTTACCCCTGATTTTTCGAGCTCGATGGTTTTGTACCGTCGAGATCATCATTCACAGATCTCTTCGAGTTCGATAGTTTGTACTCTCGAGCTCACTCTCAATACACTCGTTCCAACGTCACTACTCTTTCAATGGATTCATAGCCGTTTGGATGGGCGAGCTCTGCTTGCGTGTCCACCCAGTCAACTTGACGCCCGACGACTGCGGAGACATGTTCGGATTTGGATAATCCTTAAGAATACCCTCCGCTAGACCATACGTAGGTGCACACGTGAACGACCAATTGGTCACCCACTTAAGGCAAGCCTGGGTAAAGAACGATATGGCCAAGCGATCGATGTACACTTGGCTCTTCGTTTGTACTGTTGAGCTCATGTTCTCTTATACTTTCGTCACTCTGAGCCCGATAGTTTGTACTGTTGAGCTTATCGTTCCTCGTCGACATTTGCGAACATGGAATTTTCCCGACGATACGACCGGATTGCGTGACCACTCGGGCACTTGGAATTCCGTTGCACTTGTCTCGTCAGATCTATATTACGGTATGTATTGTTCCATCGTCCCTTGTCATGCATCCGAATAGTGTCCATATAGGCAATCACCTTGTACTTCGTCATTGGCATTTGTCTCCGATGCCTTGTTTGTGAGTTGCTCCATTCTTTCCTTGTTTTTTTTTTCATTTAAGTCCCGCTATGCCAGGATCTACTTCCAATCACCCAATTACCAACCTCCCTCAATTCTCCATGCCCATAGCCCGTGCAACACTCAAACGATGCCTTTGCGAGGAGTGCATTGAGAAAGGCGGATATGACGAGAAAGGCGCACCAACAGGAGTGCTCATGGCCGAACACTTAATCGTGTCTCATATCTTGCGTGTAAAAGCGGAACGCGCCGCAGGTAACAGTGTGATTATTGACGTAGATTTTTCTGCCACTGACCTTGCCGCATGCACCTTCGCAGACAACACGTCATCAGTCGCCGTCATCGCCGACGATCTTCGTCGCTTGACCCTTGATACGGATGTACCGGTCAATATTTCTCCGAGCTCGACAGTTTGTACTGTCGAGCTCAAACCTGACACAGTACCTGTCTCGAAAAAGGGATGCAATCGACGCACCGCGAAGGCGTTGGTTGTCCTTGACAACATCGAGTCTCGGATCCAGCAATGCTTTCACTTGTTGCTGCATTCTTGTCGCATTGATCACGTTGGTCGCGAACTACATTTACTTCAGTAAAGCCATGCAAAACGTCATTCGGCAGACCGATATCGTGATTGCACGAAAGAAGGCGATCGAATCGCAGATAGACATATTGGCAACCCAGTGCAGCAGTCACGAGCCATCCGAATGATACACCCGTCGAGATCAATACCGGTAAGTGAGCGTGCGGATCATCATGACAGTTCTTTGCTTATCGTTCAGTAGATACCCTTCCGCAAGATCCAGTGAACGAGTTAGATGAAATCACTCAAATCGTTCTCTTCCTTGGCGTCGCATGCAGAGTTATCATAGGGGTCAGCAGGAGTAGTTGTGATCTAATCATGAAGATCATTTCCGTCATACTATTTCTCGCATTCCGGAGACCAGATAACAGCCTCAACTCCTCCCACACAAATATCCTAAAGCAGATCCCAATGACCTCAGAAAGCGCCGAGGCCAGATTCCATCTCAAGGGAAAGATTGTCCCGTATGCTGTCTGCAGTTGCCATTGCACCTATCCACCAACTTATGCACCAGGCTCGACGACTCCAGTATATCCTGAACGGTGCACTCATCGTCCCATGCTCACGACCGAATGTGGCGAGGCTTTGCTTGTTGGTGCTGATGGAAATTTCCGACCCAGGAGGACCTTCATGTACCACGATTTCAAGGATTATCTGTTCGGTCTTCTCTCTCGTAGAGATATCGAGGCCGTGATGGATCAGGCATGCGACAATCTGATGGACTCCATCGATTCCCCCCATCCGTCCTTCATCAAAACCCCCTTTGAAGCTCAATTTCTCCGCCAGTTCGATGGTCCTCAGCCGGGTTCACTTTTTGTTGATAGAGGAGAGGAGGGACGCTATGTCTTTCGCTCTCCATGTGGATTTTTTCAATCCGGAAGGTCTGAATATCCGCAGGCGCCAGTACATCATGCGGAATCATCTCTATGGCATGCTTAAATTTACCGGTGGATATCAGATACAAGCCGGAGAATATGTATGTTGCGGGTATCATCCCAGGTCCGAAGCAGCCGTCACTGGAGAACCTCAACCACTACATCCGACCCCTCATCAATGATTTGGTAGATGCATGGCAGCGCGGTATCAAGTTCTCCAAAACGGCTTGTTACCCCCATGGCCGGCTTACTCGTAGCGCCGTCGCCCCTGTTGTCTGTGACCTCCCCGCCGCTCGTCATATTGCTTCTATGGCTGGAGTTGGCAGTCACTTCTATTGCAGTGCGTGCAATTGTTATCATAAGTCTACCTGTGGAAGAGTCGACTTCGAGAAGTGGGAACCTCGCAACAAAGTAACATTGCGAGAATATGCTGAGCAGTGGAGAGACGCTGCTACATCCTCTGAACGTGAAAGACTGTTCAAGGCTCATGGCTGTGCGCTATTCCGAACTCTGGCGCTTACCATACTGGGACCCCTCCCGGCAACTTGTCATTGATCCGATGCACTGCATATTGGAAGGCTTGGCCCAACACCACACCCGACATCTTCTCGGTTTAACCTCAGAGTCGACCACATCGACATCGCCCTCCCCGGCATTTGCGTGTGACTTTGGCGAAATACCTCCCGGGACAATGACAGCCAAAGAGGTAACACAGATATCCGCGATTCGCACCCTCCTCGCATCTCACGTAGGTTCTGGCGACGATAATCAACTGGAGGAATGCTTTGACAAGCTAAAAAGCACTCTGTCTCATAAAAATTCCGGACCGTTGAGATTTGCCTGCAATTCTTTACATTGTATGCCCCAGAAAGTTGGCAGAACGCTGAAGATTGACTACGTCAAGGCTCTTGTTGATTGGGTAAGCTCTTCGCTGTGATGTTTCTTGCCGTCAATTTCTCTAACACGCACTTCACAGCGTCGCGGACAACCTCTAGCGGCCCCTCGAAAAGTTCGTTCGTTCGAGACAGCAGAAGTACTTGATCGAATCCGTAACGTCATCCGTGATACGACCACCCCCACTTGGCTTGGTTCCGTCCCCAAGAATTTTGGCGAGGCATCTGCTGGGACAATTAAGGCTGATGAGTGGCGATCCCTTATCACGATCTATCTTCCCATCGCCCTCGTGAGCTTGTGGGGAGCTGGTACATCGCATTCTTCTGACGAAATTGCTGTTCGCCTCAAAACTATCCTCGATCACACTATGGAATTAGTCGGTGCAGTGTATCTTGCTTGTGCACGAACAATGACACCGAGAAGGGCTCAAGCCTATCGCTCGCATATCGCTGCTTATGTCGGAAAGTTGCAGACAATTCATCCCACCTTCTCAGTGCGACCGAATCACCATGCATCGTTCCATATATATGATTATCTGCTCCTATTCGGGCCTGCTCACTCGTGGTGGTCTTTTCCTTTCGAACGTTTGATTGGAATTATACAACGCATTCCTATCAATCACAAATTTGGTACGTCCTTTCAAAGCACGAACGAGAAAGTTAGACTTAATCCTGTTAGGGGAGCTTGAAAATACAATGCTTCTTTCCTATATCAAAGCTGCAAGACTTCGCCGTTGGCTCGCCTGACCAGACTGTCCGCCTGTTATTCAAGAGTGTGGGGTCCTGTTTGATCGAGTATTCAATAAGAGCGCTACGAGTTCTATCCATGAGCTTGCCGAAGATCCTATGAATGATGCCATCAAGGTTGCCGACTGTGCAGCAACTAGTGCGGTGCCTGAAGACCTGTATACCCTCATCAGACGACGAACGGCGGTATTACGCGCTACACTCAAGTTCGACGGTGTGATCTACAGTAAGGCGTCTACACACTTGGGCAACAGCCAGATTTTCTTCTATCCTCGCGGAGATCGGTCGTTAACCCCTGTCGCCGCCAGTATCAAATACATTTACAGTACGCTGACAGGAGAGTTATTGTTTGCTGTACAGCGACATATCCCGCTAGATCACCATACCGTCGATCCCTTCTCAATGTACCCTTATTTTCTGGCGAAATTGTACTCGACAGACTTCGAAACCCGCCTTGAAAATGCCAAGGTGTCATGGGTCGTTAGTCACTTTGCGCGATGGAGGGTTTCTGACCGTCACGCTGTGATTCTATCCTTATCTCGCGACTGAAACTACCTAGCAATATCTATAACTCTCCTGACTCAATTGTTATAGCTTTCAATATGAATATATTTATTTAATCTCTTGCATTTTTACAGGCGTGTGAGCGGGCGATGGGCAGGCGATGGGCGGGCGATGATCGGGCGATATATTTAATCTGAAGACAAAACTTGAAGTTTCGTCATCGCATTTTGTTGCCGCCGTGAACTTGATATTTTCGGCAGGGTCTAATTGTTTGATACAACTTAACATAGTGACCATGGACCAAACTTCAAGTAATTGTCCCAAGTTGAACGTCATAATAAAACTTTAAATTCAAGCACACGCTCAAAATCTGACAATATTTCTTATTTTCGGTGACGTATGGTCAGTGCCAAAATAGCTGCCAAAGCTTTATATTTTGGATCTTGCACAAAACACTGCCAAAATTTGAAGTTATGTGCCCATATATATGTTAGTTTAAATTTCAAAAATGTTCTTTGCATTCCGGATAACATTAAAACCTATCTTAAATATTGCGGACACCGTAGTGAAACCGTCACCGAAAGGACCGTCAATTTTTCACACGAAGTCACTCGCTGAGCCAGTCAGCCACATCATTGTTTCCTTGTTCACACCCTTCAGGCCACCGTCGGGAAATTGTACTATCAGTTTGCCACAGAGCAGAACAAGTTTGAATGTTTCTCGATAATATGCAGAAAATATAAATATCATGTAACGCACTCCTCACTATTCTGAATGGCGGAGTAGAGGTATACAATGGCGATGCTTGCCCATGCGTACGTCCTCAGGCCCGGACACCCAGTATCCCGCGCTTTTTCATGCAGTTCAATGGAGCTTAGAATTAGGAGAAAAATGCATGCATTCTACTCTTTTCGAGGACTGAGATACTTAACTGCTGCTATTGTACGATAGAATTGGTATACATGGTAACTTGACATCCGGGAGTTGTAGCGTACAGTAAGAGATCTACACATTAGAATTTGAGGTTCAACCAACGTGCACTTTGCTCATGAGATCGGCGAGTGTGTCTGCAACCATCTCGAACGTTGATTTCTTGTCCGTTGCCAGTGGTACGGGAATTTCCTCCGCTTCCTCAGCCTCCTCTGGTAATTCTTCATCCTTCTCTTCGTCGTCTCCCTCCTCCTCTTCGTCCTCTTCCGTACGGATAAGCTTGCCGCCATGAGCTTTCAAGTGTTCAGCGATGTCATCCAGATGTTCGTTATCCTCCACGTCATCATTATCCTGCAGGTCTAACCGTTTCAGCTTGGTCAACTTCGTCACGGCTTGGGCAAGGACCTCGTAGCTTTGGGCATCGAGGTTGTTGTTCTGCAATCGTAGCTCCTGAAGATTCTGGAGACTCTTTGTATTCGGATCGTTGAAAGCCTCTAGGAGTGGTGGCACTTCGCCTTCTCCGTTCGAGAGCATGCAGTCAGAAAGGTCGAGGAAGCGTAGCTTTGGCCAGCTGGTTTTGAGGGCCTCACCCCATGCACGAACAGCTTTCCGACCTTCTTCATCCATCTCCACATCTATGAATGCATTGTCCTGGAAATTCACAATCTGCAATTCAGAGCATGCGACAAGACCTCGCCCAAGGGCCTCAACACCATCCATACGAATGCCATTCTGGGGCATTTGCACCTCTGTAAGTGTCTTGTGTGCCTCGAATGCCTTGGCCCAGGCGGTAGCTCCTGGGTCTTCTAGCCGATTTCGGCCGCAGATGACAACCTCAAGGTTTGATCGTGAGCCATCTGTTGGTGCAGACTTGCGCACAGCTTCTGCAATCTTCTTGCCACCAGCGGGCCCGAGGCCATTGTTATTGAGACGGAGGACGCGTATAGAGTGATTACTTTCGAGAAATGGTGTAAGGAAGGGCACAACACGCTCTCCAAACGCGTTATCATTGAGGTTTATCTCTCGAAGGGAGGTCTTGTGTGAGAGTGGATCGAGGAGTGCTTGTATAGCAGCAGGGATCTCCTCGATAGTACGTCCCGTAAAGATATCTGCCAAGTCTGCAAGCTGAACACAAGTCAGTGGGGAACAATCTTTAAATATGAATTTCGAGAATTATAGTACGCACTTGAAGCACGTCCGCAGTCTCGAGGAATCGAGCAAACGCCTTGGCAGCTTCCACGCCGATGGAATTGCCTCCAAGGTGGATAGCTGTGAGTTTGGTAGGGTCGACGCCGGTAGTAAAGGGGGCAACATCAGCAGCTGTTTCAAGCTTTAATTGTTTGCCACGAATGTCAAGAATCGCCTTAGATGCCGCCATGGTTAGCGATGGGCAATCGATCGTGGTGAACGTTGTTCAGTAAAACACAAGGTGAATCGATAATCCCAAAATGGAAGCGCAACTTTATAGAAGTCACGTGCCAGGTGCAGTATTTTCCAAGATTTGAATCCTCCTGATTGACCACAACGGCGAGCACAGTGAGATTGACATCATCGACCACGACGAGAAGCAGCAAGACAGACTAAATATCACATGCGCCAGCCAAAAGCTTCTTTCCAAATCATATAGCTATGATGACCTCGACAAACGCATTCGACCCGCTCACCATCAATCTTGAAAAACAAAAACGTGCACTCTGTGCACTTCTGCCTCCCAATTCCTTCCATATCCAACATATAACTGAAGCGAATACACCAAAACACGCTCTATCCACATTATCTCGACTGCTGGCTGTTCCAGCTCTCACTCTGACAATCGCTGATCTGTTCAGACCTCTTTTGATTGATTTATGCGCCAGATGGCTTCACGACGATGACGATATCGAAGATAGGTTCATCGCGTTTTGTCTCCTCATTGAGCTTCATGAGGAGCTATATCCGTGCGCTTTTTTATCGCACTTGTGTTATTCATCTCACATCTGGTTGTAGATGTCTATACGCTTTCTTGCAAAAACAGTGTCTATCCAAGGGACCACTTGCTTTCATAGCTGCGGCTCCTTCTGTTGCTGAAATTGAAACCATTCGTCTGCACCGCATGTTGCTTGCATATTATCGCCTTCTCCGCGCTAATCGTCTCCTTCCCAAGCATCTACTATGGGACGGGTCGCTACTATCCAAACTACTCTTCCCGCCTCACCCTGATACAGGTGTACGATTACTTGCTGCTCGGTGCTATGCATCGCATGTTAGTATGGCAGAAAGTGAGCGTGAGAGGTTTATCACCCATGTCCTCGGCGAGTTTTGCAGCGTTGATTGTCCAATTAACTATGCCCAGACTATCGACGGGACTGTTGTTGATACCGACGGCTGGCTCGTACCTACATTGGAGATAAAGCGCATTTACGATGCACGCGACGCTATTCTCGAAAGTTCCGATTTTTACTCTCTTGACGCAGAGGATGTATTGCAGCCTCTCTCGGAGGCAGACCTGAGGTCTGTTACCTGCTATACTGTTGCAAATATGAACCTGATGCTTCTGCTAGTCCCTGGATTGCTAATATCCATGGTTTATTGATGCTCAAGTCATTTCCAACCATCCCTTCTCCCTCAGAGATTATTGCAACGCCTTCCGCTATAAATGCTCTCCGTGAAATTGCGACACACCTTTCTCTCCGCTTGCCTGTCCTCCTATCTTCTCCACCATCCTCAGGAAAATCACTCTTCATATCCCATCTCGCTTCCAGCTTACATCCGACGATACCAGTCAACGAGCTCATCGTGACCGTTCACCTAGCAGACACGTCCCTCGATCCTCGGGCCCTTCTTGGCTCCTACATTTCCTCACCAACACAACTCGGAACTTTTGAATGGAAGGATGGTGTACTTGTGCGCGCACTGCGTGAGGGGCGCTGGCTGGTGCTTTCTGACATAGATCGTGCTAGCATGGAAGTTTTGGCCCTGCTGAAGCCACTTGTCGAGAGTATGGGCCTTGGGAATTGGATTGGACATCGCGCAGGTATAGAGGTCCCCGGAAAGGGTCGCGTTGAGGCGCGTGAAGGTTTTGCACTTTTTGCAACTCGATCGCTTGCTGTTGGGCACGGAAAGAAGGTGCCTGCCCCAACATTTTTTGGTTCCCACAAATGGCATGAAGTGATAGTGGATGCACCAGATGCAGAAGAGGTCAGATCTATCATGGAAAGCAAGTTCCCGAAGATTGTGGGGGCTGCTGGGGCTCTTATCAAGCTCTGGGACGATGTACAGGCACTCGGCTCAACGTCATCTTCGCGTCCTGTCGGGCTACGTGAACTTCAGAAGTTTTGCCAGCGAGTTGAGCGCCTCCTGCCGTCCAGCCATACGGTGGATGTGGACATGGATAATGACACCCAGTTACCACTCTTCAACATCTTTCCCAATCCCAGTCTTCGTGAAGAAATATTCCTCGAGGCCCGTGATGTCTTTTTCGGTGCGGGTGCTCTCACTGCATCTGCGCGTGCACACTCTGCGCGGGTTTCCTCTGTTATTGGGGCACACTTGGATCTGGATGCAGAGCGGCAGGCTTGGTTGCTTTTCAGACACACATCGGATTTCGAAGTTGAGAAAGACGTCAATGGAGATGTGCTCGCAGCACGCTGTGGGCGCACGCGTCTCCCCGCTCGTCCCATGAAGGGCATGAGCACTGGTGCATCCTCACGACCCTTCGCATTGCACAAGCCAGCTCTGTTACTCCTCTCGCGTATCAGCACCGCACTCGCGCTGTCCGAGCCCGTCCTGCTTACTGGTGAGACTGGTACGGGTAAGACGAGCGCAGTAACATACCTTGCATCATTATTGAGACGTCCACTTATTTCCCTGAATCTCTCGCACCAAACGGAAGCTTCAGATCTTCTGGGAGGCTTTCGTCCTGTCGATGCACGCGTCAGGGGTAGCGAGTTGATGGAACATTGGAGCGAGTTATTCGGGAGAACGTTCAGCCGCAAACGAAATGCGGGTTTCGAGGATGGTTTGAGGAAAGCTGTGAGAGAAGGGCGGTGGAAGAGAGCTGTTGGTATGTGGAAGGAGAGTGGGAAGATGGCAAGGGAGAGGATTCGGGGCAAGGTTGAAGGAGATATAGGGTATGTATTAAGTTTAACTCGGTTTCCTCCATTTTTGATCCCACTTCTTAGGGAGAACGACTCTGACGCACCGAGAAAACGGAGAAAAGTCGAGGCCGAAATGAAGGTTTCCGACGCGGACTGGGAACGATTTGAGAAGGATGTGGATGAGTTTGACCTTCAACATGCCCAAGGGAAAGGTAAATTCACGTTTGATTTTGTGGAGGGTCCACTTGTGAAGGCTCTGCGCGCTGGTGATTGGTATGTTGCATGTTACACGCAGTTACGCTTCTCATAATTTCCAGGGTTCTCCTTGACGAGATCAACTTGGCAAGTCCGGAGACATTAGAGTGTATCACAGGCCTCCTGCGCGGTCCAACAGCCTCGATCACCCTCACTGAGCAAGGCTCCCTGTCTGCTGTCCCACGCCATCCTGATTTCCGTCTCTTCGCATGCATGAACCCCGCTACTGACGTCGGCAAGAAAGACCTCCCGCCCACCATCCGTACGCGCTTCACAGAAATTGATGTCCCTCCCCCCGATGCAGATCGTGAGACGCTACTCAGTATTGTTTCGCAGTATATCGGAGCAAGCGCGGTTGGTGATAAAGGTGCTGTGATGGATGTCGCAGAGTTCTATATCTCTGTCAAGGGTGCAGAGCTGGCGGATGGCTCAAACAAGAAGCCACATTACAGTATGCGCACCTTGGCGAGAGCCCTGACGTTTGCTGCAGATATTGCAGGGTCGTTCGGGTTGCGACGGGCGCTTTGGGAGGGGGTGTTGATGGCATTCACCATGGTGTTAGACGGAGGAAGCGCAGAAACTGTTACTGCCCTTGCACAGAAGCATATCCTTGCTGGTGTCCGCAATCCTCGATCGTTACTTGCCAGGGAACCCAGTTTTCCTCCTGGGCGGTCTATAGAAGAATTCATCAAGTTTGGACCGTTTCATCTTGAGAAGGGACCACTCCCCGAGGACCCCATGGAGGAATATATCATGACACCATCGGTCGAGAAGAAGCTCATTGACCTCGCAAGAATCGTTTTGACTCGACGCTTTCCCGTGCTCATCGAGGGTCCTACCTCAGCAGGCAAGACGAGCGCAGTGGAGTACCTCGCTCGCAGAACCGGTCACAACTTCATCCGTATCAATAACCATGAGCACACTGACGTGCAGGAATACCTCGGCTCATATGTTTCTGATCCTGCCACTGGCAAGCTCGTATTCAAAGATGGCTTGCTTGTCCATGCTCTCCGACATGGACATTGGATCGTACTGGACGAGCTGAACTTGGCACCTACAGACGTGTTGGAAGCTCTTAATCGGCTGCTAGATGACAATCGGGAACTTGTCGTTCCGGAGACACAAGAGGTCATCCGCCCACATCCACACTTTATGTTATTCGCAACACAGAATCCTCCTGGCCTATATGCAGGGAGGAAGGTTCTGTCCCGTGCCTTCCGAAATCGTTTCCTCGAGGTTCACTTCCAGGATGTGCCTCAAGCGGAGCTTGAAACCATTCTCTGCCAGCGTTGCCGTATCGCACCTTCCTATGGCCAGAAAATCGTCAGTGTGTTCCGTGAATTGCAGAAACGTCGTCAGTCGAGTCGCGTTTTCGAGAGCAAACAAGGTTTTGCAACTCTTCGTGATCTTTTTAGATGGGCCGGTCGTGATGCAGTGGGTTATCAAGAGTTGGCAGAGAATGGGTATATGCTACTTGCGGAACGTGCACGACGCGAAGACGACAAAGTCGTAGTGAAGGAGGTCATAGAGTCTATCATGAAAGTTCGCATCGACGAGCGAGCGATATACGACATTCATTCCACAGTAGGGGATGCACAGACCTTTTTAGGATGCCCCATACCGCCAGACTCACAGGTTGTCTGGACAAGTGCAATGCAACGGCTCTTCGTCCTGGTGTCACGTGCCCTGCGGTTCAACGAACCCGTGCTTTTGGTGGGAGAGACGGGTTCTGGGAAGACATCTGTCTGTCAGCTCTATGCAGAAGTCGTGTCCAAGCATCTGTATGCGCTAAACTGCCACCAAAACACAGAAACCGCAGACCTTATCGGTGGCTTGCGACCTGTACGCAACCGTGCCTCGGCCGAGGCCAATATTATCCGTGATGCTCATACGATCCTTGAGCGTGCAGGCATTGACGACATACCTTCTAATTCCCAACAACTGTTGTCCCGAATAAATACGCTCCTGAAGGCAGGCAAGGATTTGGACCCGTCGTTCCTGACTCCATTACGCGAAATTCAGGAGAACCTCAACCGGATTTGCTGCTTGTTTGAATGGCATGATGGGCCGTTAGTCCGCGCAATGCGTGAAGGAGACGTCTTTCTTCTCGACGAGATTTCCCTTGCCGACGATTCTGTTCTAGAACGTCTGAACAGCGTCCTGGAACCTGGTCGCACAATCGTGCTTGCAGAACGTGGCGGTATTGACGGTGATTATCCCGCCATACATGCTTCCAACGAGTTCAAGTTGCTTGCTACCATGAACCCGGGCGGTGATTATGGGAAGAAGGAGCTATCTCCCGCTCTACGAAACCGTTTCACGGAGATTTGGGTACCAGCAGTAACCAGTCAAGCGGATTTGCAGTTGATTGTTGACTACTCATGGAAGCACGACTCTATGAAGCCGTTCACGGGTCTGCTCCTGCAGTTCACAAACTGGCTTCGGGATAGAGTTCACGATCCTGCTATTTGCTCCCTGCGAGATATATTGGTAGGTCTCCATTTCGTTAATGTCGGCCAATCATACTAATCGGTATTTTTTTAGGCTTGGGTGACATTCGCCAATGCTGCATGCTCTGGCAGTGCAGAAACGTCCATGTTACCAGCGGAAATTTTTGTATGTTGGCGTTGTCTGTTCAAGCAATTTGGTTATTGACAACATCCCAGCATCACGCGGCCCACATGACTTTCCTCGACGGTCTTGGATCCTTGCCACAGCTAGCTTCCTACTCGTCTGATGCGCTCAGTCGACTGAGGAATGATGCCATTGAGAAGTTGCAGCTGCTCGTGCCATTCAAGGAAGCCGATAATTCATATGCTTTTGATGCATCAAACTTCGTGCAGCTTGGATCTTTTGCCATCTCTAAAGGCCCATTAAAATCAGTATTGCATAACTTCAATCTGCAGGCGCCGACTGCTCGTGAGAACGCAATGCGAGTGGTCAGGGCATGTCAGGTTTCCAAGCCGGTCCTCCTAGAAGGCAGTCCAGGCGTCGGAAAAACCAGTTTGATCACTACTCTTGCCATGCTTTCAGGATATCATCTCTGTCGAATCAATTTGTCCGACCAAACAGATCTTATGGATCTCTTCGGTTCCGATCTTCCTGTCGAGAATGGCTCTCCAGGAGAATTCGCCTGGAAAGATGCCGAATTCTTGACAGCCATGCAAGAAGGACATTGGGTTCTCCTCGATGAAATGAATCTCGCACCCCAGGCTATCCTCGAGGGACTTAATGCTGTTCTGGACCACCGAGGTACTGTATATATTCCCGAGCTCGGGAGATCCTTCGTCCGGCATCCCGCTTTCCGTGTCTTCGCAGCACAAAATCCACTCCAACAAGGAGGAGGTCGCAAAGGACTTCCAAAATCTTTTATGGACCGCTTCACGAAGGTTTACATCGAGGAGCTATCCCCTGAGGATCTTCTTCTTGTCTGTCAAGAGCGTTTTAAGGGTTGTGATGAGGACATGCTACGCGCCATGATCACATACAACAACCGCCTGAATCAGGAAGTTGTACACAAGAGGACTTTTGGTCGCGACGGCAGTCCTTGGGAATTCAACCTTCGCGATGTTCTCCGCTGGGGAGAGCTATTGCAATCATCGCCCATTTCACATCATCCTCGAGATTTCTTGCGAGCCATCTACCTCAGCAGGTTCAGGACTCTCGCTGATCGTAACTGCGCTCAACGATTGTTCGATGAAATCTTTTCTACATCTAGCCCAACCATCCTTCACAATCCGCATCCTATCATATCATCGTCACATTTCCGTATCGGGCACTACCTCGTAGAACGACGTAACAACACCCTTAGTCTTCGACCCAGGTGCCTGCTACAAGCGCACTTTGCTACACTAGAAGCCATTGGGGCATGTCTCTCTAGGTCGTGGTTAGTCATTGTTACAGGACGACACGACAGCGGTAAGTCAGAACTCATCCGTACTGTCGCTGATCTTTCAGGGAATATCCTTCATGAGATAACTATCACGAGTTCTACTGATACCATGGATATCCTTGGAGGTTTCGAACAAATGGATCATCGTACCCGAGTACTTGCTCTCGTTCAAGATATCATCAATTATGGAGAAAGTCGTTCCAAATACCTGTCTAGCTGTACCACCGATCACCAGACTTATCTCTCGCTTCTTCTCGGGTTATATTCATCACCTCTATCCTCCAACTCCCTCCTCCATTCTGCAGCACAAGTACTATCGACCTTCGCTGACGAAAATTCTACGGATGAAACACAGGCCTTACTGCATCGCGTTCGGCAATTATCGTCCGTGGTGACATCCAGTGGCCAATTTGAATGGGTCGATGGACCTCTCGTACGCGCAGTCAAGTTAGGGCACTGGGTAGTTCTGGACGGCGCGAATCTCTGTAATCCTTCCGTCCTCGACCGACTGAACTCTCTTTGTGAACCTGGTGGAGTTCTCGTTCTCAGTGAGAGAGGATATGTCAATGGTGCGGTACAAATGCTTAGACCGCATCCCAACTTTCGTATGTTTATGACATCTGACCCTCGATATGGCGAGCTATCGCGTGCGATGCGAAATCGTGGTATTGAAGTGTCATTGGCTGCTTCCTTATCCTCAGAAGATGAACTTCGCCTCCGAATTCATCATCGACTTCCTAGGACCATCTTAGGCACAGGTCCTCCTTTCGTCATGACCTACGAGCTTGCACGCAGAGGAATCTACCACACCCATCGCGGGGAAAGTAGTGACTCGTGGCCATCTGGGTTAGTTGAAGAAGAGTCTTCCACATCTTCGTTGATCACTCTGGCACCGTTCCTTCGACCATCCAAATCGGACCTGCGCGCTATGATTCATTTCATGCTAAGGACAATCTCTTTGGATGTGACTTCTTCGTTGCGGCGCTTTATGAAGTTCGCAATGCCTTCGTGCTCATCACAGTTTATTTTGGACGGTGCCCTTTCCTCGGGAGCTTTCAAGCTCTTTACTGAGTGGCGAAGAGATCTCCTCACTTCCCGAGTTACGAACGACGCTATTACAGCTCTGGTTAGTGTTCGCTACATCCGTGCTGGGTCTAGTGCACGTCGCACTATTTGCATGTACTCAATACGTTTATTGGAATATAGCCAATGGATACTTTCATGGTATGTCCGCCATGCAAGTTCTGCAGTCATGAGGACGGACATCATCCAATACACTTGATGCTTCTTCAAACTTTGAACTTGATCGCAGCAATATTCATCGATGATACCGAGCGAGCGGAGATGCCACAAGAACTGTACGGCATTTGTGCGAGCAAGATAACTTTACCAACACGCCAGCAACACCCGACATATCTACGACTGTTAGATGCTATTCATGAAGTTTTGAAAGAGGCGCGTAGAACGGCTGAGGAGGTTTTCAACCAAATCGTCAGAAGATCTGAAGTTCAGGTTAGATTTCAATTCTCTAGTCTCATACTAATCGTTGTATTGAATGATCATCAGCTGGTGGACCTTGAACTTGCCCTCAAATTACTTAGTATTTCCAGGCAACTCCGACGATCAGGAACGGGCACATATGTCGATTACTCCTCGATACAGGCATGCTCTAGGTCAATCGTAGCCGCGTTACAATTACGGAGCTGCTCAACATTTGAACGTCTCGCAAGTGTTTCTGCTGTATTAGATGAGGCAGTTTCCCCCACCTCTGGATTAGGTTTGACAGAAATGTGGACGCACTTGTTCGCGCCAATGACTATGGAAGTATCTCTTCCAGAGATCAGAAGGCTCGAGCATGTCGCTGGGCAACTACATGAAGGCTTAAATCAGCACGGTACAATTTATTTATTTTTGCGCTCGATACGTTCTCATCAATCCCAAATAGTCCATCGCAGGCAAATTCTAGATGTCTTATCCCTTTATACCCTTCCGCTTATGAGCACAGTATCCACTGACTTGGAGATAGAATTAGCACACACGGTGAAAGAAAAGGTTTAGTTCAATTATTGCTCCAGCGTGCACGCCGCTGAAGTGAAAATTCTAGGTTACGTCGAATTTCCAAGGGGGCAACAATTCTCTCAAACGATATGCTTCTCCTTCTCTCCTTATCTGCGAATTGCTCTGGTTGAGTGACATTCGTGAAGCATCATCATCGGTAAGTTGCGATTTGGTGCCCCTTGCAGGACATCCAGGATGACATCTTATAGACCGTTCCTCCTGCCATGAAACACTTGATTGATGTGGCATGTGAGGAACCACGCGAGGATCTCATTCGCTTTGCATCGTATCAGCATTTCATATGGGCACATGACGCAGGAGGGGGAGGTAAGGGCACCACTGTGTCCCTTAACATGCGACTGAATTTTTATTAGTTCCCACGCATCTCTTGACTGCTTTGCAGACTGGATGGCTCGCAAGTCTGTGGAATTCAAGCTTAACTCAGGCAGTGAGTGACTGTAACGTAGCCTCTGCATGTTCAGTGACTTACGAGATCCTGCCAGGAAATTCTTGATGGACCGGATGTCCTCCTTTGTCCGACTCTTCTTCGGGCCTCCATAAATTTGAAGTATAAAAACTTTGTTTCTATCCGTATCATGTACTCATCCACCGCATAGCCAAGCGCAGAGCGTTTCACTATCTTCCCTCGAAGGGCACGAAGTTTCTGTTCGTCGTCACCTACGGCTGCTCTCTATGCAATGTGTTGTTCATGAGTCGCGGGTACAACAATTGTCGGCATTCATGTACCAATGTATTCTATCTGTAAGTGAAGCGGTGGCCACTATCGCAATTCTTATCTGATCGCCCATCAGGTGGCATCCTGCTTCGCTTCATCATTTGATGATATTAACTGGCAAGCCATGCTCGGATCTGCCGTCAACAGCAGCGCCTTTCCCATGACAATGTTGTCTCTCCTCGAACATTCCAAGCACGAGCCCTTGAAAGCAGCTATCCATCTGTTTTTGCGCCCCAACCTCATACGGTTCGCAACCGACCACCAGCCACGAGACATAACAGCGGCTCGCTTGGGGCGTTGCTATATTTCTCTCAGTAGAGTGATCCTCAACCTATCCATTCCTGATCTTCCGGTAGACCCCGCAACCGTGATCCGTCGTTTAGCGGAATATTCGCAAGAAGAGACTGATTTTCTGTCGACCCAGTCGTCTCTCCATAAAGCATGGGAACAACGAACCGCTGGCAATCTATCCAACAGTGTTATACAATATCTCGATGTTTTATCTGAAGCCGAACACAAAAATCTACCACTGGGTTCCTCAAACCTTCCCCGACGACCTGATGGTAACCGCATTCACGCATTTTGGTCCGAGGTTTCACAGTTTCAAAGTCAAGTCATCCAACCCAACAAGGTTGATGATTTAACTGCCATTCTCGAAACCGGCGATCCTTCTTCTTTCGCGCGTGAATCCGTGATGCAGGAATCAATATCTGGGTTTTGTCAACGGATGGACGATCTTTACCGCGACTTTGAAGATATTGCAAAGATTATTCGCCTAGCGCTCCTCCTCCTCCGTTTCGGGATCCGACTTATTCGCTGTTCTGCGCAGCAAATGTCCTACGCACAGCATGCTCAACAGAACATAGCTGCTGCTTCCCTGGTGACATATCCATCTCTTCGCAGTGCGCAACTGTTGCAGACGCAACTTGAACGAGGAGCTGCATCCGGAGCATCTCCCTCTGACCAGGTCCTACTGCATGTGTCAGCCATAGGCCTCCGTGCTGCTATATCAGGCCTCGCTCCCCATGCTGCTGCTGTTCATGCGGCATATGAGCAAGCATTCAGGCTCTGGACTATGGACCGCACTCGCCAAAATGAGAAGGAACACGATGACTCGTCGCTATACAGACGTAGCACCCTTAATCACGATGCCTCCACGGAAGTTGAAGCGGAACAGAAAGAGTTTTTGGAGCTGTTCCCAACATTTGAGGACGCACTCGCTAGTCCTGACGGCATGCCCAACAAGATTCACGAAAAACCCTCTGAGTTCTTTAGTGCTTGCGCAGCCGAAGCGTTGTTGGGGATGCACTTCGGACTCACTGGAGTCACTAGTATCGGTATCAGCGTCGGAGGTCCCAATACGAGGTTTAATTCATCTCGTCGGTCGGTTTTGAAGACGCTCCTCGACAATCGATATCCTACTCTCCCAGACACCCTTGATGATGAATCGTTGCACGAACAGCTTTCTTTAGTCCACGATCATCTTCTCGCGCTGAAGTCTCAGGAGCGCCCTACTGGTCAGCTGTTCAACTTCTATACTGACGCGAACATAAGAGAGGCGAAGAAGGCCCTTGCAGCAGTGGGCTCCCTTAGAATACGGTTGATCGCGCTCGTCGAAGACTGGCCAGATCAGATGGTTTTACAGCACCTGAAAGACCGTTGCGATGCGTACCTGGCCCTGGACATAAACAGTCCCATTGCCAAATTGTTGTCCGGCCTGGAGCAAATCATACTGCAGACAGACGACTGGGAAATGTACGCACACCGAGGAAATAGCCTCAAGGCACATCAGCAAGAGTTCATAATGCTCGTTGTAGAATGGAGACGCTTGGAACTATCGTGCTGGAAAGTGCTATTACAGTCTCAATCTGACTCGTTCACCAAAGGAGTTTCGGAATTTTGGTTCCGACTGTATGATCTCACAGTGCGCGGCACCCTTAGTGCAGCTCAAGAGGATGAAGGCGCAGCTACTGGAGCTCTCCAACAATATCTCAGGCAACTGCCATCACTCCTGGATGACTTCATGCGTTCCAGCGCTCTGGGTCAATTCCAAGTCAGGTTGGATCTCCTCGGGACTTTCAGGGTCATCGTCGGTCATATCGCATCTACGTTGGACGGATGGCAGCGCAATGCCCTTCAACGCGTCGAACTTGTCTTGACGTCCACTCGGAGATACTATCGATTGTTTGCAGCCCAGTTAGCCGGATCTCTAGCGGATCAAAGAGGAGAACTTGAGAAAGATGTTCAGGCATTCATAAAGCTCGCCAGCTGGAAAGACATCAACGTCCAAGCCCTGAAGCAAAGTGCTCAACGAACGCATCATCAACTCTACAAGCTAATCCGCAAATTCCGGGAGATCCTGCGTCAGCCCATTGCTGAGCGCATACTGCCGACATTCGCTGGTGATGCAGAATGCACCCAGTCAATAGATGTTCTGGGTTACTCGGGAGATCTGCTCCCCATAGCATACACTCTGGAGCGTGGCAACTCTCTTCAACCGAACGAAACCTATTTCACACCATCTCACCTTGCCAATTTAAACCAGACACTCGAAAGATTCCATAGGCTTATGAACAGTCGTATTCGGGCTTTCCTGCGCCGACGTCTTCCTCATCATGTTGACCAACTTGCGGTCGAGATCATACTTACCGTACGAGACCTAGCAGCAGAAGGCGTGCCCCCAGGTCTTTCCAAGGAGAAACGAGAAAAATACGTGAAGGGCCTGCTGGTTCGCAAGAGGAAGGCTTTGAGTGATCTCTTGAAGGAGCTCAAACGTGCCGGTCTCGCTGCCAATGTCAAACCCGAAGTGCTCAGCGAGCTCAGAGATGAAAGCTGGATACGAGAGCAACCGTCGATGCCTCCAGAAAGTTCCATACACGTCGAGAAAGGGGAGTATTACTTCGACCGCCTTCGTGGTGCTCTTTCGGCAGTCAGAGTCTTGGTTTCCGATCATCACTCGGACATAAGCACGCGTGATTTGCTTCGAGGTATTGCCTTTGTAGAGTCTGGTTATTCATTAGCTCTTAAGGCGAGGTCTTCGTAAGTCAACAAATTCTTGATGACACCCTTTCTCACCGTGAGTTTCCAGGTTGTCAACAGCTTTTCAATGTTTCATCGACATCAGACGGTGCACCGAGCGCCTTCAGACCCTCGTCGAAGCCCCCCTACTTATCACCAAAGGATTCTCCCCCGCTCGTCTGCTGCATCTATGTCAAGCACTCGGCAACGCCGTGCATGCTTTTGAAGAACTTCTCCAAGGAATTCGCCTTTTCATCGAGATTCAGGAGGACCAGGGCGCCGCACCATTAGTCATGGTTGAGGTTCAATCAGTTTATGCCAAGACACTAGTTCTTCGTGACCGTGCTTCAGAAGTTTTACAAGGAAGCCAGCACGCAATGCCTATGGTGCTACCTGGTGGTGGGTTGGTTCCTTACAGACATGGTCACAAGCTGATTATTTGCCCAACAGTCGAACACTCCACTGTTAAAGAAGCTGACGAACATTTCCGTGCCATTCCCGACTACCTCCAGAAGATGACAATGGCGGAACCACGACTCAGCTACATCTTGTCTCCTATCGAGCAATGGCTCCGTAATCAATACGTTTCTACAGATGCCGAGACAACATCCGGAGCTGCAGAGTCATTGGCTGCGGATGTCATCATCGAGACGCTTTTGGTGACAGTGCAATCCCTCTTGAAAAGATGTCCGGAAGGGTCTACCGACGAGCCTCTTGATGATGAAGCCCAGGATAATTTCATCCGTGAAGATTTGCGCACAATTTCAGGCTTCACTCAATCCTTAGACCTTGAAGTCCTCTTGGAGCGGCTGCATGTCATGACGACCCATCTTTCCTCCCTTTCACAGTCCGACATCCAGGCAAGCCTTCGGCGCCTCCTCCCCTTTCTTCAGTGCTACATTTCTTTCGTGGGAGAACACCTCATGGTGCACAGTCAGTGGACAAAGGCCCTCTTCAAGCTTGATTTCATCGTTTCCTCTACCATGCATACTATCGCTAGGCAAGGCTTTTGTTTGCCCCCGGATACAACTGATTCGGGTGATGCCGAAGGTGGCACCGAGACTGCTGGGGGAGTGGGCCTAGGTGATGGAACGGGAATGGAGAACGTCAGCAAGGAGATCGAGGATGAAAGTCAGGTTGAAGGATTAAAAGGGGATGAAGGTGAAGCTCAAGATGAGCAGGGGCACGGGGCTGATGATAATACTATTGAGATGAGCGAGGATATTGGTGGGGAGATGGAAGATGTGCCAGATGATGGAGATCAGGACGGGGATCAGGAAGATGATGACGATGAACAGGAGGAGCCGGATGAGCAGCTGGGGAAACTTGATGCAGGCGATCCGAATGCAGTCGACGAAAAGCTGTGGGGAGACGAATCTACGGAATTAGATTCCGCAGATCAGGACCAGGTTCCCCAAGACCGCTCAGATTCGCAGCAGGAGGAATCAGAGATCGTAGCCAAGGAGCGCGACCAATCAAAGAAAGAGGGTGGAAAGGAGAAGGAGAAGGAGAAAGAGAAAGAGGAAAAGAAAGATGGAACGGTCGATGAAAAAGGCGAGGAGATCCAAGAAAGCGAGGAAAACAAGGGCGAAGAACCCGACGAAGATTTGGAGGCCCCGAATGCAAATGGTGCGCCCATGGACGAGTACATTCCCGATGCCAACACTTTGGATCTGCCCGATGACATGGCTCTGGAGCCTGACGAACAAGGGGATCAGGGAGGACTCGAAATGGGGGATGAAATGGATACAGAGTTGGACGAAGATGAACAACACACCGATGAGATGGAGGAAACAGACAGCCTTGGAAAGGACGAGTCTCCAGGGGATATACCAGAACCTCAATCGCAAGAAAACCAGCCGCCGGATCAGCCTCCCCAAGCTACAGACCATGATGCAGACAATGTAGAGGAAGACGTCGAGGAAGGCGCTATTGCTCAGCCAGATGTTTCTCCTGGGAACGGAGATGCTGGGAACAAAGACAATGAGCCACAGGCCAATGATGGTGCACAACAAGGGCAGGCAGGCGACGCATCTGGTGAGATGAAGGACGATGCCGCAGCACCTGAACAGAGCACCAACGAGACCTCTGAAGAATCAAAGTACGCCGCCCATTTATCCATGCAGAAACCTGTATCTGAACTTGTGACCAGACCAAGAGATGATGCTGAACCCTCGAAACCATGGTCTTCCACTGACACGGCCACGAAACCAGGTACATCAGCGGAGGGCATGCAGCATGGTGGAGCCTATGCCCGCCAACACACCGAACTCACCACGAACCCTATCCGTAACCTTGGTGATGCACTCAAAGAGGTACAACAGCGCTTCGAAGATATCCTGGGCGGTGGAGAGTCTTCCCCGTCCGCTGCAGACCAAGCTGCTGAGCAAATCGAGTATGCTGATGCGGACGAGGAGATGCAGGCTTTGGGTGCAGCGGGCGAGGAGCAGGTTGCGAAGCTGAATGAGCTAAGGCTTGTTGATGAGAAAACAGAAGCAGTCGCACTACCCATGGATATCGATGCTCCCCGCACGGATGAGCTTGCACCACCACCACAGCCATTGACTGCATTGCATACGGAGCCAGTGACAGAGGGTGCACGTCCAGACATAGAAGGCGCCATAACTAAGTTGGAGACGCACTCTGGTGCAGACCCCGAACATGTTTCCTCACGCCGTGATCCTTCATCTTTACAAGCGGATGTCGATGAAGACATGGAACAATCCAGTCCAGACAGCTCCTTTGAAAACATAGAGGCAGCCCTCCAGACCTGGCAGGATTCAGGCTATACCTGCGAAGATGCTGAATCTCTTTGGCGGCTTTACACGTCCCTCACACACGACCTCTCTTACGCTCTTTGCGAACAACTGCGTCTTATCCTTGCACCCACCCTGGCCACTCGTCTCAAAGGCGACTACCGGACAGGCAAGAGGCTCAACATGAAGAAGATCATTCCTTATATCGCCTCTGACTACACCAAGGACAAGATCTGGCTTCGGCGCACGCGCCCCAGCCAGCGCGAATACCAGGTCCTTCTTGCACTCGATGACAGCCGCAGTATGGCAAGCTCCCGCAGCGTACATCTTGCTTATCAGACACTTGCCCTCGTGAGCAACGCCATGGGGAAACTTGAGGTCGGCGACGTTGCAATTGCCAGGTTCGGCGAGGGCATGGAGTTACTTCATGGCTTTGACGAAGGACCATTCACGGATGCTGCTGGTGCAAAGACGCTCGGCGCGTTCAGATTTGAGCAGCGTGCCACGAACGTCCTGGATATGGTAGAGAGGAGCCTCGAAGTGCTAGAGATCGCCCGAGAAAGAAAGGCCACCGGGTCGGCAAGTGCAGGTGAACTATGGCAACTTGAGATCATCATTTCGGACGGTATCTGTCAAGATCACGAGCGTTTGCGGCAGGTGCTGAGACGGGCAACAAGCCAACGCGTTATGGTCGTGTTCATCATCATTGACTCACTGCACTCGACCTCCACTTCTGGGCAAGGGCAAACACAAGACGCTTCTGCTGTACAGAACTCAATCGTTTCGATGAATCAAGTCGCCTACACGATGATCAACGGGCGCATGGAGCTTCAGGTAGAGAGGTATTTGGATTCTTTCCCATTTGATTACTATGTGGTGTTACGAAGCGTTGAGGCGCTACCTGAAGTACTGTCAGATACACTTAGACAATTTTTCGAAAGGATCTCCGAAGAGTAGAATACTATATGAATGATAACAATTGAGTTCTACTTGCAGTACTGGCGCGAGCAGCTTTTCAGTGTTCGGAGCACCCCCACTGGTGTTATGACTGTCTTTGAGGGCCTTTGCAGCAGCTGTAAATGCTGCAGACTTGAAAGTGCCATCGGCCACCATCTGCAATCAACCTTGCCGTATCATAAAAGTATGCTTATCTCCAGGTTGAAGCCGAGTAAAAGCATAGTCAACAAAGGAACTCACGAAGGTAGAAAACAACAAAGAATTTTATCGAGCGATATCTGGTGAAGGACGCTGTAAAATAAGAATGCCTGGTACTACAATGTCCACTACACTAGCAAACACCTAGTACGAAATTTGATAAGTCTCACCTAGGCCTAAACCTTCAGTTACTCGATTGTGCCCACACCTTCCGTTGGTAATCTAATAAAATGGGCACAAAATCCCAGAGGCCGAAGTCGGGCCAATAGGTATTCACCATGTGAATCTGTGTGTTTTCGCAGCACTGGAGAGGTACGGATGAGTTTGGTGAAGACAACATTTTGGAAGAGTATATGGCTGCCATTTTCACCAACATCAAGAAAGAGAATAGCCACTTCTTTGAAATGGGAGATAGAAGACAAACAAGCAAATGAATAGAGATTGGTGATGGGGAGGACGAAAGACAGGGAAGGAACAGAGACACACCTGCCACTGCAGAAAACCACTCAATCGCTTCACGCCACTCGTGCGAATGAAAATGTCGAGCGGCGGACTGCCCCCAAGCGAAGTCATGAGATTTTCCTCGATAATTTGTTCTGTGATCAATCTGCGTGTATTGGTTAGCATGAAACACGGAGTGAGAGAAGTTGAAAATTAAAACAAACGGCCAAGGAAATATCTGTGCTCACAAAGAATCAAAGCTCTCTTTATCAAGGGCTTGCTGCACGACAGTTTGTACCGCCAATGTCATCTCATGGCGCGAGGCGTATGGTGCGCAGACATTTAATATTGCTCTGTCGGAGTATGTTGAGAATAGAAGACGAGGGTAGAGGGGACATACCTGTTATTCTGACGCGTCATTCCCTCCGCTTTATCAATTGCGACTTGAACATGTACAGGTAGCAGCTTGCGATGGCCAAGTACGTTGAGGCGTACACCATACTGGCTTAAGAGGGCACTGAAGAGTAATCGCAGGCAGTGACGTCAGGCGAGCAAGCACTTTAACTGCAATGCATTTAAAATAAAATCTCACCCATTCTGTGCTATCTCCACGAGCCTCTCTTCTGCTAGTTTCATGAGCGCGTCGACCTCATCAGGTGGTCTATTGAAGTTTTCGATCGCAAAGGCGTAGACCGTAACACAGTGTATGTTAAGGCGCATGCATGTCTCTAATACCTGTAGCCAATGTTAGGGGGTCTCCATGACTCAAGCAGGATCAAGGGATGTACCTGCTTAAGTGTATGGAACCCGTCTGAATGACCGTCAACCGCGCGGCGGCCAGTGAGACGTGCAAAGCGGCGGTTACCATCCATTTCGAAGGCCACATGACGTGGAATAGGGCCCGCAGAAAGAACATGGAGGAGCAGAATCACGAGTTGGGCCTTGATGAAGGCGAGCAAGGACACTGTCCAGCCCAGGATCCCGGGCCATGTCATTGCGAAGTTCAAACGTGGCTGCAGAAGGTAATACCGTATGAGCACAGCCACATACAGTCTGTTTCTTACGCGGCCTCTGTGATAAGTTATCATTTCCCTTCCCTTTCGACTTTCTCTAGTTCTTCTTCGTCGTCTTGCACGATGACACGCACACATGATGCCGATACATCAGCCACGCCCGACGAGCGACGCGGTTTACTCTTGAAAGTTGATGACGCTGTCGAACCTGATGTCGAGCAGCAACCCACTTCCCCTGCCCCCTCACACAAACGCAAGCGTTTTGCTGGATTCAGTGTTCTCCTCTCGCTTATTCTTTCTGCCACCCTATTTGAACTCTGGCCCCGTACTCAAGATGACACCAGAATTGGCAGGAACGCATTGTATTCGAATGGAACGCACGAGTTCAAGAAGACAGTGCTTATGGTGTCGATCGATGGTCTTCGTGCGGATTATTTGGATCGTGGACTCACGCCGCATTTACTAGATATCAGTCGGGAAGGTATAAGGGCAAAGTACATGAAGCCTATTTTCCCCGTGCGCATTCCCTTTCGGTTCTTTGCTCTAACACTAAACACTTCCCTCTCTGCAGACTCTGACGTTTCCGTGAGTCATAATTTGTTGAAGTAATTGATACATATAAATGACGTTTGTTTCAGAAATCACTGGGCATTGATGTAAATATTACCCGTATATTGCTCAACACGAGTTTATGCTACATCTAGGACTGGCCTCTACGCTGAGTCACACGGCATCATTGCGAACGTTCGTCCTTTACCACTTTCATCAACTGCCTGGCATTCTCACATTGGCCATGTAGAACTTCTGGGACCCCGTTTTCCAAGACACATTCCATTATGCTCGTGTTGAATCCGCGCAGAACCCGAGCTGGTGGCTCGGTGAACCTGTCAGTACCCACCGAATTGTTTTTGTATGCCCTCTTAATACGTTTCCTTTCACCTCTTGTAACTTTGCACGTCCGTCTCGTCACTTGACTGACACATACGTCGGCCTCCCTGTCCTCTGCATTTCCTGCCGTTTGTACAAATTAGGTGTGGGAAACCGCCGAACGTGCAGGCATCATCACCGCAAACCTCATGTGGTCGGTTTTCTTCCCTCTGTAACTTAATTTGCTCTTTATTCACTTGACCAGGCCTGGTCCTTGGTCTACATCCTCGGGCGTGAACTCTACATATTTTCTACCTTGGGAGGTAAGGGTATAGTCTTGGACTCGAAACAGGATACGATGTGATCTGAAGTGGAACGCAGAATAATTACGCTCTCGAGAAGAAACTTTCCAATCTCTTAGAGTGGGTTGATCTCCCGCTGGAAGAGCGGCCGCAGCTTATTCTTGGTGTGTTCTTGCATCTATTTTCTTTCTCTGCTTCTAGACCAGTATACTTCTGTTGCTCTAAGCCGAGCGATGTTTATTTCTTCTGCTTGTCATTTCGTCCTCGTCGATTCTCTCTTGTGACATGCTGATGTCATTGTTTCATAGGGTATGAACCGTCGCTAGACCAAGCTGGCCATGCAACAGGTCCAATGTCCAAGGCCGTTAATGTAAGCATTGCGTCAATTCCATTGGTTGATGTACTTATTTTCGTTTTCAAAACTTGCTACTTACTACAGATGAGTCTCGCAGCTATCGATCTTTTCGCTCGGAACCTAACCCAAGCACTGGGGGAGCGCAACCTCACTCATATTGTTGATATCATTTTCGTCAGTGACCATGGGATGATGGACACCAGCCACCCGACTTGGATATATGTTGACGAGATTGTTGGTCAGTCGTGGAAAGGTGTTACCAGGGTGGATGGTAAGTAATTCCATCATATAGTCTGTTGCTTACCGGAATGTTTCGACTAAGTGGCGGATTGCTTACTCTGCGCTGTTCAGGTTGGCCATCCATGGGCTTACGCTTCGCTCCTGGCACGAACGTGACCGAGGCCCTTGAGCGTCTGTGCGAGTACACACTTTCCCACCCGGATCAGTTCGATGTGTTCACGACTGAGAGCTTCTCCACCGACCCCGGCACCTCCTTGGTAAACCTCGACGTATTCAACTACGGTAAGATGTCTGCAGGCACAGTGGAGCCTATGCCCGAACGATACCATTTCTCCCACAATTACCGCATCGCCCCTGTGTGGATTGTCCCGCGCACAGGCTACGCGCTGACTGACCACACGGACGGCGAAGATGGAATGTCAACTGGAGTGAGTTCACCTTAACGTATCTGTAGGTCATCGAGCTAACACATCGCACCTTCCTAGAACCACGGCTATGACAACGAAGACCCGTCGATGCATGCCATTTTTGTCGCACACGGGCCTTTCTCGCAGGGCGCGAAAGCGGCTGTGGTCGCACGAGGAGAGGATGATGGCACAGGAGAATACGTGATGCCAGGGTTCCAGAATGTCGAGATCTACAACCTCGTGATGCGATTGCTGGGCCTCGACGCTACAGATACAGCTACAACCAACGGAACCGCTGGATTCTGGGATACATTTGTCTTGCCAGATGCTTGAACTTCATACATATTTGGAGTCGAGCTGCTTTAGATGCTTTAAATGCTATTATTACTCATCACATTACTGGATGTTGATACCTTCCTGGATGTGCTACATATGCATTATATTTGCTACCCTCCCCGAATAATTAGAGGATCTGACATGATGGGATTGCAATCAGGTATAAGATCTACACCATAAGAGCTGGAGAAAAATCAATACAAGGGAAAAGCATGGAGCTCATATATACACCACTGCCTACTCAAAGCCAGTACCAACCATTAATGTGCTTCCGCATCAAACACCATGTGATTACTTCCGATGTTCATATGCTCGCCAGTAGCACTAGGCACGTATGCAGCTTGCGGGACACCTGTCTCATCCAGTCCTTCCGCAGCCTCGATGATCTCGTACAAACGCGAAGCAACTTCGGGTGGAGGCACACGCCCGCCAAGGATATCACGTGCAGGTACAGGTGATCCGTAGAAGTCGCGGTTAGCGTCTTTCCGCTCTATAAGAACAGTGCCCTCCAGCGAGAGACCAGCGAAAAGACCTGTGGCACGTATCAGCACATCATGTTAACAATCACATTACGGTCAAAATGAAAACTAAGATGAAAATATAAGATATCTCACCCTTCGATTTCGAGTATGAGAACATGGGTGCAGGGTGAGCCAAGGTGGCCTGGACGCTCCCGCCAGTGCCAATAGGGCCCGCTGAGGCGCTGATGTTTCCGCCGATGGTGACATTTCCGCCTATGCTGAATGCCTTGACTGCATCCTCGCTGTTCAGTACGATCACAAAATCTGTGATGTCCGCGCCGATTTGGAGGCCCCACCCGAGTCCACCAGTTGCTATGCACGAGGGCGCAGACCATGATCCATCCGGGAGCCGCGCGATGACTAGGCCAGAGCCAGCTTTCCCGCTGAACATGAATCCAGCCTTGAGCACTTGAAATACGGCGAGACCTGAGCGCATTAGTAAGTGAGAGGGGGTGAGCTGAGATTTGATGGATGTCACCTCTTGCACGCTGGAGGACGGCTGTAGGTACTGAGTTGAGTGCAGATTCGGGATGATTGGGGTTAGCTGTGGCAGCAAAGCATTCAGCAAGTGATGTTGTCGATGTCGTTGGAAAGAATATGCGCACCAAGGAAACTCTCAAGGATCTTTGCTGCCTTCTCAGCTTCCCCCGGCAGCGTGAATCCTTGCACGAAGTCTCTAGAGCCACTCGCCACGCGCGAGGAGCCTTCTTTGACGAGAGCCGTGGCCTGAATGCCCGCCTTCTGTGCGCCCTTCTTGAATTTGTCTAGCATGGACATGATGAGAACTTAAGGAAGATATCAGATGTGTCGTGAACTGCTTATACTCAGCTAAGTAGTATTATCAGCCTGTGCCAGCTCGGCCAAGGCAGTACTACGGCATTTTACGTAACAGATACACGCTTACGCGCTCATCCGTGGTCACGCAACTCGCAACAAGTCATGGAAACTGATTGGGTATGGATATGATTGTGCTATTATTAATAAGAAGTCGTCCAGAATGTATTACCGCCACACGTCGTTGAGGGTTGTAATGCCAGACATGCTCGTTGTGAACTCATTATTGGGATCAGATTCCCAAGTAATATTACCATTGTTGACGATGATGTACTTATACTGAATTTGTGTGTTCGCTGGAAGAGTGACGGCCGCTAGGACTTGGTGTTAGTACATGTTGCACTTAAAAAAAAGATTCGACGTACTGCTCCAGGTTGGGTAGTCAGCTGAGGACATGAGAATAGCATTGGTGGTGCTCCAGTCAGTCAGAGCACCGACAGAGCCAGTCAAGTATATGTTCTCTATAGGCGGCAGAATTGAATAAACTTGGTTACGTTCACTGCATTAATCAACTCACGTCCCACGACAGTAGTAACGTTGACGTTGAAGATAACCGGAACAGTTGAGGCCTTGCTAGTAGAGCATGCGGGGGAAACTGAAAGACCCGCAGCACCCCAACTGGCAGATGTTTCACCAGCTCTTGCATTGAATGCAGTCAACGCAGACGCATAGCTCCACGTGAGATCGAAAGCACTGTTGGGTGTGCCATCGCTCCTGGTGTACTGCTCAGCCAGTCCTCCACCTGAGGGAGTGTACTTCGCAGCCGTAGCAACGAAACCGTCTGCGAAATTCTTGATCGCTGTTGTGAGAGTGCTGTAAGTTGGAGTCGAGGAGCTGTAGGTCCCTGGCTTAATGCTTGCGTCGAACTGTTGGAAGAAGGGGAAAGAGACATCTGTTACCGTCAGCAAGCCTTCCTTACTCCACACGATGAGGGCGTCGTAGAGCTGCTCGGCAACTGCAAAGGATGCCAAGTACCACGGCTACGGACAGTTGAGAAATAAGATCAGGAATAGGATAAAGACCTTACGTTACCACCCTGGTACACATCCTCAGGGTACCGTCCAGTTGCAACAGCCTGGTCGGCGCGTATGCCAGCGTTGATGTCGTATATCTCACGGAAAGAGTCCACATAGACTTTGAGGTTGGATAGAGCAACATCAGAGCAGGGCTGGAAAGTAACACCATCGCAGCCAGCTTCGACGTCAAAGACGTGAATGGATGTCAACACTGTGTTCGCATCTCTGCCAGAACGGCCCCCTCCGGTGTTGGCGGTCATGAAGCCAGGTGAGGGGTTCCAAAATGACTATTGAGATGCTCGCTTTGGGAAAATACTACATGGAAGACTCGCTGTACGCACCTGGAGGAAGCAGAGAATCTTGTTGGCCTGGGTATTGTATCCACTGACAACTGAACTTTGGCCGATTGCAGTGGCAAGAGCGGAGCCCTGACGAAGTGCGCGGTGCTGAACAGCGCTAGTAAAGAATGAAGAGGAATCAACCTCCTCCCACAGGTCGAAACTTAACCGTTGTGTGAGTCTCAGGACAAGAGTGCTTGAATTAAGCAAACCTCACGTCGTCTCATTCCAATTGTTCATGATGTAGTCTAGGTCGAGTTTGATAATGGGCCAAAGGGAGTCGGTGACGTATGTCTCATTTTTGTTGGCAATAAGCCAAGTTGCATAGGTGATCATGGCGGTTGAACGCAACGCAGGACCATCTGTTTTCCCTGTTAGCGATAGTATGCCACTGCGCATTTATCATACATACCACGCTGGGGGCGACCCCACGCCCCAGTGAATGCAGTCTCATTGATGTTGAACTTGGGCTCGCCTAAGCCACCAGTGGAGACAGTTCCACTTGGGTTGGGGACCTGCTGCATATTTGCTTCGGCGACAATGAAGTCATTGATGTGACCACGTAAGGTGGTGTCTTGCCCAGAGGTGTATTGATCAATGAGCATTTTGAAAACGAGCGAAGAGTCCCGGACCCATGTGTACAGGTAGTCTGGATCAGTGGTACTAGGACTGGCGATGACCACGCCGGGCTGCATGAATTTGGGTCAGCAGTTCAAATACTTGGTATCTTCAGAACCCACATAAGCTCCAGACGACTCAACACCACTGGAGCCGATGTTTGCAAGTACACCAGCTTTGGCAATGGGGGATTCAGTACTTATATACGAGTCCACCGTACTTGACTGGCCAAACGCTGAAGCGCAAAGCCCAAGCGTAGAGGCTAACCTGAGGGAGCGCCACATATTGACCTGGGGAAAGATGGTCTGCAAAAATCTGCAGACCTCGTCTTTATAACTCCAGTACGGCCCGTACGATGCCATATGCAAGAACCGAAGAACGATGTCAGGGAAATGATCGTGGTTACATTCAAGAAGGTCCGCGGCTAACTTATAAGCCATAAATTTCAGGCTGAGCTGGCCAGTTTGGGGCCACTTGGCTTATCCACAGCGCTCCATATGATGATATAGTCAAGGAGCACTTTCAAATGGTTGTTTCTGCTAGCTAACAGCACCAACCGTGTGAAAACTTGATTTACATGAATTTGTATTACGTACGTCTATACGGCCCTATACCATGGTCTCGCTCCTGGTCAACTGCCAGCGGAAACCCAGCTAGCTCGAAAACCTGGACCATTACTGTAATGATCACATCATTTGGAATCGTAGAACTGAATGATCTCATATTTCCATTCTGCGATTACAACTGGTGGGTTTCTGGACCTTCCACCACTTCGAGCACTCGGCATACAGAGATCATCGATGAAGGCCCTGGCATAGCGGTCAATTTCATAGTAAGAAGTAACGACTATCGTCATTCTTTTTCATTGATGATCTGTCTAGGGGAGACTAGCTCAGTCTTGATACTTTCCACACAAGTATTGCAACTTGCAACTTGCGGATCGCGACGAGGCACCGATTCGAGGACTGGACTCCTTCATATGTATATATTTAATATGTCATTGTTAAACTCAGTCCATCTCCACGATCCAGAGGTCCTGTCTAAAGCAATTCTGCAACTTATAATTGTGGCGATGGAGGGAACACAGGGCGAAAACCTAATCTTTCTCGGTCAGCTCTGGGCAGACCGTCATTCGCATCCGTACCTTGGCGACAAGCTTTCTGCCGTTAACTTTACCAGCTGCTAGCAGACTAGACCACCGGTGCTTTCAGGAAATCATTCGCGCCATGCCCCAGCTTAGATATGAAGAAACTCCATGCAACTACAGCTGTCTGATTGCCCGGCTCTTCTGTAATGGTTTCTGCCGATGAATCACAAGTGCATCTAATTCTAAATTCAAATCAAGTACAACTCGGCAAGTTTCAAGTTGGACTAATCTTACACATCGACATGAGCTAGTGGAAATTCCCAAATATTCACGACGTCATTACTAGTCCAAAGACAACTCCCATGTGGAGGTCAGACATCTGTGTCGAATGCATCTCCCATGTGGGTGTTGTGCTCTTTACAGCTCCGCTTTGCATTCACTTTACACAATGACAGCCATCGAATACTCCCGAATGACCACAACTGCACTGATCCACAGTCCACTATATGAGTGTTCCGCCACAGTAAACCATGCAGGATTCAATAGCTATAAGATCCTTGTACACGACGACGGTTGTAAGTCCCTGATCACTTAGAATGAACCCTCTCATCTTCACCAACGCTTTCGCATCGGTCCATATCGGTGTCCAAGAATGTTTTTGCGGCAAACCGACGGTGGAAGATCACGATTTCTGCTTTTGCTCTCCTAGCTGTGCTCGCGCAGATTCATTGCGCACTCTAGGTGGTCAAGGTGACTACCATTATCGCAACGTTATGCAGAGGGCATGTGCCAGCCCAGCTGTTCCACAACATGCGCTCTCGAGGCACAAGTCGGAGCACCAGCTTCGCAGTGTTTCTATCTCGAAGCGCGCTTCTATGTTGCAGCAGTCTCCACGTTCCCCCAAGCCAATGAAGACCCTCCCCACATTGGAAGAAGTCACGACCACTATTCTTCCTAGAGAAAGCATATTTGAAGGCGGAGACACTTCTGTTCATATTCCCCGGCGGCCCTTCGAACCACGAAATGAATCCGTTGACACACAACAATCTGATCCGCCTCAACGGACCCTCAAGCACTCCTTGCCCTCTAAACCGGGGCTTAACAAGGGCGTTCGTGATTCAATCTTCGCAATGTTCCGTAAAAAGATTCAACAGGCTGCCCCGCCGAGCGCGAAAATTCGAAGAGAGTCGTCGGTAACTGGAGCCATATTACAAGAAATGGAAGAAGAAAACGAGGAAGAAGCTGCTTGGGGAGGACTTCAGGATCGCATGGAGGACAGCTCAAGGCCCCCTACCTTGGTTCACCATCAAGTCAGACAGACTACTGACACTCGACGATCACGCGTCATTCGTCGCTCGGCTTCGTTCGCAGGCTTTAACGGTGATAGGGGATCTGTGATGGAGGTAGTTTCACAACTTCGTCAAGCGTGGAACGAGATGACAGACATCACACCGGACTTTGACGAGAGCTCGGACGAGGAGTATTAGTTGCCATTTTATTTTGCCTTTGAATGCGCGGAGCGTGATATGAATATGCTACACTATGTACTATGTCATGTACAGTTACGATTACTTATCAACTACTTATGCTATAACTCGAGCAACGATATCTCTCTCTGGCTTCACGATACCATGATCCTGTTGTTCCCATTACTATGGGGTGTACCAAGTTTCGATCGATTTACGTCGACTTCCGGCTTATTATATAGTAACACTTCAATGGATACAAAAAAAAAACACTGCTTCAAACCGCCTCAGATCCTGTCCTATAAAGCGAGCACTCCAATAACATAGATCGTTCGTACGACGTACACCTCACTACCGACTCTGTCTGTTGGATACTATCATGTCCTCTGACCAGATCTCATCTCAGGTCTCACAGCAGACCCTGCAGGCTCAAGTAATGATCGGAATTAAAATACAAATTGTTCGAAACGAGGTATGTTATGAACGCACTATGAGTCTTTCGAGAATCATAAGAAAATTCGCGTTTCTCTCGAGTCATCTCTCATGATAGATTCATACCATTGCTGCAACCAGAACAAATTCAGTTCCCGATTACATCAACTCGCAAGAACTCACATTTAGTCGTATTCTTGTTTTGTTTTTGGATACGATAGTTATATCCATGCTAGCAGTTTTATGGAATCATGTGTCCTCCTGGGAAGCAGGGGGTGAACAGACACCGAAAATGAGCAAGGGCAGAAGCTTACACCTGACCTGCCCTCCCCAAGTACCAAAGGTAGAAATGGTCGCTCATGAACTTCCCCCAAGCCGAGTCCTCTTTGTTCCACGTGTCATAAGCCCGTGTTTTGTAGTCGAACAATCAGCCGCCCAAATGCCAATTTTTGAATTACTTACGTCTGTACGGTTTTCACTAGGGTGCGACCTTTTAGCAATCAAATGGTTGAATGAACGAGCGGAAGGCCCTGGAGGATACCTCGGTCTGCGATAGTTCAGGATTAATTAAATGTTGTTGGCTGTGAATTTTTGACTTGCTACTTAGTCCCCATAACCCTGGTCCCTTGAAACTATCGCATTGACATTGACCACTATAGGGTGTTTGTCGTCAACGGGAAGGAGGCAATGTTCATTCCTACTAGCCAGGACAGGGTTTAAAGGCCCTGAAATGAAGTGTTTGTATCAGACTTCGTACCCGTAAGAGTCCTGGTCGCATAGATCATGAAAGTGAATTCCTCTTTATACATTTCAAGTATTTCGCCGGGATCGTGGTAGACCGCAATGATACTAAACCTCTGAGTACATGCGCTCATAACGAGCCAGCAGAGTATGAATGGGGTGCTTGCGCTCCCATTCTTCGAGCAGGAACTCATGAACGGCAGCAATCGGCGCTAATAAAACATTTCAACCTTTTGAATATCTCTCAGCTCCAGAGTTAAAAAACTATGGAGAAACCCCTTCGTGGTTTCGTGGCTTTTTGGACTTGACAACTATCCCCTTCCTCTATTTCAGAGTGAAAGAACTAGAGGAGGCCGTCGAGTGATGGATACCGTAGACGGTGGAGTATAAGGGACAACCTGCACAGCACTTTCCGGAATGCGTCGACTCCGGCAGGAGGACTGATTTATGTTGGATCCTCGGTCTTTCATTCTGATGAGGCAAATGAGACTGGTGGGGTGCAGAAAGATGACGAGGGTACCTCCAACTGAACAGCCTTTCGAGTACTTGAACAGAAGTAGAAAAGGCGACAAGGTTCGTAATATCTTCATTGGAGAACAATGTGTTTTTCTGAGTATCATCCTCAGCCAAAAGTTCAGCAACGGGTTTGAAACAGGTTTTGCATCAGAACACCGGACAAAAGTTACAGAGTAAGTGATAGAATGAGGATGCTCTTGAAAGATACTGTGGACTAATTTTGAAGCTAGGGTTGCTGATGCAAGACGACCAAAGTCAGGAAGGGATGTCAGAACATACGCTAAAAGACCCGTGTTCACGAAGGAGGTTGAACCGAGTTCTCCATCTGTGCACTTTAGGGGGTCATGAAGCGTTGTGCACATGTGGGCTGTTCGTTCGTTCGTTCAAGGCACAGCAAAACCACAGACGGGCTTTGAAGATCTGTGTTGCATTACGACAGTGAGCTCGTTATAGGTGTCCAATGGTAAGTGGCTCACGTTGGTCAAACGAGTTATATGTCCGGACTTTTCCGAACAAGGTGCTCCAAACACGCATAACAGCTTTTGCAAGATGTCATTTCCATATACCTAGTTCCGTTAACTCAAGAACCCACCTTATCGCTGTCGTTGTGTTTTCTCCCGTTCCCAGGAGGCTTGCATTATGATGGCTCGCGCGTCCTTAGTCTTATTGCTCCTTTTCTTTGTAATTCAGGTCTACGCGCAACCATTCAGCTTCCTTCGCAAACTGTCTGCGACCTCCCAAGAGGGCAGTTGGTTGTGGGGTTGGGTTTGGGGCGCTGAAAGCTCTGTTTCTGTGGTGGATCGGTCACCGCCTCTAACCTTCCGTTCAAGGCCTGCGGCTTTTGGTCGGGAACTCAAGGAGCCACTCTTAGGTTATGTCATTCCACTGTCCTCGTTCACGACTTCATGCCCTGGCAACGATACCTTACTGGTAGACCGTCATTCGAATTCGGGGTGCCCGAAGTTATGCATATGTGGTCCCCACCAACCGGATCCAAGCGAGTCTTGGATCGCACTAGTGCAGAGAGGCCAATGCTCCTTTGTGGACAAAGTGAGTGTGCTCGTCCAGAATCCTCGACCCGATTTTCTGATATCGTGTTAGGTCAGGGAATCCCAGAGACTGGGTGCCAGGGCCGTTGTCATCGGGGGCCAAGATCCCGACATCAGCGGTCAACCAGACATGCTTGTCAATATGTATAGTACAGGTTCGCTCTTTTCTCATGCAACCATCGAACCACAGTTGAAATGTTCCAGGCGACGCTTCTGACGTCGAAATTGCTTCCACCTACATCACATGGTCGGATTACAAGGAATTATCTTTGTTAATACGCTCGTCTACGACCTCTCATGCTGGCTTACAAACGCTTTCACTTTTGATCACGACTCAATACTCAGCTTGGGAATGGTATTCGTGAGTGTCAATGTCCTCTCGCAGTTCGCTGCTCAAAGTCGACCATTCAGCCCAATATTAACATTCATCGTCATCCTAATACTCCCCTCTTGTCTCACATTCGTCACACTTCTCATTCATCGCATCCGCATGGCTCGTGCAGCACAACGTGATCGTGCTCCGGAAAATGTTGTCAAAGGTTTTCCATGGCGGGTCTGGAATGGCACTGCATGGGAGAAACATGAGGGAACCATGACACATGGAGCCCATTCAATCGGGGCACACGACACTGATCTCGAGTCGGGTCCTTCAGATCATAGTGCATCGTCGCCCTCCACATCTCATGAAGCACTGAGCCATGCGCCGATACCATGGTGCGAGACGCAGGTGGAATGTGCCATCTGTTTATCGGAATTTGTCAAAGGAGATTGCGTCCGGGAGCTGCCGTGTCATCACATCTTCCATCTGGAGGAAGTTGATTCGTGGTTGATCAACCGGAAGAAATTGGTGGGTTATTGTGTCTCAAATCATTTGGGGCATGGCGATTCTTACTTGTTCACAGTGTCCTGTCTGCAAAGCAGATGTCACCCGACCCTGGCATCTTTCCCAAGCAAATAAACCGCATGCTGCACCTGCTAATGAACAGGGTTCTGATTCTGATGCAATATCTTCGTCTGTTATTACGCCTCCCATTACGGAACTGACACCCCTGCTTCGCGACCGCAGCGGGAGCACCGGCTCATGACATGAAATGATGATGATCGTGTTGAATTATTTTGTATGATATATGATAAGGCGGCCTCTCGGGTTCTCTTCTATTTCGCTCTGCGCATCGCGCACTGCGGTGTACCGTGTTTTTCAGTTGTAGTACATGTGCTCGTCAATAATACCGATGTACTCTTACCAGTCTGTAACTCGAGGCGATAATCACTGATCAGTAACGTAAGTGCTCGTGGTGGGGTCAATCTTAAAACCTGTTACCAAATTGAGTTTACTTAAGCTTGTAGTTTGTTGTGCAGTGTGGTTCTGTAACCCAAGTGTCCGATGACCGCCAGTCTCATTTGCGCCCAGGGGACAAAGAGATAAGGTACGTATGGACGCACTTTGTTATATGCTTCAAGCTGCATAATTGGCAAAACAGGAACATATACGGGCCAAGCTCCGAAGCTATAGCCTCAGTATGGGTCTTTCTCTTATTGTTGTTATTTTTGCACTTCAACGTGTTCCATTTAGTAAGTCTGTTTGTTCGAGCCAAGAGAGTTCATAATCTTTAGAAAATGAACACATGGCTAGAAAGCTAACTGCACCGGCGGTGAGTTTTACGTCGATGGCCCTCTTTATTTCTACCAGAGTCCAGACCGGGGCTAAGCCGGTTTCGGATTTAACCATTGTGCGCGATTCAAGTTCGCAACTGGAAAGTCGCGTTTCATGAGCATCTTTGTCTCACTTGGTCGTCACTTGTGTCTTTATTGGAGGGATCGTGAATAGCGGACCCTCTTGTAGACTCTGTTAACAGCCGTTGCATCCTATCTTCCTTAACAAACACAGAGTTTTCTCTTTATCTTTCTATATAAATGGCCAAGGCTTCCCGCAGCACTTCTAACTTCGGTGAGTATACGTCAGACAATTTGGCGCTTGCATCAGTGCCGACAGTGGCCCAGGCAGTGACGCAGAAGTGCGATTTCCTTACATACCAGCTAAGGAGAAGAAAATGCATTTACAGTCGTCGACACTTTGTCGCTACTATGCGACTGGAAGTTGTCGGCGCGCTTCAGCGTGCCGTTTTGTGCATCTGCAACCAGAGAACGTCCCACAAGGCATGATGTCTCTATGTTTGCTTCGTCTCCCGCGGACTTACATCGCAGAAATCTCGCCATCAGAGAATGCTTATTCTAACGAACAACCCGTGCACACGAGAATATGTCGCTACTACGCCGCCGGACATTGTCGACGTGGTTCAGCATGCCATTTTGTGCATTCGCTACCGGAAAGTGCGCCACAAGGTATGGTGTCCCTAGTGTTCGTTTCGTCTCCCACAGACTTACATGCAAGGAATTCCAAAGGAATACCGCCATTAGTGTATGCTTACCCCAACAGACACGAGGTGCACACGAGAACACCACTCAAGGGGTGGGATCAAGACATCGGCCATAGTCATGGCTACACAGCGTATGCCATATACACAGTAGCCCCACATACGGAACCATACCGCTTCGACACGAGAGGCGCCTTTGACAATTTCAGCGATGTCTCTTCGAACTCCAGCCCGTCTGATCAGAGTTTGAATGCCGCATTCCAAGTCATAACCATCGAAGAACCTGTCCCTTCAGAATATCTCCCTTCTGCGTTCTCACAATCGTCACCGAGCTTACAATATCCCAACAACGCGGGACCACGCTGTGGCAATGTGGCATACCCTGGTTACGATCGAGGATATACTCTAACTGGTTTGAAACCTCGAACCGCCACCCGCAGAAAAGCAGAGCAGGCGAAGGAGAAGCAAACCCTATATAGGAGTGAGTTTTTCCGATAGCTACTTTCCGCCATGGTTGGTTGCTCATCATTACAAAACAGCTAAACCTTGCAAATTCTTCTCAGCACACAAAAGCTGTCCTAAGGGCAATAAATGCAGGTTGTACGTGCTCTCTTGATGTGATGTCTTTTTTTTGGTAAAGCCATCACAGTTTTCATGATGTAGAGAAAAGTAAACGGGCAAAGAAAGCCGATAATCAGGCCCGTGAGACACCGTCATCTCACTTGCCTCCAAAACTGCATTCACCTCAGGAAGAGTTCAAGGCACATGATTATTATCCTATTACCTGGCGAGTGATTGGTGGTGGTGTAATGATGGGTGGGTATAGTATGTACTCCATAGTCAGTCGCAATTATTTTATTGACACATGTCCCACAGGGATACCTTGCAAGGCATTCGCAGCAGGCTACTGCCCCAACGGCAATAATTGCAAGCAGGCTCATGAGACTGAGGCCTGGACTTCTGGTGAGTTTCTGATCTAGTACCATTCACGTGAATTACTCACTGAAGAATGGGGCTTGAGCAGAAAATGATATTGTGGAACTTAAGACACAAACATCGGCGACGTCTGTGGCAGTGCCATCCTCTGCAAAGCAATCGATAGATTCAAGTGTTGAATCAAAGTGCAGGGCAGTATGCACCCACTACTCTGATTCATCTCATAATATCCACGACACCGACGGAGGCACATCTGGTAGTACGAATGATGCAGAGGAATCTATGGCTGCTTCAAATTCAAACAGCGCCGTTCCCTCTCGACATCGACGTACCAGATCGATGTCTATGCCGACTTCGCCGTCAGTTCTCAGAGCTCCTCATGTGAGTGCTGTCTGCATGCTTGACAATTCAACTAACGTACCCCGAAAGATTTTCGCGGAGTTGTGACTGCCAATTATGAAAGGATAACAATTGCTGTCGCCCAATTTGATGATTCTAAGGAATGTTCACATGGATGGAAGTGGTTGGCTGGGAGCTTACCGGATTTTGAGGGTTCATGAATGTTGTAGCATATATGTAACATTAAGAACGAGATGGAGACTGGACCCTTACATTTCGAGGCTATGGATATGAGGGCTCAGAAGCTCAGCGCTCAGTATCAAACGTGCTGCTAGTATGCACTTACGCACTGTACTAGTAGATCCACTGAACTGCCACATCCGCCGCCACTAGCCTCTTGAGAAAGTAATAGCAGTATCCTGGTACTCCACCGTAAAGTTATAAGTCTGCTTGTTGGCACAAAACCTTAGCGAAGTTGCTATATAGTGCCCCGTTGCGATGGCGGTCGTAAATTCATCTCCGAATTCTTCGTATAATTCTTCGTATCAAGTCTGGCTCTTCTCTCGAGCCTTGAACTTGAAATGGATGCATGTATGCCATACAAGCATTGCCGCCTCTCAACAAGGGGTATGGAATATACCATTCGAGGGTTGCTCGAGCGTGGTCCGTTCGTACGTAAGTTGGCTACACTTCAACCCGGGTACAATTCAAGCGGTTCTATTCTGCTTGAAAAGAGTCTCATGCTCTTTTGGTTGGTGACAAATGTTCCGCCATCGCAGCAAATATAGTAATACGGTCTCCCAACGACTCCCGGATAGTATTGCAGTGCTGCTCAGAGAACCAATGACTTGACTAGGAGATATAAGCTAGTCGTTAATAGACAGATTAGTAAACGGGTTAGGAACTTAATGGGAATGTGAATTTACTGCGTATAAATAATAGAGTAGAGTATGCGGAAGAGAGCCGTGCGCAGCGGGGTGATCTTGTAAGTAATCGGTCCCAGCCATGCTACCAAGTCACTGCGTGATCCGACCATGGGTCTGTCACCAGACGAATCGGATGTAAGTGTTTTGACGCAAGAAGCGGGCACTTGAGTGGCTGCAGAGGTTCCAGGGAGAGTACAATAAAATCCTAAACATGATGTCAGCAGGGAAATCATAAGGACCATGGCTCAAGACTCACTCTAACTGAGAGCGGGTCTGTTGCGAAGCTTCCGACCGTGACATCTTCGGTACATCGCAGTTCCCCATCCCAGTCCAAGCAGTCAATGCCCTCCCCAAGGGGGACGTTGCGATATGAGTAATGATTGTCGGGTAAAGGTGAGGAGTATGTCAATTTGCCTTCTCCTATTATTCGTTTGGACACCTTTTGTTTTTCGAAGACTTTAGGAACTACTTGGCGGAGTAAGTAGACGCGGATGGTGATCTTTCCTGAGAGGAGCACAGGAAGGCTGTGATCAGGTGCAAATTTGTCCAAGAATGGAGCTAATGAGCTCGATGGGGCACGCAATTGGAGATGGAACGGTATTGTCTCAGAAAATGGATAAACCTGTACTGAAGGAATAAAGAGCTATCACAGCAGTTAGAGACATGAGGACACCACAATTTGACTCAAAGACTTACAAGGCATTGTACCGGCGCGAGCCTGGAACTCTGTGTTGCATTCATGGTAGAGAGTACTTGATGCCATTCTTCAGGGGAGCTCTTCACCGTGGTCATGAACGGCACGTCGCTCGGAAGCATGGGTGTGTGTGGGCGAGAACGCGGATGATAACATACGGGTACCACGAGGCTGCAAATCGTGGAATCAGGGAATGTGAGTTTTGAACACTGCTACTCGTACTTACGAATCATTAGAAGATAAGAGTCGTCGAGGCCTTGAGACTACGACGCTAAGAGTGTAGGAGCACGTCGCAAATTTGTCCTCAAATGAGGGGGGTAAAGGTTGCGGTTGACATCCATCCATGAAAACAGAAGAAAAGGATATTGCAAACGGTAGGGTCCTAGGACAAGGATCACCGGCAGTGGACGAAGAACTCCACAAAGAATACGAGTCAGATGCAACCAATGTGGTAATGGCTGTCCCTGATGTCTCAAGACGAAGGTGACCCTCGAGCTATTGGGGAAAATAAGATAAATGCTAATTTGAAGACAGACGTGAACTCTACCTTCAAGGTGACCTCTACGAGGCCTTCTGAACTTCGCAAAGATATGTGGCCTCGAACGAGTCCATTTCTTCCGTAAACGGGCGTTATGCTCCCTAGCGGCTGATCTTTTAAAACAAGTGTGATGCTGTCTGTTATTCTACGAAAGACTCCAGTGTTATGGATTTGTGAAGACCGTCGTTGAGTTTCCTCAACCGTCTGTTCCCCTGGGAGAAGCTGTGTCGAGTATGACGGCGATGGTGGGGAAGGAGTATATGAAGGGGGAATAGACTCCATCTTGATCTTGAGGTACGAGGAGTTGAATCTCTTTCATGCCTCTGTCAATAGTGTTTATAGCAGCGCAAGAATCAATCTCGGCGTTGACTCATGCACGAGTCATCCTGGTTCAAAAATCATTCACATACTGCACAGTCCGGCACCGCAGTCATTGTCTTGTAATGATAGTTGTCTATCTAGGTGGACTGTGGCGAAGGTTTGATGCAGTTTGACTCACTGTGTGCTAACGGGCAGTGATGGTAAGACGGACTTGGCATACGCCGAGACTTGGTGAATTAAGCGCCGATCAAAATTAAACGCGCAGCACGTAACTCTAGTAATAACCCCGAATGTCCATTTTGGTGTCACGGTGATGATGCGCTGAGATTGCTATTAGACCTTTACTGTGTTCCTCTGGCTAGGCGCCCCACACGACCTTCGAGTCACCTCCAAGTCCTCACAACCCCCGCGATAAAGTCCCTATATTTGGCGGACCAAGGATGCAGTGCTTCCTACGGGCAGATGAATTATTCTGAGACAAAGGGCATAACTCGCGCCTCACTTCGGACCCTCTTTGCGGTGTTCTACAGTATCGATATCTAGTCCTTTCGGGTCTTATACTCTGCTTCAGCCACTGGCCATTTAGATCTGACAGCCTGTATATATACTACTTCTTTATAAGGCGACCTCCATCTGGACTGCGTGAACCTTTCTCGCTATTCTACCATCTTGATAGCAATGGAGGTCAACAATGACTACGATTTCTTACTTCCTATGGCGTCGTTGCTTCGGGCTGGCACGTCCAAGGCTCATGAATCCGCAGAGCACAGTCAAGGCGGCGTCCGGCTCGCAAAGGGTGAGCTGGACAAGCAAGAATACCTGTATTTCTTAATGATGCTGTGGCACGTATACGCGTAAGCTTCATTCAAGTCACATTGCATACTATGTGTTGACTCGCACTCAGCGAACTCGAGCGGGGTCTAGAGACGCACCCGTCATACCCAACGCTACAACCAACGTATAATCCTACATTGCTTGCACGCACTCCGAGTCTCTCTCAAGACATATCATATTTACTTGGGGTCCCCGAAGCAGAATGGCAGACGCACCCATCGCACAGCTCGTTGATGGCGTCACCTCCCAAGCCTTTTGTGGAATACACCACGCGCCTCCGGGAGCTTTCTGAGTCTTCAGATCCCACATGTTTACTTGCACATGCTTACGTCCGCTATCTCGGTGACATGAGTGGCGGCCAATTCATACGGCGACGTATAGCCAAGGCATACGACCTGGATGCGGATCGAGGAGATGGTATACAATTTTACGATTTCAAGAAATTGGACAGTAGTGAATCTGCGAATATGGGGGATCTCAAGAAAATCAAGGAATGGTACAGAGATGGACTGAACGCTGGTATTGGTGATGACACCACATTGAAAGGTTTATACACCGTCTTTGGGTTACTTCCGTTTTCTGAACTTTGATTCGCCAGCGGCTGTATTGGAAGAGGCCAACAAGGCCTTCAAGTTGAATGCCAGTATCTTCGATCTACTGTCAGGGGAGGGGCGCATTCAGGAACCACAGCAGCCAGCTGTCTCCGCGCCGAAACAGGCGAAGGCGCTGTATGACCCAATATTAGTTTCTTTCGGTGGCCTCCTTTCAGTGGCAATGACTGTGGGCCTGGCTCATGTCGTCTATATGGGCGCTAGCAACACCAGTGGCAATTGCGTGCTCAGGGGTGCTGAGTATTGGTTACGAAGCATTCTGTCGATTGCATAATGATTCCGAGATGCGTTTTAATGAATGGGATGGTTTGGAATGGGCATTCTGGATCTCAAGTTGTAGCATACATATCGTCATAAGACAGGCTTGCGTGTACATACTATAATGACAGTTTCATGAAATGGACTTGATATTGGTATTTGAGATCTGAACATTATCAAAGTTACGAATACAAACAATGAACAGAAGTAGCCAGCTACTATTAGTGTCCTGCAGCTGAAGTAGACTAAATCTATTAGACTACATATAGTTCGTGTGGCAAGTATCATCGACTCCTTGTGAATGCATCCTTTCCACCATAGTCCTCTTCGAAATCGACGGTAGACCCACGCATTGGTTGCATAACAAGACTCGCCGTACTCTGGGAGTCATGCAACTGCGCATAGGGACCACTCTTAAACCCGTCCACAGAAGCAGCCCCCCCATTCTGTTGGGCAGCCTTCTTGGCAGCTTTCTTTGCCATCCGCTTGCGGCGACAGCAACAACGCCACACGCAATAACTTATGAGGAGAATCAAGAGCACCAGGCCTCCGACAACGATGTAAGGCCAACGACTTAGAACCAGTTCCTCGTATGCTTGCTTTTTCTCCGCGGCGCTCTCAGGCGAGTGTTGTTCCTGTGATGCAGGAAGTAGGGCGTATTGAGAAGAGTTAATTGTGTTTTGCCCGTTCAGCCGGACCTGAATGAAGTCGTTGACAGCGGATTCGACGTTCGTGAGCGGGAGCAATTGGATGTAGGGATTATTGGAATTTGAGCCGCCGGTGATGAAATTGCCATAATTAATCAGGGCGTATGTGTTCCGCACTGCGAATGTGTCAAACAGGTATTGTCAGAACAGGTCGACAACCTACGGAAAGCCATTCCCAAAATCATATCATACTCTCCAAGAAGACTAAATGCAGAAGTGACTGGTTGGAACTATTCGGAAGGTCCAGATTTAGAACAACTTCGTGTTATGCGGAACTGTCACATACCGTTCCCAGGCAAGCTGGGTTTCCATTTGAGAAGGTCACCCCAAAGTCACTCGACGATACATCGAGTGGGTGAATAGGATATGAAACGCCCCCAAAATTGAAGGTAACATTGATAAGTTGCCCGCAAGGTACTAGCCAAGCTTCGTTTGCAACCGACCATTCGGCACCCTGTACACGCCCATAGATGGCATCCGACACCGTTCGAGGCACTTGAGGCAGGGTGAAGCCAGAGTCTAAAACTCCCACTATTGTGCCGTCAGGAGCTTTGGGGGCAATCGATGAATATTTGATCGGCTGTCCGTCAGGCCCAATGATGCCATTATTCTTGTCTGTTACAATCTGCCAATGCTGGTCAACATCAGTCACTCTGTAAACCTTTTCAATCGACAAATGTGGCATGCTGGTAATATTCTCGAATCCTGGAACGAGTTCTCCTATGGTGAACTGGCCAGTGATATTACTCCCTGGGTCTCCTTTGCGACTGAGCATCATAGTTATGTAGTCATTTGAGGACGTTTGTTCGAAAATTCTGTTGATTGGGTTATTCCCCGAATTTCCGTCGAGTTTCTTGTATATCGAGGAACCAGAATTTGGGCCAAGGCCGATGAGACCGTCATACCCTTCCGAATGAATATTTGTGGAGAAAGATGATACATTTGCAACAAGGACTGCACTGGATGTCAGAAAACGAAGCGGTGATACAAAAAAGGACACGGACGGAATGCCTGGTCGCTGACAGATTGCCCAGCAAATTCAAAAGGTGCGGTATAGATGTCGCCTGGCTATGGACGTAATGAATCGTGAGAACTATAACTTTGAGCGACTGACCAGCAGCTGTTCCAACTGGCGTATGAAAGTTTTAGAGAACTACCTGTGTCTGTTGCTCCAGGTATGGAGCCGGTCACCCATAGATCAGAGCTGTAAATGGGCAAATAAACAAATACCCGCAATGGCTGTGAAATTTGTATTACCTTCCCGTATCCAGCATCACTGATATGTTTTGACCACCAAGCATGATATTCGTGTAGTAGAAAGAGTTTTGCGTGTTCCCGACAGGTAATATGCCATTGGAAGACGATTGACGAGGGAAATGGGTGGTTGGGTTGTTAGCAGGTGTTTGAACGTGGACATCGAAAGGGATTCGGAGAGCAAGGACAGAAATCGTCGAACACAACGAAGAAACAAAGGAAAGTGTGATGAAGGAGTGCATCATGACGCCACTAAAGCGTTAATAATATGTTAGCCTGCACGGCGTGGAGGAGGATGGAAACGAGAACGTATGTAACTTGATGTGATGAAATTAAATCTTGTGGGATCAAATCATCAACCGTTGCACAGCAATTTTACTAGGCTCTCATATCAAACATCTTCCCTTCTCAACGTCACGTTCTATCATATCAGCGTGCTTTGGAATCGCCTTGGAAATGGCCTGATCATCTACTGCATTGTACTGGAATGAAATTCATGATTGTGAGTGACCTCCTTATGTGCCCTAGTAGTGCTGAATGACAATGCATTGTCAGATTGTACAAGTAGTAGTAGGCCATCCTTGGGCCATCCAAACTGGATGCTACCGCCTAGTCTCCCTATAGACGAATGTAAATGGTTTTTCCTTCTTAGCAGGTGCCTGTAACTCGTGACAGACAAAGAAGAGCATGCACGACAACCAATGAAGTGATCCGGTCGAAAATGGTGAGCTCTAAGCACTGCGAGCAACACGTGGATTCTGAACGCCCGTCCGATCAATTCATGAAGCTCAGGCTGTGCTGTCAACGTAAAACATGCAGCCGACCCCCATATAACCCTGAAGGCTCAGCATCTCGGTTTATTTCTTTTCTCTTCAGTACTTTCCAGTGCCATGAGGTCGTTTTTGCTACTTTTTTTCTTTGGCTTTTTAGTCACCTTGAACACTGCAAAAGGGGTTCATCTTGAACTGCACGGCAAGACTGGAATCTCTAGGTCCAAGCTTCAGAGAAGGACAAGCATCAGCGGCCTCGAAAGCACTGTGGAAGATGACCAGAATATCCAGTACATGACAAACATCACCTTGAATGGACAATTGTTCGGTGTTCTGATCGATACCGGCAGGAAAGTTAACTACTCGCAAGCGATGTTTTTGCAACTCAAAAGCCTGACATTGCTACTGCCTTCAGTTCAGATCTCTTTGTAACATCTCAGGTTCCTAGTGCTATTGACGAGCACTACCAGGCTGAAATTGGCTATGCCTCTGGAGGTGCTGCTGGTGAGTTATTTTTTGACAATATTAATGAGATGCCGTTGTTCATTTCCGTTCTCAAGGGGAAGTCTTCTCAGCCACGATGGGATTCGCCGGGTATCAGATTGACGCCCAATATTTCAGTACGTTATGCATCTCATCCGCTATCATATCTGCTAACCGATACAAAGTATTTGCAAACTCGACGGATGGATTTACACAATCCGTCGATGGCCTCATCGGCCTTGGGCCATACACAGGCTCTGTGATAAGATTCATCGGTGGGACAGCGGCTGCAGACCCTCCTCTCGACCGAATCTTCCGCTCTAACGACACCATATCGAACTTCGTCGCTATTCTTCTCGATCGCTCTGACGACCCTGACGAACCTTATCCAGGCGACCTTGCTATCGGAGAAGTCTTGACTGAATATGAAGATATTCAGACACAACCTCAACACCCAGTCACGTCGGTCATGGTGCCCGGGAATCAGCATTGGATGACATTACTTGACGAGAATGGGATCATCGGTCCAGATGGCAAACCTATTACCATCAAGACTCAAGTCACGGATACACCTTATCCTAATAATGCGACTGTCGTCTTTGATACAGGTTTCACGTTCCCCCAAGTTCCTTCGTAAGTTCCTTGTAAAAAATTTCTCATCTACTCTGATACGTCATGACAGTCACGTTGCCGAGGCGCTCTACGGTAATGTTCCTGGTGCCTCTTTCACGAACATCGCAGGTTTAGGAGAAATCTGGGCACTGCCCTGCGACCAAGAACTTAATGCTACATTTTTGTTCGCTGGAATCAAATTCCCTATTCACCCGCTTGATCTCAACTTTAATATGGGCGACAACCAGTGTGTTGGAGCTGTGAGTCTGTGAACCTTGATTCTTGCCAGCTTTATAATTGTTTTAACAAGTTCCAACCATTCTCGTACGATGATACGGAGGATGGCGTGGTGATGTACGATATGGTCCTCGGCATGGCCTTTTGTGAGTCTGGATACCTACTATTCTAGAACATCCAGGTTCTAAAATTGAACAGTGCGCAATGCATACCTCCTGATTGATTTCGGCTCTTTTGTCGACGGGGCACCTCCTGGCACCAATGCCCCGTACATACAATTGTTGCCAATCACTAATGCTGTTAATGCCTCTGCGGATTTCGCACGAGTGCGCTTGGACAATGGCTCAAATGTCGATGACCTCGCTTCGCTGGCCTCACATTCTTCCACGACCACCACCACGACCACCACGACCACCACATCAAACGCCAAGTTGCCACCATGGGTGATTGGTATTATTTTCGGCGTTGTCATTTCGGTTTTGTTTCTGGGCATCTGCGTATACTATTGCTGCCGTCGCCGTCGCTTGCAGCGCGTTTCTTCTACGCAAGCTACGTGGGTTCCTTACGCACCCCAGAGCTACCGTCCTCTCTACGATCCCTCGCCGCAAGGAGCATATGATATGCATTTGGCGCCTAACGCGAACCCAGTTCACGTTCCTGAATACAGAAGTGCTTGGGATGCACATTACTGAATGTACCTGGCCCGAGCGGGCTTGGAGTCTTGTTGTATTACCCTATTTTCCTGTGATACCATCTTGGTTACTGCTCTAGGCTTCCTCCATCTGGACTCTACTTATCACTGCACGGCATACTCATATACGATGACTGACAATCGACTGACAAGTCACCTACTTTTATGAATTGATGTTCATTGTATTGTTGAATGCCTCTCATAATGGCGGGTATCCTAAACTTACATCGAGAGTAGTAACCATTCTAGTCTCTTCTTGTAGTCAGACCATCATGAGGAAAACCTGGTCTAATAGTAAGAGTCTAGCCTAGTAAGGTTCGCCTGGTAATAGTTAGTTATTTGTTATTTTTTCGACCATCCACGTTTTCCTGGCTCGGTGAGGTACAACACCTTTCGATTGCTCCGAAAGTGCATCTCACTCTGTACCGAAATTTGTCCTCGCTGATGTGCATTTACGTCGCTGTCGACAAGAACGTAGACATTGATGGCGCCAACAATCCATTACTATTGTCCATGCCAATCTGGAGAGTCAGTTCAGATGCCTCCACCTCCGCATATGGCGTCTTCCTCGGCTAGTTTCCACCCTTTGCATAGTTTGTTCTTCTGCGAGGAATGTGACGCTGTTCGGTGCAATCGCTGCGTTTCCGTCGAAGTCAGTGGCTACTATTGTCCAAATTGCCTTTTCGAAGTCCCAAGTGCGAGCGTTCGCGCGGAAAAGAACAGGTAAACTACTCTTATCCTCTTGCTATGACTATTGCCCACAAGTAATAGATGTGCTCGAAATTGTTTTTCATGTCCTATATGCCGGTCAACCTTGCAAGTAGTCGCCTCTGACCCTCCTGATGGCGGCGATGGTAGGCCTTCCGTGTCTCTCAGTAACGTTGGAGAGCCTCCCTTCTTTCTTTATTGTAACCACTGCAGATGGGACTCTGCCGAAGTTGGGATAACATTTGAAAAACCAACTGGACTCGCCGGTGCGCTGCTCCCCCTACACATTAGCTTATATCTAATCATCTATCTGATAGCACAGCTGCAAAAATTTGAAGATTCTGCGCCCGAATCCCTGGAGTTTGAGCGACTGAAGGAGCATTTTGAACCTTTCCTCCGTACATCATCTCTTTCTTCTTTGTCACATGTTCCGAGTACTTCTTCTCATCATCTTCCTACTTCATCTGCTACAGCCGCTGCTTCCGCTGCGCTTGCGCGTGATATTCCCGGCGTTGGGAAGTATAACCCTCTCGCTCGCAGTCGCGTGGGCCGGGACAGAACGGCAAACAAGGACGAAATGCCGGAGTACAAAAGTAGAATGGAGATCGGTGTTCTTGGTCAGCTGGGGTCTGAAGGAGATGGTTCAGATGTCGAGGCACTTCGGCGCATGGAAAGTGCGGAGGAAATTGCGTCACTTGAGCAAAGGTGGGGAAACAGCTGGACCACCTCGCTTAGAACAAGGTGCGTGCATTTTGGGCATGTGTGGGAGAAGATACTAAGGTTGGAGTGAACTAATCAGCGATCTACGCCCTCTGCGGATCCCCCTCCATTCCAAAGTCTCGAAGCGATGCCCAAGTTGCAGGCACATCCTCATCAAACCAGAGCAGAAAGCACAATCTGTGCGATACAAGATCAAGCTTGTAGCGGCTAATTATTTGCCAGCGATGACTGTGGCCCTTCCGCACACTCAAGGGGCTGACGCTACTAGGCGTCCGCAGGCTAAGGCACCCAGTGCCTCGGATGACCGGAATGCTGGTGTTATGATGGCCGGAAAATCGTATCCCTTCCACCTCGCTTTGACAAATCCCCTCTACGATCCCATTCAAGTCCGACTTTCGGTGCAGCGAATGCATGTCACTGCAGCAACTAACAGTGCTGCACCGGAGAAGGCTCGCAGGACACCCTTCGCAGTATCTCTGCCAACCTCTTCATTCCCTGTCGCTGCATTCGCTGAAGCATGGGAATATGATGATGACGACGATATGTTCGGGCTCGAAGATGATGAACTTGGTTTGGAGATGGGTCGAACCCGAGACAAAGATGGCAAAGGGAAAGTCAAAACTGTAGGAGTTTTGGAAAAGAGGGCCAATGTTACAGTTGTGGGGGGTGAGGTTGTCATCGGAAAAGAAGCCCGGGGCCACGTAAAGGTATGTGCTTACAGAAGCGCCAGCGAACCCTTGACTCGTACTCAGTTTGTCGGTGTACAGTTTAATATGCTTGTTTCTTACACCTACCGATCCGATGATCCACTTCCCTCGGAGGATGGTGCGGGGACGCCTTCCCGCACAGTTGCGAAGACCCCGGAAGTGAAGACATTCACCTTCTATACTGTCGTTGATCTTGGTCTCATTCTTCCTAGGGAAGAAAAGCTGGATCCAGATATATGATGATGCTCCTTTATTGCTGTATTGCGACGCATAGCTTATGCCGTTTGTGCTTGTATTAAGCAGCGACTTAAACTTTGATACCCACGAAGAATTGAATGCCGATAACACAGCCTTATTCACAACCCGTCACTACACGTGGGAACCATCTGATCGTTAACATCGGAGTCAGTCTACATCAAATCTTGGACACACTAGCTAGACAACAATCGTTAGAAGTTGCGGTGCCGGACTGTGCATTATGACCCAGGATGACTCGTGCGTATACGTCAACGCTGAAATGGATACTTGGGTTGCTATAAACACCATTGACCGAGGTGTGTAAGAGATTCAACCCCTCATACCTCGAGATCAAAATGGAGTCTATTCCCCCTTCATATGCTCCTTCCCCACCTTCGCCGTCCTACTCTCCTTCCCCACCATCGCCGTCATACTCGACACAGCTTCTCCCTGGGGAACAAACGGTCGAGGAGACTCGACGACAGTCTCCGCAAGCTTTGAATACCGGAGTCTTTCGTAGAATAACAGACAGCACCACACTTGTTTTAAGAGATCAGCAACCGGGGAGCATAACGCCCGTTTACGGAAGAAATGGACTCGTTCGAGGTCACATATCTTTGCGAAGTTCAGAAGGCCTCGTAGAGGTCACCTTGAAGGTAGAATTTACATCGTTCTTCAAATTAGTATTTATCTTATTTCTCCGATAGCTCGAGGGTCACCTTCGTCTTGAGACATCAGGGGCAGCCATCACCACATTGGTTGCATCTGATTCGTATTCTTTATGGAGCTCTTCGTCCACTGAGCCTTGTCCTATGACCCTACCGTTTACAATATTCTTTCCTTCTACTTTCATGGATAGATGTAAACCTGCAGCCTTTACCCCCCTCATTCGAGCACAAATTGGCGACGTGCACCTACACTCTTAGCGTCGTAGTCTCAAGACCTCGACGATTCTTATCATCTTTTCGCTCTAGTGATTGGTGAGCATGAATAGCAGTGTTTAAATTTCACATTTCCTGATTGGACAATCTACAGCCTCGTGGTACCCGTATGCTATCATCCGCGTTCTCGCCCACGCACACCCATGCTTCCGAGCGACGTGCCGTTCATGACCACGGTGAAGAGCTCCCCTGAAGAATGGCATCAAGTACTCTCTACCATGAATGCAACACAGAGTTCCAGGACTCGCGCCGGTACAATGTCTTGTAAGTCTTTCAAATTGTGGTTTTCGTCATTTTCTAACTACTGTGGTAGCTCTTTATTCCTTCGTCACAGGTTTATCCATTATCTGAGACCATACCGTTCCACCTTCAAATGCGTGCCCCATCGAGTTCATTAGCTCCATTCATTAACAAGTCTGCACCTAAGCATGGCCTTCCTGTGCTCTCCTCAGAGGAAATCACCATCCGCGTCTACTTACTCCGCCAAGTAGTTGTCAAAATCTTCGAAGAACAAAAATTGAGCAATCAAATAATAGGAGAAGGCAAATTGACATACTCCTCCCCTCTACCCGACAATCATCACTCATATTGCAACGTTCCCCTTGGGGAGGGCATTGACTGTCTGGACTGGGATGGGGAACTGCGATATACCGAAGATGTCACGGTCGGAAGCTTCGCAACAAACCCGCTCTCAGTTAGAGTGAGTCTTGAACCATGATTCCTATGATTTTCCTGCTGACGATATGTTTAGGATTTTATTGTACTCTCCCTGGAACCTCTGCAACCACTCAAGTGCCCGCTTCTTGCGTCAAAACACTTACATCCGATTCGTCTGGTGACAGACCCATGGTCGGATCACGCAGTGACTTGGTAGTATGGCTAAGACCCAGTTTTTTTACAAGACCAAGCCACTGAGCACGGCTCTCTTCCGCATACTCTAATCTATATTCCGGATCTATTGTTTATATGATTGGTCGAGCTTTTAGCTCTTAGCCCGTTTACTAATTTGTCTAGCTTATATTTCCTACTATTAGTAGTCAGGTTCGGCTCTAAGCAGCACTGCATTATTACAGCCGTTGAGAGCCGCTTGGAGACTGTTTCATTATAATTGCTGCAATGGTGCACAAACCAGAAGATCATGACACTCTCTTACATTGTATCTACCATGAAAAATACTAGTAGAACCTAGTCTGAACTGTACCCAAAGCATAGCCACGTCCCTCGGTCTTCGGCCAGTGGAGTTCCAAAAATAGAATTTTACTACGTTAAGATGCACTGCTTGCTCCTGCGCCCATCACTGAACCGCTGCAGGGCACTCGCCGTGTCAGCTCAAGCAAGGCACTAGTACTGCCCCTGAAAGCCTGGCGCCTGACTCGGAATTTAAGATACGCGTCCCGTCATTAGAATATTACTGATCCATCTGCAGCTTTGCAGCGTTTCGACTCTGAGAACAGTGTCATTGATGGCAGCCGAGGCCTCGCTGCCAATGGGAGCTTTTGCTTCAGTGTTGGGAAAGGGTTCTCTCTGCGCCCTGTCCGACTCATGAGCGTCCGCCGGGTGTGCCTAAGATAGGTCACACTGCGCCAAGGTTTATGTACATCATGATCATTTGATTATTGCTATTGCGTTGTTCACGCATTCCCTTACGTTGACCAAGCATAGCAAGAAACACAGGATGGCGTTGTTACGGCGGTCTCGCCGATCACCGCCATGTATTCAACTCGATCCCTGATGAAAAGCACCTGTCCTTTTTTCGCATCCCGGTAGCCGCTGCATGGCGCTGTTCCCGGATCCACGTTTTGTCCGAAAATGATGCAACTGTCAACACCACTGGTTTCACCTGTGACATGGGTATAAAGCTGTTATCCATCATGGGTATCCATCTGTTCAGCCTCCAAGTGTCCCACATCTCTTCTGCACACATGGAAACATTCTCCGTTCAGCTGCTGCCGGAGTATACACCATCGAAGCCTGCACCTGACTACTCTTCCAAACTACTTCCTGGGGAGAAGTGCATACAAAGATCGCCTCGCTTGATCCAACGTGGGGACAATGCATCATTCACTTACCGGCAAAGAGGCATGACCCTCAAATTGATGGACTGTCGTGAAGAGGATCGCCATCCATCCTATGGTCTGGGGAGTACTATCCGAGGAGAAGTTGCACTTGATAACCGCCGGAGAGTTGTAGCTGTTGCAGCGAAGGTATGTGGGATCCGTCGTGTTCGGTGTTCCACTACGTCATTTCTAATATCACCCATTAGCTTGAAGGTCGTATTTACCTTTCAGGGCAACCATCCAAGGGGGTTACTATCATTTCAAAGGAGCGGACCCTATGGGAGAGCTCTACTCTGAATGGACAAACGTGTCCCAGCATCATGCCATTATCAATGTCTTTTCCAACCTCTTATCGAGAGCGTGGCCAGGATCGTCCTTTCCGTTTGCCGCCATCCTTTGAGTTACCGAGACCGCAACGCGTGGCCATAGTGTACACACTGCAGGTCGTTGTCACAAAGTCGAGAAATGTTCCAATGATTGGAAAAAAGCTTTCGAGGCGAGTGCGCAGCAGATCCGAATGCATCTCGAAACTAAACCATCATCATTAGGGAGGCATACATGAGCATTCACATTAGGTACCGCCCCCGAGTACGACCATCAAGACCAGTCCCAGATTCCTTCAGCGAGGTGAAACAATCTCCTGAGGATTGGATGGAGGATGTTTGGATTACGAAGCCGACCGTTGGTACGGGAAACGAAGCATTCTCAGCACGTTGTCATGTAGGTTGCTGTCGTCACGATCGATCATTCAGAAACTGATGCTAGTTTGTTTCAAGTTATTCTTTCCGTCCGTCCGTGTGTTCACCGCTTCGGAAAAGATACCTTTCCATCTGCGACTAGAGACTTCACCAGTCTTCTTGCATAGCCATGCGAAGCTCTTTCTTCCTCACGAAAATCCCTCGGAAATAAAAGAAGTCTTAAACGTGTTTATACTACGGCAGACTACCGTCAACATTCAAGGCACGTCATTCAGTCACGACCAAGTTCTTGGTCGCGGACAGATGACGCTGCAATCATCACCCACCTCCAAAGTCCTAATTTCAGAATCAGAAGAACCTGTGACATGGAGTTGGAATGGCAACCTTCAGTGTGAAGTTCCCGTGTTGAACACTGGTTTCAATACCGGCCAGATTAGTACTTCGGTGAGCTGTTGTCTCTCTAAACAATCTGAAATCGAACTCATAAAGTGATTCCAGGACTACATTGTGCTGTCCTTACTATTGCCTCCTGGTCAATTAAGACCTGACCTTTCACTTCAACGCGTCATCCCTATACGACTTGCTACAGAACCATGGGTCGATCGCTCATAAACCTATTTTTTCTCATTGCATTGTGTTTTGACTACTGCACTGTATATATATTCACAACCACATCGTCATCTGCCATATCCTTATTGCTCTTTATTGTATCTACTACTTATCTCGTGCTATATTGCTAACTTATAGTTCTTCTAAGTTTGGTACCCTTGTACCAAGATCATACATATCGTGCGGTCCTCATACCTTCATCAGTGATTCTGGTCTAATTCTGGTGAATGTATGTTCGATCAATAGTTCCTACTAGGTTCTTGTGTCACAGGTTCGAGTTCCCTAGTAATGATCTTTGGATTTAAATGGCTTAGGTTGTCAGGCCTCAAGCTTCATGTGAATCATACTGTCATTTTCTAAGATTTGTAAAAAAACTCAGGCAGATTCAAAGGAATCATTGGAGAACATTGGAGCGTCCAATTTCGAAAGGGCTCAGCGGGCCCACGCACGTGGCCTTGCACACAGATTGCATCCGTGCAATGACACAACTGGTTCGTGGCGTAGTGCTAGTACTGCTTGGAGACTTTCGAAATTTGGAGCAAGTTCCTTTAATAGTGATTAGTATCGACTCCGTCATGCTGCGCTCAGTTATACGCTCTTTCCAACACCACAATGACCGTTTCAGATAAAGCCTACTCACTAACTCACTCCCAGAAGACGCTTACTGCGGCGCTCGCAGCCTCTCCGGCATCATCACCCGGAGATCTTGTGAGAACGCTCTATGCAGAGCATCACAAGAAGCCCGTGTCCTCCGCAGGTTATCTGGAGACATTCATGGGCGTGCTGCAGCACGGAAATGATAATGAGACACGGCGACTCGGAATTCCACCCGGTGAACCTACACAAACGGATCTCGACCGCGCTGCCGAGTGCGGAGATTTCGGCAGTAGGCCAAGTGACCTGTTCTTAAAGGTGAAGTGAAGTGCGGCAGACGTGTAATTTTGACTCATTGCATAAAAAGATCTACTGTGACGTACTTGCTACGCTCGATACAAATCCCTGGGCCTGTGTGGTATCGCCCCCCTTGTTGGGTTCTAGAGGTGTTGTGAACCTGAGCATTATTTCCGTGTAATTCCATGGTTTCTTATTTCCTTGTTCGTCTTTCGCTAATGCGTTGAGCAGCATTCCGGATATCATACAGCACCATTATGACTGTATCGTCCGTGCTGAGTCGGAGGTGTTTTTGGCAACGAACTTTTGGCAAGCATCCAAGTCCGCTAGCAAGATATGCGATGCATTGCTCGAACTCTCGCGCAGAGCGATGAAAAGGGGTAAGAAGGTCGTGGTGAAGATGATGTACGATCGTGCAAATTTAAAGATGCTCATGGAAAGCCACGTTATTGTCGACGACGCAGAAATGGCCAGTGATGAAGTAAAGCTCCCCAAGAGGAGTGACATGCCAGGAATCGACTTCGAATTGGTAAATTTTCATCAGTGAGTGTTCCCAGTTGTCTCTCATATGCGAATTACTACACGATGCAAAGACCTGTTTTTGGGACATTCCATTGCAAGTTCATGATCGTGGATCGCAAAGTGGCGCTCTTGAACTCAAATAACATCCAAGACCGTCCTAACACGGAGATGATGGTCCACTTAGAGGGCCCGATTGTCGACAGTTTGTATGATACTGCTCTCATCAGTTGGTTCAGGCCCATGCGCCCACCCCTTCCGTTGCTCAATACTCGGTACCGGCCGCCTGAGGGAGGCTACAAATTTGGAATGGATAATGAATACGCCACCACCCGGATTTTGGATGGTAGGAAAGGGGCGGAACTTTTCAAGACACTGCAACAGGAGGCCGGCGGCATACACGACAGAGACTTGGATAAAGAAGGAAGGGAAGATCCTGCCTCTTCTGGGTCCCTACCCGCAGGAGTCCCATTCATTTCCGGCACCTATCAGACAATTACAGAGCACCTCAGTAAGCCATCGTCTCCATTTCACATCCAAGTTCCCTGGTCTGATACCATGTAGATGCCGGAGATCAACCAGATACACATGCCACTATATCGTATGAGCCGCCAGCATCGTCCAGAGATGAATACACCCCGCACATTCTCCACACTCATCATGGAGAATGTCCCATGGTATTAGTAAACCGTGCGCCGAACGGAAATCCTGGGAATGCCGCCAGTGGTTTGCACAACGCGCAGGATGCAGCCTGGCTTGCAGGGCTGAAATACGCACAAAGGAAGATTTTCATTCAAAGTCCGACTTTAAACGCAGTCCCTGTAGTTGGAGGCATCTTGGACGCAGTCAGGCGCGGCGTCGAGTGCACACTGTATATAGACGTGGGATTTAATGATGGTGGGGAAGCACTTCCTGGACAGGGCGGCACGAATGAGGAAGTATCCAAGACGATGTTCGCACAGTTAAGTGACGAGGAGAAAGAGAAACTCAAACTTTATTGGTATACGGGCATGTGCTTCTCCCGCGAGGGTGTCAGTTGAGTACTCACCTGTAATCATTTCAGGCAAGGATCAAATTAAGCCCATCAATGCGTCCGCGCAGAAACGGAACTGTCATGTTCGTTCTATCTTTATTGAAGCTAGTAGCGGAGCCCTTACCTGGTTTCAGGTGAAACTAATGATCATCGACGATTCTGTTGGGATCGTAGGCAACGGCAACCAAGGTATAAGTGGTTTTCACCGTTAGACCACTCACAGATGTTCATCAAAAATTTTCAGACACGCAGTCTTGGTATCACAGCCAAGAGGTGAACGTTATGGTTGACAACCCAATAGTATGTCAAGAATGGTTTGATGGCATCCGGAGAAATCAGAACACGCATTTACATGAGTTGGAGAAAGATGGCATATACCGTGATAAGTACGGCAACCCACTTACGGACTCTACTGGCGTTGGGTCAGGATTTCGAGGGGTGGTCAAAGGGATCCAAGGGAGTATCGCGCGAGTTCGTGGAAAGGGTGGGTTTTAGGCACTCTTACACTCCCTTGAGTGAGCTGGAGGCTCAAGCAAGTGTAATTATTTATCCATGCACACGTTGGCGTTATTGTAAGCGGCCGAATGCCCGTGTGTAATATTAGTCATACTTTGTAACCACGAGGTGCATATCATGGCTTTCCTCGCTTCTCATTCCACATGTTTAGCATCATTCGAGCAGCCCCAGTGAACCACCATATTGAGAACTGCGCTCGGGTCTCATTTTCCTTTTTTCAGCATTGAAACAACTCCGAGGTTGAGGAAGCGCCCGAACTTTAGATAACCGTCTTCACCGAATCTAATACTCATTTAGCTGTGGACGCCGAAGGGAGTGGGAAGCCAGGGTTAAGTATAGCCGAGGACCCGCATGGTGCTCGATGTTCCACATAACACTCGATCCTCGAGAAGGAAATGGATCCTTCTGAACTTTGCTAGTGCACTACCATGTCCACCACTGCAACCAATCTAAATCTGCCCGCGTACCCTACTCCCTCATCACAGATCCATTCACCGACGTATACCGCTGCTCCTCAGGCTCATGAATACCGGTTAGCTTACAATGCGCGTCTAAATCCTAACCGATCGCCGCGTGAATTTGTAAAGCAAGCCAAAAATGGTGGCGTGACTCTTCGCCTTGGGGGTCAAGACGACCGAGTCACGTTTCCTGTCTATGGTTATGGCGCATCTGTGGAGGGTACCCTCGACATCCACAAACGAGATGGTATCACGAGTGTTGAAGTTCAAGTGAGTGAATTAGCCAGATGAATAGGGGTTTATCCTGATACAGTCCCCTTAGATCGAAGGAACCCTCATGATGGAGGAGTTGGCTGAAAGTGGGACAACAAACTGCAAATTGTTTCTCAACAAGACAATTCTGTGGGTCAAAGACAGAGTTTACGAAGCGCCATGCCCGCGTTCGCTTTCATTCAGTCTCCCTCTTCCAACCACCTTTTCAGACGGCGGAAAATCTTATGTATGTAAACGGCGCGAAATTTGAACAGCATCTTGACGATTACGAGCACAGCCTCTCCCGCCAAGCCATGAGGCCCACCTATCCGGCCTGCCTGGATTTCGGGCGAGGATTAATTATAGCATCAGTGTTATTGCTGTGAAACCAAACATCATACCACATGCAGTCAAGTCGACCTTGTTGGGGGGTGGAGATTGGTGTGTTTCTAGGTGAAATTGTCTGAATCCTTTTTCACAGTTTACAGGACGATTTCGACTCCGTTTGTGTATCTTCCTCGCACTCGCCCATCTTCGCCATCACCACCACCTCTGGTACCCGGCCAATGGGGAATAATCGAGACCTCGCAATGGAAGGTCTTTCCGACTTTGATTCACGCAAATCAAGGAGGACACGACATCATGGTAAAGGTTGGTTGATGCTATGAATGAATGTATATATCAATCCTAATAATTTCCGGGCATCAGTTATATCTCCCAGCCAGTCGAACATTCTGCATACACGAGTCCATTCCATTCCACATTATGTTCTCGTCTTCGGCAATGTCTCTTGCTGCGTTTATGCCATTGGGACCGGTGGTAATCGCATCTTTGAAAACGCAGCACACAAAAATACAGTTGTTGAGGCAGACGACTGTCGATGTTCGGTTTGTTCTTTCAGTGATCTTGGTGCAACTGTACTTGATAATTCGCTCGACAGCAATGCTTTAATACTTGGCACCCGCACCGACATCTGGAGAGTCGATTATATTGGCGAAGGTGCTTTCAGACATGCAGTATGTCACGCAATGCGCAGTGCATTTGGCAAAGGGCGCTTGATGATTGACGTGATTCTATAGGGTGAAGGCGGCGCACACTGGATTGCATTTTCAGGAGATATTTATATCAGTCCCGATATCAAGGTCGGAGGCTTCAGAGCGGGTGGTTTTTCCATCAAGGTAGGCACTTACTTTACATTTTTGTCGAGAGCTTCAGCTGAAACCTAGTCATAAAGGATTGTATAGTCCTGACCATGACTCCGCCCGATATCTCTAAATCGCCTTTCAAGGAACTGCGGTTCACAGTTCCTGTCCAACTTGCAACGGATCCCTGCCCAAGAGATGGATCTGGTATTGTCGGATACAGGGACCAAACTGGTTCCCCATCGATATCTTCCTCAGATGAATTTGAGGCTCCTCCAGAACTCGGTTAAGTGATATTATGAATGACTTTGTGGTTTGCAATCATTGTCATTTACATACCGCACCATAGACTATTGACGCTATCGCAAGCCAAGTGTCATGCGTTCTTTGCGTCATACACTTTGTACACACGTACGTATGCATTTTGATTATCCACATGTGCGTCATGACTAGGGTAGGGTCGGTGTTTGTTTCTTCTCAGTCAGCTATTTTAAACATCATGGAAACCAGCGCATTTGAGTTCACTTGGTGCGGCATAGGCCGGAACTTTGAATGGCGTGCCGCATCAAGGGAACTGAGGTGTGAGCGAGCTAACGGAGACCTTCAGTGCATCTCGCCATTATTGCATGTCTACATTCTACATTTCAAACACGAGAAATCTATAATCCTATCGCTAATAAAGAGGCTATAAGAACTATCGGGGGAATACGAGGAAACCTAAGTCTAGTACCAAATGCTCCTCGTCCTATGGACAGGCAAAATGCCTTCCGTCTCGATCCCCTCAAGACACCCTTTCCCACCCTGCAACTTCTTAGCCAAATCCCAAAGATAAAAATCAATCAAAACACAGCTGGCTTCCCAATCCGATCCACATCTCATTATCTCACTCCGGATACGTTCAACAGCAATGATGCTCGCCGCGCGCAAGCTCATCTCTTCTCTCGATCCAGCTCCGAGTGGCATTCCGGTGCACAACTCGTGTTTGAGCGATGGGGGATAGGCAAGGATGCGTAGGTGGTGCAGGATCTGGGGGACACGGTAATCTGCGAACATCGTTAGGGCGCTGATGCGTGCTCCGTCCAGGCCGGGGAAGATCGGATGTGGGATGTAAGGATTTTCGGGGTAGAAGGCTGCCCAGGTCTCTGCTACTAGGATCTGTGGCCGTTTCCAGAAATATACTGACAAGCACAGACTCATCAGTCTTGTGGAATTGATAGACGCTAATTGGGTGTCATGATTAATATCGACTTACCTCGTCGTCCATTGAACATTCGGTCATCTCTAAAACTCGGGAACGAATCTGTGACGAATTGGACGAGGTCGAGCGCCGTGCCCTGATTGTCGTATCTTGTTTGGAAGGCTTGTAAAAACCCTAGGTATGAACCTCCAAATTCATTCTATACATTGATATGTGTCCATAAACCAGCATGCATATATGCACATGGGGAAAAGCTTACGTTGCACAATATAGCACCGACTTCGCGCATGATCGCTAAACGCTCATTAAACAGGGGCATCGATTCAGCCGATTGGGGTGCAGCGCGGAATACGTGCGCAATCAGCGAGTCCGGGCACAGCGTCTCAGAGGAATAAAATTGGGGATCGATGATGGGTATACCCTCCTCTAACGCTAGTGACCATCGGGTCCGATTCAGGACTACAAATAAGAAACAAAAGATGATGACGCGTTTGCCCACCTCGATTCAGAGCAGCAACTAGGCTCCAGTATCCGGTGTGCACAGTCATTGTCTCGCTACCCCAGCTAGTCCGCCATTCAATACCGTACCGATCCAGCTGGCCTTCCTTTTCCGACCAAAAACTGAAATTTAAAGAAGAGATGAGGAATATCCAATTCAGACATGCACCCGTGAGTATATCGTCAGGGTCATACGGCTCCGGCGGACAGATGTGCAAGGGGTGCGTGCGCCATGTACGCGGAGTATAAGGCTCGGAAGAGACTTGTTTCAAAATCTGCGTAGGTCGGTCAGATGCGCGACGCTCTCGAATTATATGAAAGATTAAATTGACGTATTGTGTGGCTTTTTTGACCGCATCGTCGTTGATTTTGACGATGTCTGTTTGCTGGTGTATCGTTGATTAAAATGAGTTTCACTCGAACTACGTCTATATGAAAACTTACTTCAAGGACAAACTCGGCGCTAGAGACGACTGGGTTGGTTGGGTGCATTTTGAGAGGTGGGACAGACTCTTGAATATGTTTTTCATCGAAGACAGGTGAAGTGGATGGCACGAAGAACGTCATGATGGTGGTTGTCCAAGTGGGGGTTTCAAGCGAGAGCACGCTAATAAAAGCCCTCCGCTTTTAAGCGTCGCTTCCGTGGGTTTTCGCCCACTGAAGGAATGTCGAGCACGGTAATTGGTATCTGTATCTGTATTTCTATTGAAAGGGGTAAAATTGGAATTAGGCTTTGTAACAGCGCCACAAGGCTGGTGAAAATACTTCGAGCTGTGTTGATTCACGTGCCGTTCGGGAACACTCCGAACTTCACTTTTGCTTTCAACCCTTGTAGAGAGCTCGTACATTCTCTCCGGGATCCAATTTTTTTTAAAAACGGAATTGAATGGGTCACACACCAGTATCTCCTTGCAGTCGTCACGGACGATCTTTCTTTATGCAAATTACCAGTTTCGTTCTCTCACCTGTGATAATCAAGGGAATCACCCATTTCAAGCTAAGTGCATATGCCTGAAGCAGTCAAGTGTGGGGTTTGAGCGTTTGAACATTCGGGAAATCTCGTATATTACTGGTTATACTTGTGACGATGGGAAGATAATTTTTCATGGGTAAATATGTTATACCTTGATTGCCCTACTATACAATACCGCATGTGGTCCATGGTGACGAATGATGTAGCTCAAGTAATATGATAGAGTACAAGGAAAGCCACTGACACGACCAAGATATCAATCCGAAGTTGAACCTCGACGGCGTTTCACTGGAATGGTCTCTTCACCTCGCAACACTTGTTCCCCGTGCTCTTTGACATTTGGTTTACCAAAAGTCTGTAGACAGATAAATCAAGAGAACAATAGCAGGCGCGCAAGTGACTGACTTTTCCACGGATAACCTGAGTGCAAGTGGGCAAGGTAATTAATGAGTAATAAGTTACAGTCGATGCGAATCATACCTTGGCATAACCTGCCGGCGCGTCAGTTTGTATGCCCGAATTATATGAGTGACGCTCACCGAATACTTGTTCTTTGAATGTGGGAGACCGTTTTTTCTCTGCAGGGACCTCTACCACGTTTATATTGGGATCATTGTAATCAACCTCGGAGGGATTGCGAATCTCTGCGGGAATATGAGCGCCGTCACCGGGTGAAGTGGAAGCTGCGTTTATCAAGTCTAAGTGAAATCGAATGGATAGAGTACCTACCTTGTTGTGGTGCGGTAGTTGACTTTGGTTGGTTCAACTGTCTTTGAAGGAGGGCGGGGTGCGTCGTCTTTGGTGGAAGAGGACATGATGATATGGTGGAGTGGAATTGGAAGTCAATAGGCTTTATAGTAGAAATGACATCATTGTTCGTGATTATGTAAGGAACCAGGCTGTCGCAGTACCTAGGTTGCTCCCAGAAAGCCGGTCCTCGATTGTTGCACGGTCCTTGAGATATTCAAGGAGGGGCAAAATAAACTTTTCCACTCCAACAAACTGAATTCCACTTCGAACTTTTCCGTAAATGTGCTGCGACGGCGACCTCAACATCAAATAGTTACCATTCTCAAAGTTGGCTTATGGAGTTAGACATAAATTCCCTGTGCTGGTGTGAAAGCGCCAAGCTCCTGTTCTGGTAAGCATATTGCAATTGCGACTTCGATGAGTTGTTCGTTAGTTCTCAGGCTGTTGTCCTTCACATCCCCGGAAGTGGTCATTACTCTGACAATATAGCTACCACGGCAGCAGATGACAGCGAAACTTGATGCGATAGTGCGGAAAACAATACGAACTACCAAGCTAAGGGAATGTATCATGTCAGTAATACTAAGGCGTCGTATTGCGAGACTTACAGTTGCGTTGGCATCACTGTGATTAGTCTGACACAGCGCCAGGAGAGCCGACAGCAGAATGCCTTCATTTAGAGCCGGAGAAGATGCGATTTAGTCGTGCATTGTGACAGCATTGAAAGCCACAAGTGTAAGACTAACAGCGGTATTTTTGAGGCTGAGAGCGAGTTCGGGTACATTCGTCCAGTTGGAGGTAATGATGTAGTAAATCTTGCCACCACTTGGGGTGGAAGCCCATGGCTTCTACCATCGAGCTTCGTGCAGTAGGCATTGCTGCTGATTTGAAAAGTGAAAAGATGGAAGAACTGAGGACGGATGTCAAAAATGAAAAGCACAGCATATGCAGATTGAGAACATCTTGACAAAGTGCGGGGATTCATAATGAAGGAAAGAGGGAAAGAACTACACAAGATGGTAAAAACACATACCAAAATCTCCTGACCAGCTAATCTGATACTTTCCTTGTGGGCCTCCATAAACCACGGTCCTGACAGGGATAGAAACGCATTGAGCGTGCGGTCAAGGTCCGAACTTCATGTTCACTTCCCGAGATTGCATGATGGTGCAGTCGGCATTCTTTACAGCCTCGGAAAATAAAGTCAGCTCAAAGTCCACGGACAGGGAAGACCTGTCTGAAGCCAATTTCATGGTTCGCGCAGTAAAAGCAGGAGACAATGAGGATAATTGCACAAAGACATTGCTAGCGAATGTATGGATCGAGTCGAGGCAATGAACGCCGTCTGTCTCGAGCAATGAAAAGGTATGATTCTCTCCGTCTCCGTTCGTTGATGAGCGCTAGCGTTGAGAAGGTGTGCCGAACGAGGAGGATATAGAAGGGCCCAGAGCCCACCTCTCATTCTCCTACAACTCCACCTCCCACATCTCGGCGCCCCAATGTTTGTCGTCGAGTCTATCATCGTCGATCCAGCAGCGAAGGTGGCGAGTAAGTGGTGAGACGGTGTCGTAGCCATCACAGCTAAGATGGCAGATTATAAAATGATGATACAAATGCATAATTGATACTCACAACGCGCCCATGAGGTTTCGAATCGCTTGAAGGTTAGCTTGCCAATCAACACTCCCCTCTGAGGGAGGTGGCACGATTGGAGCCGGTGGAGTCACCCCAACGAATATCTTCGTGTTGAGGATCAGCGATTAGTGAAACTTGACGAGGCAACAGAAAAGTGGTGGACTATATTCAAAAATTCAAGTTAGACTCGGTAGAAAGAACAGACATGTAGTACAAACCAAAAGTGACAGCGAATCTGATGTGACTTGTAAAACAGCCACATTATATTAGGAAACCCGCGACCTATGGAAGACAGGATAGCCGCGCTCACTTAGTCATGTCACAAACACATATAAGGCAATAGGACACCGTACACTTCGAACTGAAATAAATAAGTCTGTTTATCTGCGAAAATTTACGATTACCTAATGTAAACACTGTAAAGCAGATTCCTCCCAAGATTCCTCCGCTACCCAACAAGGGTATGTCACGGTCACACAACGCCGAGCAACCTGAAGATACCTACGCGCGGCCCCCACGACGGTAGATGCAGCTGCGACAACGGACGGTTGGGCTTAGAAGACGGATAGATAGATGGATTGTATCAGTAGAGTAGTAGGAGACTGTTATACATGATTCCACGCACCATATCATTTAGTAGTCCGAAGTCAGACATTCAGAATGAATACAAGTGTGAAATCAAAGATTTCAAATGAGGGTTCGAGAACGACAAAGATGCATCAGAGTCGCACCTTTGTTCTGCAGGCCTCCCATTGTGAATCAACGAGAAGGTGAGTGAAAATTTACAATTATTAGTAGATGTTGAGGGATATCCCGGCAGACGCACGCGCCTGCCGGGAAAATTTACAAACTTTACAAACTTTACTGTAAATTTTTCACTGTCCCGCACTTCACTCACTTTACCCACCAGAATTCGCACTTTACTACACTTTACTCTACCTCGCGCCTGTCCTTCTGCCCTCCCCATCCTACTCAGTTGCCATAAATGGTGACTTAGACAATACGGTCACATGACACATGATGTGTCTTCTCCGTCGCCTCCCATCTTCCTTGACAGTCGTTAACGTTGGCCCCCCATATTGCACACACCCTTCCCCAGTAGCGAAATTTATAGGTAAGTGATTTTCCTTTATTGCTTGCTTACCCCGCTGACCCTGCACCAGAATTCTCCCTGTTTGTCGTGAAATTGTCCTGGGTATCCTATTCACTCAGCCGCAACAGTCTACTAGTCAACAAAGACGATCATCGTGAGTTCCTTTTGTTTCTTCATATATCCAGTATGTTCGGTTACTGACTTTATTGATTCAGGAGCTGCTTGGTGTATCCTCCGTTATTCAGTCAGACTCTCTCTTCGCCAAGGACCTGAAAGTGAAGACTGAACAAGCAGTTCAAGACACGATTGTCGCAACCAACATCATCGAGGGCTTTAAAAACCCACATCAGAGTGCAGCATATCTCAAGAATCATGCTTCGTTCCCTCTGGAGTATGTGTAGATCATCGATGTGAAGTAACTTGAAGTGTTGACATGTTGCTGGCTAGATTCTTCACCCGTGTCACGCAAGAGATGCAGGAGCGTCTGCAGTGGTTCAAAAACACTATCGAAGTATGATGCCGTATTTTTGGTAACACCCTGAAGTATTCTAATACATCGAATAGCAAATTGAGCGGAAACTATCTGCATCGGCATCTCAGTCTCAAAATACACCCCAAGGTTAGACTTTCCTTCACTCCACCCTCATCCTCAGCTTACATTTCGCAGTGTTGTCTTGACAAGACATCGAAGACTACCAAAACCTATGATCGACATCACGAGAGCCCATGAAATGTGAGTCGTGCTTTCGAAATCATTTGGTTATGAGGACTCACCATAGTCCTGTCATTCCAGCTATGCTCTCTACCTACTGAGGATTGTGCTCTGTGCTAGCTAACCTCCTCACATTCGATTGACTTTGGCCAAAGAGATAGAATCACTGGCATCGTCTCTTTTGTCCTTTGGATTCCCCCGTGTAAGATATCTCTGCCAGGTGTCTCTCGCCACAATATTCAATTGCTTCAGTTCCTGCTCGTGTGTCACCTTGTAAGTTAGATGAAAACCATCTCAGAATTGCTATGTGGCTCAATTTAGGTGCGCGTGATAACATTACATAGATACTCTGAAGGGAACGTGCCCATGTCAAATTCACAATGACTCGGTCTAAAGAGCTTCCTTGCACCTTGAAATCTGTGAATGCCCATCCTGGCACAATTGGAAGTTGCGTACATCGAATATTGATTATTTTTTCACCTGTAGGATATCTAAAACTATTTGTCACAGGCAGAATGGGTACAACACCATGGTCCAAATCTCAATGGTCATTAATGTTGCCCCCCCGCATGGTGTGCTACTGTAACACTGCGGTTTTGTGTGATTAGAAGGTAAACTCAAACTTTTCAGCATACCTTTGACTGACATTCTCATCTAGAAACACTACTACTATTCATCATATGATGGTACTGCCTTGGATCATTGCCAGAGTCGTCTTTCGTGTAAGTCTTTGTTTACTTGTTCCTCCTTCAAGTTCTACTTGGAACATTCCATCATCTCTTCCCAAGCTGGCTGGCCTTCTGTAGGTGAACCAACTCGGTAGGTTGCGCATGTCTGGACAAGCCTTTTGTAGGTTATCCGGATGTCCAGTGCATGACGTACTCATACTCTGAGTCCCTTTGCTTTTTGAATCTGACTTGGGGCCATTTTTTTAATGCTAATATTCATTTCAACCGCTTCAGCAGGAATCCGTTGGCTGGACCCAGTGTCCCATTCTTGGAGGGATGTCCAGCAATAAAGAACTTCTTCAAGGGTGCTTCTGTCACACTTGTCCACCAGTTTCAGACTGCCACTCTTGCTGTTCTCAAGCAGAACAATGTTCATGCACTGGACCTCCGCCCAGAACTCCTTCAAGGGTGTTTCTGTCACGCTCGTCCACCAGTTTCAGACCGCCGCTCTTGCTGTTCTCAAGCAGAACAATGTTCATGCACTGGACCTCCGCCCAGAACTCCTTCAAGGGCATTTCTGTCACGCTCGTCCACTGGTTTCAGACCACCACTCTTGCTGTTCTCAAGCAGAACAACATTTGTGCACTGGACCTCCGCCCAGATTCACCACAGTTCAGCCAGTTCAAGAACTCCTTCAAGGGTGTTTCTGTCGTGCTCGTCCACTGGTTTCAGACCACCGCTCTTGCTGTTCTCAAGCAGAACAACGTTTGTGCACTGGACCTCCACCCAGATTCGCCACAGTTCAGGCAGGGCATTTCTGTCATGCTTGTCCACTGGCCGGGCCTCGAAAATATCCAAGGATTGGTTGCCAACGCTGGAAACTTTGAGTTTGAGAACACGACGGTCAAGGTAGGTTTTCATACGAATCACATCCATAACAGCTTCTCTCAGTGCGAGTGCAGGACTACTTCAAGAAAGCTTGGGGTCGCAGCAGCAGCATCATGGTTCTGTATGCGCTAGTGTTTGGTTTGGCAGATGGTATCCTATGGTACTCACTCTTGTGCTCAGTATGTAGTTGAAATTCAGTGTGATACTTTACTAGTGTAGTCTACTATGTGTTATGACAGTGCGGGTCAATCAAAATTGAGAGCCAAGTGAATTTTAAAACATGGAGTGACATCATACCCTCTGAAATTTTGGAACCGTCCCACCAATTACCTCTGTCTTGTGTTTTACCTCCCGCATGGCACGATCAAAGAAGGCGGCATCGGACACCATTCAAAAGAAGCCGAGGCGGAGGAAAGAATCAGCTATCCTGAAGTCAGCTTTGGCTGACATCCAGAAATGCAAGGAACTTGGAATTGAAATGCACCTCCAAGCAAACAAGACCAGGAGCAGCTATGCTGGCCATGTACGCCGGGGACGCGAGTGGCTCGCAAGCCATTTTGATGCACCAAGCTGCTCCACTGATGAGGGGGACTGCTCAGTGCCCAAAGAGCCTTTGGTACAGCTGGTGGCACTGTCAGTGCCCTCTTTTGTTAGAGACAATCCAGACAGCGATGTGTATGCAGATCCTGTCTTCAAAGATGCATTTGGGTGCACGCCAAACTGATGCTCCGACAAGGCACTAGCCCTCTTCATGTCCCTGAAGGGGTTCCATGAAAACCTCAGCAAGAACACGGTCGAAAGTATCCGCGCAGCATTCAAAAAGCTCTGGGAGCAAGCGTGAGCAACACCCTGCAGGACCGGTACAGACTGAGAGTACTACTGACTTTTACCAGGGATGGCGGCACATTTCGTGGAAAGTGGAGTTTCAATGAGGTGAGACAGCGCTGGGAGGGAAATCCAGCCAACTCAGCAGAAGTTTACGACGTGATGGCATCTGTCAAGCACAAGGCCAGCGCAGAGGGTGGAGATCGAACTCACTCGATGGCAATGACAAAAGACTTCATGGATCGCATGCTCCAATGGCATGAGGCCGCATGCCCGCTGGAGATCGCACTGCAGGCCGTCCAGCTAGTGATGAGTGGCACACTGCCTTCGCAGGTCCAACTGACTCTTGACACAAGGACCCAGCTCACTCGCCATCTTGAACAGGTCACTTTCGATGCTGGCGCATGGATCTTATGGAGCAGGTATTGTCCCACCTGCCGAAATTGATGTGCACTCGCTGACTTACCATTTTGGTAGGTGCTTCAAACTCGTGAAACTACAGCGCAAAGACATCTCGCTCGACACAATCCTGCTGGACACCGTCATGAAAAAGTATCTGGCATGCGAGCCACTGACACTCAGCGACAGCAACACCTATTTCGAAATATTCCTCTCGAACCGAAAAGGATGGCAGAAAAGGGTCGATAAGGGCATCTGCGAGGCAGACCTTAGGTGTGAGTTGATTCAGATTAGCATGAAGTGACGCCCTGCTGATGTAGCAGTGTATGTGCCTCACACCAGCCAACCACTACAAGATATTTCCCCGCCCAGACATGCCTTCCTGCGACAGCTTCATCTGGATGTTGCTCTGGATCAAATGGCTCAAGTTTTTTCATTACGGGCGCACACTCGGGCCAAACTACTTCATCTTCCCTTCGATGGGTGCCAATGGCATCATGCAGCCTGGACAGCATCTCTCCCATGACACTGTCCAAAAGTGGATTGATGAGGCAACGACAGGTGCTGGCATCCTAGGCTGTTTTTCGACTCACTGCTTCCGCCGTGGAGGTGCCCAGTATTGGTTTATGTTCGCACCGGTTGGTCAGCGGTGGTCACTTGCCATGGTTCGATGGTGGGGAGGATGGGCTGATGGTGAACAGGTATGTGCCTTCAATGATCTACTTTTTTTTCGCTGCCACTCGTTCATTCCATTCCCAGCGAAACACGCTCATTCGTTACCTTCTCGACGAACTACACACCTATGAGACTGACTACAGTGATGCCCTTGCTCCTTTCTCCCGCGAAGCTGAATCCTCCCTTGCAGGCGAGCAGGCACTCATGAGGCCAGCATCCACTGAGGAGCTGTGCATGGTTCATGCATCCATGACCGCAGATGTCAATCGTTTGCGAGTTGACATCAGTGCAGTCAACGACTCGCTTCGGTCACTCACTAGCATGGTCCAGGCCACTTCAAGTTGCCTGAAGGCTGCTGGACACCTACCTCCAACACAGCTCAAAGAAGATCCCTGCTTCACCCTTCTCCGAGTCTCTGCATCCAGTGCAGAGTCTCCTCAGATTTCAACTCCTTGGCATGTCCGTCCACCACCAACACACTCCCGTCCTCTGTCATCTGTCCGCAGGAGCCATGGCCATGCACACATCACTCCAACTACTCGACCACTGCCATCTGCTGCTGCGCACACAGCCTCAACTCAACAACTCCCAAGCAACGGTCTCGTCATTCCACGGCTGCCACTCGTCCGTTCAAACGGGTTGAAGACTCCAAAGGCCGAGTCCTGGAGGGACATCATCACACACTGGCTCGTCGGCGACCCCGACAGAGGGTTGAAGACGCCACTCAAGGACTGGCCACAGGAGTGGTACCAAGGCCTGAATTGGAAGCTTGCAATGCAGTACCAGAACAGGGCCGTTGTTGCGCGCGAGTTTATCAACCAGTGAGTGCTTCCAGCTGCGATCCACACGTCGGCGCTCACACATTCTTTTGTTCTTTCTTCCTCGTCACCTCCAGTTACCAGTCAGACAAAGCCCTCTTCCTTGCAGCCTACCCAGAAGCCGAGCGGGGACACACCCCACTGCTTGCAGCTGTCAACAAGGCACAGGCTGCACGAGGAGAGCGTGTCCGTCGCAACAAATGACATGGAGGACTCTCACTTCGGAACCATACCACTACTGCTGCCCACTCGAACTCTCGTAACTTGTAAGTACTATAACCATGAATCACTTCATATTGCAAAGGCCACATGCCAGGACTGTTGATACTGTACATTCCCGCACCTACTTCTCTACCCTAGGTACTTCCTCGCCGTACTCTCTCCTTCTCAGCACTAGTTAGTTCCCCCAACTCTTTCGTGCTTCTTTCCTCCGAGTCCATCTTTCCCGTGTGCCTTCTAAGTTCTTGCAAGTTGGTTTCGAATGTTCTGAGGTCCGGGAGGTCCACGCCAACGATGAAAATCAGATGCAAAGCCTAGTGAGCGAGCGAGCGAGTGAGTGAGCAGGCCTGAACCTGCGCGTTGGCGGGCATCATGCGCTCTGCTTTTTTCGTACCCATCTGCATCCGTTTGGCGCAATCATGCGTCACGACCACCATCACGCAGTGATCTGGCTCGAAAAGGGCAAAGATCGAGACCATGTGCGTGCACGTGGGACTTTTGGCTGAGCGCCACCATAAATTTCTTGACATAAGTAGGTTTTATTCACTTATTTTACCAGAACAGCATGTTCCTTCCTCTACATCCGCGTATTTTGACCATTTTTTTCCCTGCTCACTCTCTATCTAGATTACGTCCTGACCAGCGACTGCTGCTACCCAAGGTCACAAGGTGAGATAGTCCCTTCAATTCATCTGCATCACTAACACTAACATTGTCTTCTCTCTCAGTGTCGTTTCAGCGCTGAGAACGTGCTCCATTCAAATCCGGGCCTGATTCGCACCATACATTCAAGCCTTCCTGCCATTCCTGTATCCTGCCCCAGTTGTGCATGGTTGCCGTTGGCACCAGTTCTCACCCCTCTCGTCAACCAGGCGCTTCTCCCATTGCATCAACAACCCCACTCATCACCCTAAACCTTGGGCCATCCGTCCGAGCGAGTGCAATAACTCCAGTGAGTTTTTTATTTATTTTTATTTGCACTTCACTTCCTGGTCCGACACGCCTCTAGGAGGTGACTTGGACCAGAGGCTGTCAGGCTGTGAGGACACGCCTCTAGGAGGTGACTCTGAGCACTTAAGCCTGATAGCTTTTAACTTTTATCATATCGGTTCCTACTACCTACTATGTGTACTGACTTCATTTCTTGTACCAGGCCATTTCTAGGCGGGGTACACCTTCTACGTGATTCGCGTCATACAGTGCACACTGGTGTCAACACTCCTCCTCGATGCGAATCACGAGAGAACTCCTCCTCGATTGCATTATCGGAGGCCAAGGCATGATCGAAGGCGCTCGAAGGCGCTCGAAGTCCTTTCGAGGTAAGGGTTTGGTAAAGATGTCGGTGATATTGTCTTTAGATTTAACGTAGTGCAGTTTGAGGTGACCTTGTTCAACGTGTTGTTGAATCGAGTGGTGTTTGATATCAATTTGTTTCATGCGTGCATGGAAGGAAAACAGCGTAATTGAACGCTCGACATAAGTTTTAACAGTCTATCAAAACTTTCATATCATGTATTACAAGGTCCATCAAAATATGTCTCCTAAGCATATACCTCCAATCCAAATCCTGGCCACTTGCAGTAATAGTTACAAACATGCTTCATCTCAAAGTCATCTACCATGCTTGCGATGTTTCCATCACCAAAAAGGTCATTTCCATCACTGACTGAGCTAGACAAGCAACTGTGATGAGCAAATGTCGCAATTAATATGAGCTGAAAATATACACACCGGTGGGTCAATATTTGAGGATCAGTCAAAAGCTCAGTGCTGCCTTGATAATCAGAAACAAAGGCTAAACCATCTGTCTTCGCATACTGAATGTGCTGAGTGAAAGCAAGAAAGACGGCTAGGTCATAGCCATATTCATCATCATCAAGTGATGGTTCGCAGTCCTTGTTGTGGATAAACTTCGTAAATGTCTGATTACCAGGACCGTCGAATGTCACCGGCTCCTCAAGGAGATACACCGCTGAAAATGTCCCTGCCTTAACATCTGCTGTGGGAGCTTGATTGGACGTTCCCTGAGTGTTCGATGAGTGATGAGAAAATGCTAAAGCAATCCCTGCATCCATGAAGCGCACACGGGGTATTTGGAAAGATGGAGGACTCGATGCTGCATCGATACAGTGATCAATGTATTTGTAAGTAAAGTTAAGGAGAGATTTCGCCCAGTACAACACGTTACTTTCATTTAAGAGCTTTTGGAGCTCATCTGCTAAGGCATAACATGCGATCTTGAGGGTGCTGGATTCAGCGGCAGCAGTGTGAGAGGAAGGTCTGTAGAATGGCCACTTAATGACGACATCCTGCTGAGTGCAGGACCCAAGGCCACTGGAGGACAGAGGGGACAGTGTGAGCCATCCTGGATGTGCTGTCTTGAAAGCACCAATCCCAATCATGCTGCAAAGGGGGACATTGATAGTGAGTTGGCTGATAGATGAATTGGAGATGTCAAGTCCGAATGAATGGTGTTGAGGAGTCTTCAAGATATCAGCTAGTGGACGCACAGGGATTTGATGGAATTGAATGTCCTCATTGCATAGATCATAAACTAAACTCAACGCGCATTTAGATTCTAGAAATTAAGATGAGAATGAACTCTTACCTTTAGGTGCACGTGCAGCATCCATGCTACCTCCATTTTTCAAGGCCTCTTTCAGATCATCACGGTCAGGGAGGCAAAATACATGCGCCGGCTTCTTACGGGGAGGTGAGACAGTACTACTTGTGGAGTCACTCTTGCCTCGAATATGAGCTCGCTTTGCTGATGGACGTGTCTGAGTGGGTGCTGTGAGCCATCAAATGACTGAGTGATGGTAGGATGATTACATACCGCAGTAGATAGACTATGCGCAGGTTCTAAGTCGTTACCAAAAGGGTCTTCGTCTTCTTGTTGCGCAGCAAAAGGGTCTAGGTCTTCGTAGTCGTCCAAGTCAGTACTGACAGCATGAGGGTCTTGATCTTCAATATCAGTACAGATGGATCGGCATCATTGAAGCTGTTCGTGCAAGGTTTCCTAAGAGAACTATGAGTTAGTTGACGCGCAACACCCTGAATGAGTGAAATCTTACCTCTTCTTCAGTTCTTTCGAGCCATTCCTCATACTCACTCCACTGCACTGCAGGCACAACAACCATGAGTGAAAATTTCTTAGTCTTGAAAGTCGTCGTCTTTGGCGCACGTCGAGATTGGACCAAGCACTGAGCCAAAAAGTATGGAATGGTGGGCAAATGCCCAGCTAGGTCAACCCAGGCAGCATCTCGGATGAGAAATTCTTGAGTGCGCCAAGGAAATCCCCTTCCGAATGTGAGGATTTTGGGTAGAACAGTATCAAATGCAATCGCTATGAGACTAGGGGCATCCAAGTGAGCATCAATATCCTTCTTTCCTTCACATATATTCTGGTATGAGTGTCAGAAATATAACAACAGAAGAGAGATAGAAAAAAACATACCCCAAAGTTGATACCGCTGACCTGCACCAAACCAGTTCGGTGCATGGACGACCAATACTCTCTCATGAGTCATATACCCTGAAATACCACTATGAAACCCTTTTCCCTTTTATCTGAAGTTGGACTGAGGCTAAAGGAATATTTTTTTGCTTTTCTTTTTATTTTCCAAGTCTGTATACCAGCAGCCTGAATATTTTAGTACATTTAATTCTGCTATGAGTTTTGCTTAGTCAGCCATGGTGATGACTCAGACAAAATCCCACACATGTCAGGTGACTGTGAAAAATATTTCCCACATATGTTGTCCTGGAAAAACATTAGTAAACCCCTAAATACTAGGCTCGCGTCATTCTCACCCTTCAAACAAAGCAAAGCAAAGACAGCCACACACAGGATTCATATCATGTGACACTTCTTATTCTCCTTCTGGATTTGTCATCAGGGGTTGGACAGGTCACATGACTTAGCAAAATACCCAATGACTCACTATGACTCACTCTAGATACTTACTATGACTCACTATGACTCACCTTGCACATATGACTCATTATGACTCTTGATGACTCTTGAATACACTAGTAGCACAGCCACATTTATTGTGTATATAATGACCCCAGTTTTTGAAATAATAAAAAGCGAACAGCAGCAGATAGTAGGGTGTTTTTCAGCCCATCCAACACTAAGTTGTGAGTAAGGTGTGATAAGTGTCAGTACCAGTGTCAAGAACTGTTTCAAGACTGAGAGGAACATTCTCAAGAGACAGTAATACTGCAAGCTCATCATACTGAACGACCAGCTGTGAGCTCACTGTGTGCAATGGCCAGCAAGCAAGGTACAGCCACAGTTATATTCTGATTTATATTATTCTTTTTCTTTTCTTTTACTTTCACCAACCTTTGGTGGTCTTTGTCCAGAAATATATTTCCAAAATATTCGTGTTGTCTCTACGTCCACCTAAGACTCAGAAGTAGCATAGTGGGGAGACTTTAGGAATTGATAGTGAAGCTTGACCTCACTCATCTGAGTAGTGATACTGAGCCAAGATATTCTTTGCCTGCTAGGCTTTAGCCGTTGAAGAGGGGACTTGGTAGTAAACCCAAGGACGTCCGTTCCTGAGTCTGTTTGAATACTCAAAGAAGAGTTCCTTGACAGCAAGTTCAATATTGAGCTAAGAGTTCTACAATAAAGCATCTGATTAGTCTTGACCTTTGATTCTACCTGTTTTGTGCTGAGGGGGTTTATCATTGTAATTCTGCACCATTTCTTTGGAGTATAGTTGGTACGAAGCACTGTTGTTGAAAGGGAACTTGAGGAAGAATCCCGTATATTCTTTTGGTCATTGCCATACTGTCGGGCTGACCATTGTTTGTTTGTTTTCCTGTCAAAGTCCATAGATTGGATTGACCATCATATTACTGATCTTGCAGAAGTATCCTTAGCTGAATATACTTTGAGTAGTATACAACTAGCCACCCACGAACGACCACGTTATCAGTCATTGGTATTTGTCTGAATCGCTGACTGTGGAGATATTTGTTTTATAGGTGTTTATCTATAGATCATCTATCTAAGAAGACACCGCGTCCGCTTTTCTTCCGTGAATTCCCCTCATACACAGCTGTTATCTCTAATGTGATAGTCTCCGCAGGGGGTGGAGCGTATGCTAGTTTAGCCCATCACTCACGCTCCAAACTATATTGAGCATGGTGCGCTGAGTACCCTGCGGGACCAGGTGCCCTGTTCTGGCTGGAACTGACTGGTGGTTGTTGCCATGATAAAGGCACGGCAATATATGGGCCTGGAAGGCGGCCCATATGCACAGCGCTACTTGAGGGCTGAGGTAGGAAAGGAACCACACGAGGGGGGTTGATAGTAGCTATGAAATTCTGCCATTGAGATGTAATTACAAGTTCTAAGTAGAGAAATGGGACTTACATCTGCGCTGTGCAGCATTTACACTTTGCTGTATGACGTTAGGATCAGGGAGTGATTGTGCAGCTAAATATAATCGATTGCGTCATTGATCAAAAATTACATAGGAAATTTAAGTGTACTTACAAGAAGGGCGAACTGAAGAGGGTCTTGAAGAGGGTCGGACTGATGTTGAAAGCTTCTGTGCATATTGCAAGTAACATGCTCTGCAGATGAAGCGACCAGGTTGGCTAGGCACAATGGTGGCAATGTAATGATATGATGCGCCTTTGAGGATAATGCTACCGCAAGCAGGTCGACCACAGATACGATCCTCCTTGGCAATAGCATCCTCAGTGAATTGAGATACAAGTTCCATGTTGGACATAACGGCAGTGGCAGTAAGTACTTGTGCGATGAGGATGAGTTTAAGGAATACTGTTAGAACAATGGCCCTACGACACTTGAGAGACAGACTTATATATTGGACCATCCAGGACAACTCACCGCTTGCATCTAAGTTGAGGTTTATCCCGCAGCACTGAGGTGCATCTAGTAAGTTAAGAGTTGCCAAATTCTCCATGTTGGATAGTTAGGATCAGAGTCACCATGATTATGGTCATATTCAGTTGGTGTCCAGTCAAAACAGACTCGGAAAACTCAAACTCGGAAAACAGTGCATCAAGCATCCAGCGTGTTTGATGTGTCGGACTTTTGTATTGGACTTATTCTATAACCTTGCACCCAGGCTCAGTACAGCCGCGGACTTGTTCATGTCGGACTTTTGTTCATGTTGGGCTCAGCTGCCATTTGTCATGTCCAACCTGTAAGTGTTGTGTTCAGCCTGCAAGACATGCCTTGACTATTATCTTGCTGTTGTTCAACCGCCTCTTATCTAAGATCTTTGTGTTCAAGTTAGTATTCAATGTGCCTGCCTGACCGACTCTTATTGAGATGTTTAGCGTGCCTGTTTTATTGAAGTCTTCAGTGCAGCGCTCAGTATGCTATTGGTGTTCAGTGTGCTTCTCTCTTATTGGTGGGTGTTCAGTGGCCTTGTCGGAACTTTTTTTACGGCATTTTGATTGATTAAAATGCCTTAATGGCCTGGCCTGATTCTGATCAGATTCTGATTAAACAGTCAGCATTTTGATGACCATTATAAGTGCATTACGACCGACATTTCCATACCTGTTACAATTGGGTTCGAAACCGTAATTTTAATCATAAAATGGCATTATAACACCGATTCTAATAGCAGTCACGATTTGATTTAAAATGGGTATTGTAACCATTTTTGTTGCATTATGATGGTCATGTTCAGCGTCGCAATGAGCATTTTAAACTGTGTCATAAAGGCCATTTGGGCTGATTCAGATTGTTTTAATAATTCATATTGTTGGGCATATATTCTAGTCTGAATCTGCAGTTACAGTAGCAGTACATACTATGCCTTGTATTTAATAAATATAGCGGACAGGTGGACAGAGAATACACGAGCGGTGGTGCTACGAACATACTCATCGGCGTGGTCAATGTCAGGACACATAGTGGATATCATGTGTGCAAGACCGGCAGCCTTGGAAAGGTTGGATATAATCTCCCGACCCTCCACATGAGCCATCAGGTGATTCAGAGATGGTGTTGCGCTCAGTTGCCCCATGCGAATCGGGGCAGTGCCATAAGGAGGTTAGGCGATCAAGAAGAAATTTGGGTGTTGATGATCATGTCAACCTTGGGATGCGAGCCTGCGTGATGTGTTGAACTAACATTTGTGTCAAGCGGGACTGTATCATTTAAATCATGGATGAAAATCACATACATCTCAGGAATCATCAGAGAATCCTTGGGGTATCCGACGAGCATCTTTGATTGGCGGGTGTTGTCGCTGGGTGGCATCGGCCTAGGATGTAAATGTTCAAAGCAAAGACATTGTAGAAAATGTACAACATACATCTATTAATAATAAAGGCTTTTTGACAGTATTCTGTGGTGAAAGGATCAGTGTGAGGTTTTTTGGTGAGATGTGATGCAACATACATCAAGATTATGAGTGAACTTGTCGTCAATGTGGTGGGACAACATGAAATGTCAATAAGAAGGGGATTCAGATGTTGAGGCAGCTGCAATGACTTGTTGTATTAGTGGAGAGTGTCGTGTCAATAAACAAAGAATAGTCTACATGGAAATTCAGATTCTGATGACATGGCAACTTAGATTTTAATTGATCAATAATGTAGCAATAGTTAATTATAATACTTATTACATCAGCATCTTTGCGCAGAATAATAATACAAGTCATGATTCAGACTGGCATGAAGATCAACGCCAAACTTGGAGGCATCAATGTGCTTCTGATTAATATTCAGATAGTATTAGTAGTCTAAGTAATAATAAGAGAAACTCACCAGCACTCCGTTCATAATAGTCTGAATCATGGGTAAGACTGGCATGAAGATCAATGCCAAACTTGGAGGCGTCAATGTGCTTCTGATTAATATTAGTATTAGTAGTCTAAGTAATATTAAGAGGAACTCACCAGCGCTCCATTCATAGTCATGGGTAAGACTGGCATGAAGATCAATGCCAAACTTGGAGGCATCAATGCACTTCTGATTCAGGTATTAGTATTAGTAAGTATTATTAGTCTAAGTAATAATAAAAGAAACTCACCAGCGCTCCGTTCATCATGATAGTCATGGCCCGGCGGGTATATATCGTCACTAACAAGCTATTTATTAAGTGGTGAGTGAGGTGAGTGAAGTTCAAAAATAACTGAAGTATATTGTCAAGGGACGACGAAAGGACTACTTGTAAGTCTAAGTACATAGTACGACTGCACTGACCATTCATGACAGCCCAGAATTCTGATATCAGTATTATGCACCGTTACGGGAGGAGCAGCGAGGGGCCACATCTGTTCCAGCCACTGCCTTGCCTTTTCTCCTCCCCTTTTTCTGCACCGTGACCTTCATACCTTCACCCCCACCAGACACACCTTCCACGTATGCTACTGCTGCTACATTGGCTGGAATAGCAGCAGGGCGGGATCTGGGAGCAGACACTGCAACAGGGTTGGGTACAGTAGTGGGCACAGTCTGAGGTGCCGGCAATATTGGTCCGAAATGACTACCGTCTGAATCGTTATTCCGAACGGCAGCAGGTGTGGAAATGCTGGGTGCAGGAAGGGGCACAGATGCGATGATGGGTGCAGGAGGGGGTACAGATGCGATGATGGGTGCAGGAGGTGCAGTGGGCGGCACCAGTGTGGCTGGTGGTGCTGCCTCTGCTGCATTGTCATCTGAATCTGAGTCATCGTCATCCAAGCTGGCCATCACCCGCTGTAGCGAATCAGTAAAATCCTCCATTCCCGCAGCCTGAGTGTCGTCTGCATCATGAGCGGTCTTGTTGATGTTGTCGAAAACATAGTCATTCATGTTTTTCACAATGGCTTGAACACGCGGATGCGCCCATTGACTAATGAAAAACCGCTTGACAGTTCGAAAGACAGTGCAGTAAGAGATTGATGAGGTGGCACCGACGCCTGAGCCTGGGAACTGTTGATCGGGAGACAGCAAAAATCATCTATTGGGGGATGCGCCACTGTTCAGTAACCAATAGTTAATACTGTAATATTGGAAACATACCAAAGTTACACTACATGCAATTAATCTGGGTGTGCAAGCCTTCAGGTGCCACAACTTATAGTACGGGCTCGGACCTCCACCACGTCCTGACTTCGAATAGATTGACATCTTGCCGCCCACTGCAACTTTGATAAACTACTAGAATATTAGAAAAGGATGAGTAAATGGTTTGGTAAGTTTGTCATGAACATCGCACCTTCGCAATCATGAACCAATTACCAAATACCTTCTTCGCATTGACCTTCAGATCAGGATAGATGATAGGTGCATTGAGGACATCAAAGTCTTTCCCCTTTCCTGCCACCCATCCAATCATATCCATGATCTGCTGGTTAGACATGCGATCATACGATGCAGAGAAATATTTGGGGGCCATGTTGAAGATACTGCCAGCTACACTCCACAACACATAGTGGTATGACGAACGCACTCTTTGCATTCCAGTGCAAAACTAATGCAAGACCGTCTAGCAAGTAACATCAAATAGAAAGAAAAGACTAACCTTGTTTACGAAGTAAGTAGTCAACATGTGAGGGTGCAGCACGTAGTCGATACAGCCATAGAGCTCCGTCATGAGGGCATCCTTCTCTGTTGATTTATTTGCGTAACAGCATGCACCTTGGATGTCAGCAGGGGGATCAGGACACGGAAATTTGAAGATTGAGTCGTCAAGCACAAACATCTCAGTGATGAGCCCATACTTCTTCCCCAGGTCCACGATTACCTTCTCTGATTCTCGATCAGAGTCGGCCCCAGCAGTCATTGCAGTCGTGGCCGATGATGCTGAAGATACAGCAGATGATGGTATCTGACTAGGGGAACATTTACGCGACCGCTGTGGCTGATTTGACAGGAGGATGTTATTGGTTGCATTTAACGCAGCATTGTGATCCTCTAGTTTTCCTTTTTGAAGTTGAAGATATTTGACATACTGACGTGAGATGCCATCAACGATCAGGAACAGAACAAGGAAGTAAATGACACTAGTACCTCCTGAAAATGCTCTAGAGTGGCCCCTTCACTTGGTGGAGCGACAGGTCGGATGCTATGATCTGAATCCTCTGAATCAGACAAGGAAGGGGACTCTGATTTGGACATCAACAGTGGGTGGTATGAAGAAGGACGTGCGAAGACAGGTGCGACTTGACAGACTTGAAGGACAGTTGAACTGTTGAACGGTGATTCAGACTCGGCGTCTTTTATAGAATTGAGAAGACTTGCCTGCACGCACTGCCAGCTGGTGGTCATTGACAGGCGATAAGCTGTATGGGTAAGGCAGTGGTCAATACAGCGGATTAAACACGTACATTACAGCATGACATTCAGCCATGAGTTTGGGCTGTGTTCTACTAGATCATAAGTGGTTGTTGGTGTTGCTGATGTGATGTAATACCATTCACCTTCAATTGAATAGTGTTCACGTGGTACTCGTAATAAGACATGATGGCAAGGAGGTAGTGATAAGCAACAAACAATCTTTGATTGGCTGACTATGCTACTGATGTAATAAGAATCAGGTGCTGACGTCTGACCAATCTCTGTCTCGCCAACGCACACAGATCTCTTTCCGGCGGATATTGCATGTCCGATGAGGCCAGAAACTTTCAGTTCTTTGGTTGTCTAAATATATGAAATCAAAAGGTCATGTAGAGGAGTATGCAAGATGACTTGCCTGTACATCGAATGTCGCGTTAAAACCCATTTGCAAGAAATCCTGATCGTCCTTATTGAACATGTGCAGGAAGCTTTGCTTGAAGATCGACGTAGCAAACGAATCAGATAGAACAATGACACCGTTTGTCGAGTTGGGCAATGATTTCATCTCTAGCAAGCCCACTTGATCCAAGCAACCAGCAAACAAATCGACAGCATGGCCATTGTTGGATACCCTCTTCGCCAATAGAACTAAAACAAAGCAAACTATGATGCCATGGTACACTGTGTCACTGATTCAGGACAAACCTTTACTGCATGTTTGTAGTGCTTGACGCTGTCCCGTTCGATGTCGTGATGAGAGCGAATAGGCTCCTTGAGTTCATTGCTGACAACCATGCCTGGACCCTCCATTGCCGGTCCACCCACGAAAACCATTATACACACACCCATGTTAGGGAAAGTTGTCTGAGTTATGTTGTCACCCGTACGCTCTCCTCACCACAATTGATAAACTCACCTCCAGGAGTCCAACGGCTACACTGACGGCCACACCAGTGCAACGTAAAGCACGCTTGTCATTGGCAACTGGCCAAGGATCACGAGCGAGTGCCTCCAGAATCCCAGTGAGTTGAAATTCACATTGCTGGACAGGAAGCAAGAAACGCGCAGCTCCAAAGGATTGTTGGGGCATGGGTTGGCCGGCACAGGGTGTGGCACGAGTTGTCGTACTGAGTCCAAGCATGTCCTGAATCTGTTTCTGTGTGTACTCCTTGCCGCCACGGAAGACGTATGATTTGCTGCACTCTGCATAGCCAAACTCATGAACTTGTGTCTAGTAGTTAAAGCAATGAGCTTGAATGATGAAAGAACAAATGTATGTATGTACCATTGTGCCAAAGGTAATGAGACCAACTAATGCATATGGTGGGATCAAGCTGAGACTGACGACAAGAGCGTCATGGAGTGCTTTGAGGTCATCGGCATCTAGACAGGTATTGACAACAAACAGGAAGACAGGTGGAGCCTGAGCGGGACGAGATAGTGTGTACTCAAGTGTTGTGTACTTGGGAAGTAGTTCAGCGGGTAGATTAGTGTTAGAGATATCTTTATAATGTGGTGGGAAAGGATTGCGGATCAAGAAAAATGGACAAATTTACAGTTTGCCTCTGCCAATATCGATTTGACTGTATGGCGCATCATTAGTAGAATTTCAGGAAGAGAAGAGAAGAGACATACCAATATGGATTGAGAATAGCATGACAAACTTCAAAGAAGGGGAGTATAAAACAAAACTGTCCTATGATGGAGTGTAGCCATCAATACTGTAATGACTGTGCAGGAAGGGTAGACCATGCGTGAGGTAGGAGGGGCACGAGAAGACTGGAATTAATCACTCAGATGGCGTTAAGATGATCAGAGTGAATTGTTCTCCCAAGAGGAAAGACTGCATACCTCAGTCTATTGACGCTGGAAGTGTAAGCCAGAACTGCCTTGAAGTGCCTTCATGCGGAGGAACATGTCTGTATCAATGGTATCCATAACGAAGTAATCATTGACTGCTTCAGGGTCACTGGCGAGTGCAACACCACGAATGATGGACTCGACAAAGATGAATTCAGAAGATGACTGAGGTTTCGCTCGCACCGACCAGAGCCCCAAATCTAAGTCTTGTCTGCGGCAAACACCAATACCAATGTCGTAAGGATGGATCAGGGCAAGAGAAAGTTCAGTCCCCCCAACTTTGCAGCGGAACATGTAGATAAGATGTGCGAAAAGTGGCTGGTGTTCAGTCTTTATGATGATGCAGTCATATCTTGGTGACCCAAAGAATTTTGGGTTACATTGAAGGAGGTCTCGTTGCAGACGCCAGTCAACCATCGACTCATAATTCACCCGGAGGTATCAAAATTCTGTGATCTGGCGAACCATGTTATGTCAGTATTTAGATTATGGGCGATAAAATGTACTACATGTTAATGCATACCTGGTCACAAGCTTGAAATCTGCTGCATGTCTCGTTCGGCAAGGGAATTGCATCGTTCAGCAGCAAGTCATTGAAAAATTTGTTCAACTTGATTCGAAAACCAAAAAATGCCCTGTCTGTGGCATGTGTTTGCTCGATGGCTGAAAAGGAGAAATCGCCCTGCCTCGCACCCAACTGTACACGTGCTGCATTTACAACATCTTCAGGATTATTGGTTGCCTCAGGCTCTATAGCAGCTTTCAAGTTGTCAGTATACACGTCTAGGTCATTGATCTCATCACGGATAGAAGTTGATGTAAGTTGCCAGTGGTCGTAGCGGAGGATCTAGTATGGATCGAAATCAGCGCATCCGACCATGAGACATAGGAGGCTTGTTGTTGTACATACCTGGGGAGCGACATCTCTGAAATTCGTCCACTGGAGGTAGATAGCTCTCAGTGGGCCATGCATTTTTTCATTTACCTTTGTGTTATAATTCCGTGTGACACCTTTCGCAAGGATATTGTCAAACAAATGTGTAAGCAAATGCTTCTTCGGAAAATTCCAACTCTTTCTGGTTTCAGGCTGTGATTTCTCGATATATAGCTAACAGTTTGTCAAAATCGTCAGTCAGAAGTGCTGCATGTTGCATGACATTGAACCTACATCCATGAGCATTGAGAATCGAGACAAGGCATCTCTTCCGGCTGCAGTGGTATCCTCAGTGTGAACCTCTAGTGCTGCATAAATGTCGAGGTCGACATAGCAACATATGCAGCGTAGAAGTAGATAACCGAGTTCACTATTAGTGCGGCTGAGGACATTCTGTGCCGTAAAGATGATCATCTGGCAGAACAGCGTCAGTATCATAAAACATGTTTCAAATTGAAAAACACCTTTGATATGTCTTCGTGAGCCGAGCCATCGTTGAAATCAACCCCCACCACCTGCAAGAAGTGTTTGAGGTCGCGCCACCTTGGGAGAGCATCAAAACTAAGATGAAGTCAATGACACCTCCGAAACCATCTATGGTAGAAAGATGAACTTCACATCAATCTTAACAATGGCTTCTCATCCCAAATCTTTAAGCCAAAACTGGAGCTCCGACCACAGATGATCGCCCCACATCCCAGCATTATTGGAATGCAGGCGGTCAAATGAAAGTGCTCGGTGAACGTCGCAGTGAGAAACCTTCCAAAAACAATTCTGTGAAGCTAGAAGTAAATTTGTGCTAAGTCTCGACTGGTAAAGACACCATACCTCGACGTCACGCAGTGAGTACGCCTTGAGTTGTTTCTCCTTTTCCTTTTCTGTCAATGTTGATCTTGCCGCATTGAGAATGCCGAGAGACTGAGTACTTGTGCGTAAAGGATGTGCGTCCGACAATACCGCTTGCTGTTCTTGAGGAACCAAGCAAACCGGACACGGAAATTTGCCTTTAAGTCTCCGAATTAAGGACATAACACACCTGTTATCTATCATTAGAGTCAAGAAACCACCTCGTAAGTCTAAGACTTACTGTGCCTCGTAATCGGCGCTTAGAATCAATATTAAAGGCCAAAGAAGGCGTTGTACGTGGTCCCAACATTCAAACCAATATCCACTCTTCGAGTGTACTATGACTGCCTTGAGTAACTTGAGGAATGACCCGTGCCAGACCGCGTTCTTAAAGTTCACAAAACTTTTTTTTTGCTATGTTTTGGATCTTCTTTAACCTGTTCCGAAGATGTGATTGAATGATTACATTCAAGTCGAAGTCTGACACTCACAATCGGCAACCAACCAACAACTCGTCCGCCACCTACACCCGTACCATTGCGAATCTCAACAGGCAAATTTGCAATCCGGACAACAATTGGGTAGCCCTTCTCGGTGTAGAGAATTATGCCTCTCATGGCGTGATATGGTGCTTTACACTAGGAAGTACATAGCACGAACTTGTAGCGTCACTCTGTGCACTACCCACAGCTATCTCTATATGACGCGCAGCTTTCCCGCGCAATGCGCGCCATGCGCGCACCATTCCCGCGCTTCGCGATGTATACGCGCGCGCACGTTCCCGCGCTTGCGCGCCCTATGGCGCCAGCCATCCAGAAGCATCCATCCACTGTCCACCAAGCTCCCTAGTGCGTATATTTCCATTTCCTTTATTAGCATAGTTCCACCTTTATTTTTATCATGCATTCTCACTCATATATATATTTACATACCTACTCGGAAGCGCTTCGGCTCCGCTTGACCGCGCTTAGGCGCGCTATATAAGCGCCAGCAGTACATACTATTACTTACCTTACTTTTTCCCTTTAACTTACTAGTTACTACCCACTTACTACTTAGCAGAATATAGTAGAAAGCTATTCCTTTACATTTTGCACTCTTATATCTCTTATCTTGCTTTATATCACTACTTAAGCTTAGTTTCTCATTTCCGCATACGCGCGCGCACTTTCCCACGCTTCGCGCTAATACGCGCGTGCGTTCCCGCGCCTTTGTACCTTGCGCGCTCCTGCGCTTTCTCGCGCTTCGCTTAAGCGCACACTTCTAGATCCTTGCTGCACTCACTTCCCCTATAGGGTCGAACGCACTTGCTTCTCAAGTAACGCAGACTAGGCAGCGCGCGACCTTACAACTTTTACAGATACAGTCAGGAGCTTCTTTTGTTCCTCATTATATTGTTGTTTCTACATCGGTTCCAAAAGAAGATAGTTTGGCCTTGTCGGCATACAGGATGAACACAAGTGGCTTAGCATCAGGTGGAAGGCGCGACTGTAGCTGTATTTATATTGTACCATGGACAGATTAATCTTGGAAACATACTTGTGCGTCCCAGAATGCATTAGCAGCCCAGGGCTCATCTATGAATTGCACAAACCGTGCTCCGTTAAATTTATAGAGGCGCTGAGCATCAAACACGAAATGTGGTGCGAACCGAATATCTTGCATTAGGTCAAGTGCCCAGTTCCAAAGACAGCGGGAGTACATCGTGTATTCACGAGCCTCACCGTGATGCGGCACAGATATTGTACTGGTCTCAAACTACACTCAATGGCCTATTAACACCGTAATCTACATGCACTGACATGACTCACAGGCGTAAATCGTTCGGATGCCATTTTCCACAATGTACAAACTTCATCATGACTCTGCAAAGTGAAATCTTCTTTAGCGCTTGCAGCACGGCGCATGAGCTCAAAAAGCCTGTTGGTCTGGTCTTTCGTCATCGCTGCAGCAAGCGCAATCTCTGCGACCTCGAAGTCGAGCCGTGTGCAGAATGGTTCCCATGGAGAGGCATGACGAGGCATTGTATCCTCTGTAGGATGGTGGCAAGAAAAATCGGAAAATGGATGAACAGTTGAAGGTATCTTGCTATGTGGATGATATTCGATTTTGATGTCATCCAGCTGAGGCGCCGGGGGTGCATCATCGTTGACACCATCATTGGCATTGTCATGGTGTTGGTGGTCAGAGGACACTGGGACGAAATCTACAGATGATGGGTGGCTCCGGGGTGACGATCCATGCATGTCAATGTCTCAAATATAGGTAGTTAGCTTCTTGCACAGATGGGCCATTTCAATTGAATGTTTGAAACAACTCACCATTGTCCTGGTTTTCCCGTCGAATAGCAACTCCATCTTGCGCTGCCCAGATTGCGATTGGGTTGACTAGCCGTTGGATTCAGAGTTAACAGAAAGATCAAGTGACAGAAGAAGCTGCGAGCTCACCCAAATTCTCCACAGCACGAGACGGTCCAGGTGACTTCCCATCGTCGCGACTCTCGATCCAAAACTTCTGACGTCGACCTGGATATTGTTAAATCATTGGTGAACAACAGTCATTCGACGAGATGAATCTTATGTGCATGAATTTAGTATTGAATATTACTTACGCTTTTTCCAAGTCTCTTGAAGGGCCTCTGTGAGCTCTTCCTCTTCTTGCCTTTGCCTTTCCTTCTTTTCACACATCCTTGTATGGGACATTATCCTGCGCACTGGCATTGTCGCACCACATATTTGGCACAGGACGTCTTCCGAAGCCCGGGGCATGAGAAAATACAGTGGCTCAAAAAAGTGTCTCAATGTTTGTTGGTTTTCATGTAATTGCTTTCTTATGAGTCAGGGTGTGGGAATCTGACTATGCTATAGGGAGGTGTCAGAAAGGTCCACCTCCCAGCTATATTTATGTTCCCTATAGCGTGGGAGGCCGACACTACCATGTGAATATATGGACATTTTAATTTGATGACTCGTTGAGACACTTTTTTGACTTTAAGTTTGACTAATACAATCTTTATAATTCTAGTACTTTGTGTTACCTCCCTTGGCTTTAATCACTGCTGCTATTCTTCTGGGCATACTTTCTATCAATCTCTGACATTCCTCTTTGGTAATTTTTTTCCACTCTACCACAACTCTCTCCCATAGTTCAAATAGCCCCTTTGGAGAATCTTGATAGGCAGCAAGTAGTCTTTTGAGTAATTCCCAGAGATGTTCAATAGGATTAAGGTTTGGAGACTGTGCTGGCCATGATAGAACATTGATATCATGGTCTTCAAACCATTTGGTGGCCAGTTTTGAGGTATGCTTGGGATCATTGTCCTGCTGGAAAATGATGTCTTCTTCATCAACACCTGACTCCTGCATGCTTCTGAGCAGACACTCCTCTAGAATGGAGACATACTGCTCTGCATTCATCCTCCCCTCCACCTCACATAAAATCCCCACTCCATTCCATCCCATACAGCCCCATACCATCAAGTTTCCCCCTCCAAACTTTAGTGTGCCTTTCACCTCTCTTTCTCCTAGTGGTTCTCCTGTCTTTTTTCATACATATTCCTGACCATCTGACCCTAGTCTATTGATTTTGGTCTCATCTGACCAAATAACCCTCTTCCAGTCCTCAATAGTCCAGTGTTGATGCTTTAGAGCAAAGGCTAGTCTCTTCTTCCTATGAGCTGATGAAAGAAGTGGTTTCTTCTTCTTGGTTACAGCTTTCAGGTTAGCTGCCTTGAGAGTATTTCTTACTGTTTTGGTGGAGACAGTGGAGGGGATGATGGAATTAATGAGTTTGGTGGCTTGAACAGCATTTGAAGCTTCTCCAGATAGAATAGAATGGATAATAGCTCTTTTGTCATGAGGGGTGAGCTTAGAGGGACATCCCATATTGATATTTTCTTTGTTTGGAATAGACTTCTTGATGACTCTAGCAATAGTAGCCCTGCTAAGACCAGTTTTGGAAGCAATCTGTCTAGTAGATAGACCAGAGGAGGTAAGAACAAGGATATTATCCTTTTGAGCAGGAGTGATAGACTTCATGAGGATTATGAAGGATTTCATGGTTTAGCTTATACTTATATAAATGTCAGATATTAAAATCAGACCATATAATTAATATGACACCATTTTTTGAAATATTTAGTAATGATATTTTGTCTAGGTGGTCTGATTTATCTAAAAAAAATTAAAGTCAAAAAAGTGTCTCAATGAGTCATCAAACCAAAATGTCCATATCTTCACATGGTAGTGTCGGCCTCCCATGCTATAGGGAACATAAATATAGCTGGGAGGTGGACCTTTCTGACACCTCCCTATAGCATAGTCAGATTCCCACACCCTGACTCATAAGAAAGCAATTACATGAAAACCAACAAACATTGAGACACTTTTTTGAGCCACTATATACCACAAATCTATGGTACAAACAGTAGTAGAACAGTTAGAAGTAGATTGAAAGAGGCAGGATATGTGCAATGGTCAACCTGGTCAATCAGTGACAACGAAATGGATTGTAATCATATTAAAACTCAGCTTAGATATCTGTAATCGGATCCTAATGATGATTATGATAGCTATTATGATGTGATTTTAACGGCCCGTCAGTAGATTAAAACATGTGAGCATTTTGATGCTGCCAGGAAATTTACGACACTATGTGCCTATCTCTGACCCTTATTGAGGTGTTCAGTGCGCCTATTGTGCCTATTTGACTTACTGGTGGATATTAAGTGCACCTATCTCTGACTCTTATTGAGGTGTTCAGTGTGCCTATTTGACTGACTCCTATTGAGGTGTTCAGTGCGCCTTAGTGCACTCTTCTCTTATTGGTCTTCAGTACTCCTATTCAGCTGACTCTTATCTCTACCAGTACTCGCATTTGAGTTTTTAAACGCTGGCTATATGGTGACCACCACTCATACTGCTATGCCTAACCAGAACAAGCCAACCTGTACGTATTTCTGTATGTGTAGTGTACAGGCTGACATAACTTATGATATCAGCGCCTCTTGAGGAGATCACTCCGCATATTCTCAGGTACTGGAAAGCTCGTCAAACTGACAAGAAGATTGTAGAGAACTTGCGGAACCACTATGATACATCTCACTATGGACTAAGGTCAGTCAATTTCCATTGATTAGTACTACTTTCCTAATGTTTGTGGGTAGGATCATGAAGTTCAAAGAGATACGCAACGAAATGGGTCTTTTGCATACCCGCAAGCAGAACCACTCGATTGAATCTATCCACGAAGCTATGGTCGAGCTCCGCCAGGCATACCCAAATGCTGGTGCACGGGAAATGGTCATTTTGCTGTTTCACGAAAAGGAAATGAATGTGTCAAGGTAACTCATTCAATTACCATTGATCTGTAAGGGATTTGACTAGCCATCAAATAGAAATCTGGTGATATCATACTGTGCCGCCTATGAAGCAGACCTTGTACATCAACGAAAAGCCAGTCGCCTTAAGCGCAGGTAGTTCTTGGCTGCTGGTGTCAATGATATATTGGCCATCGACCAGCACGATAAATGGCTTCGATTCGGTCTTGCATTGCATACTGGGGTAGAGCCATTCTCCAGCCATATCATGTGGATCCGAGTCTGGCATTCGAACTGCAACCCTCAACTCATTCTCACATACTATCTCGATACCATCGAGAAACAGGGCCGTAAGTTTATTTAAATAACTATCTATTGCACTGTTTACTTATTCAAGTTGCCCTACCTGGGTATGACAGACATTCCAATGGTGACTCAGAGTGATCCTGGCACTGAAAACTACGGAATCGCCAATGCACATACCATGCTGCATCAAATGTATGATCCAGCACTGCAAGGTACATTACAACACCGTTGGATGCGGACAAAGAAGAATGTGAAACCGGAGATCACCTGGTCTCAGTTATGGTGTCGGTTTACCCCTGGTTTCGAAACACTTCTGGATGAAGGAGTGGAGAATGGCTGGTATGATAGTGACAACACCCTTCAGGTGTAAGTGACCTTCGCTCTAGACCTCTGACATTTTAAGTTTGCTTACAGTTGTGCATTTAGCATGATCTTCCATTGGGTCTTCATTCCATGGTAGCAGTGCGAGCTAGATAGGTATCAGGACCATGTTAACAACACCCTCAAGAGGCCAGATCGTAACAAGGTATTTCAATGGTATTCATTTACATTCATTTAGCACTTACGATCACATAATTTAGGTGCTTCCACACGGTGTACCTAATCTAATATATGAGTCTGCAGAAGATTTTGGAGCTTTAGACTTCAAGGTATATTTTATTTGAATGCTACTTGAATCACATTGTAACTAACTGGCTTATCATTCTACTAGGTAACAGTCAAACAAGATGCTATAGACCATGTCCACAATATCTATGTGAAACCCGATCATCCTGTCTTTTATTTGGTTCCCAAACCACTCAATGATCTTATTCAAGACTGTTATGATGATTTAGGCCGTCCTCCAGTCACTCACCAGTCCGTGTGGACAATTTACTTAGATTTGTATCATTCCATTCAGCACTCTGCACAGATACCAGTCATTGTCGATTCTCTTACAGATGCCACCAACTCGGATGAAGAGCCTTTGCTTCTCCTCGAAAGCCAAAAGGACCTGTTTTTTCATGGGGATACTGATAGTGCTTACTACATGGGTGGTATTCACAGTGGACATGGTCTCAGTATGTTTTTCTCAGTTTGAATTAACTTTGTTTTAAATTATTGTACAACAGATGCATCTGATCATCGCCGGCTGGATGAACTGGCTGAGCTGGATGAACCAGGTGCTGACTTACTCCCTACAGCTCCGATCATAGAAGAGGAGGGTTTGGTCATTACAGGATTCTCTGATGAGGAGGACAATGATGAAACATATGTTTGGTAGCTTACTGTAGAGTTCATTTTTTTGTGTTCTTGTTTTTGTCGTCCTTTGGGCTATAGTAATATGGCGCTTGGCCACACATTGATTAAAAAAAATTGAGCGGGCACAGGTGTACGGAGTCCCTGCATCACACCTGCCTAGTATGGGGTGTCGTCACGCTATGTAACGAGCGCGGCTGTCCTGTCTTCCATAGCGACCAGCTCTTGACACCGAGGGTGCATTTGCATACACTACTTTAGTCGCAATTGTAAATAAGTTTGTCATATTCATCGGGTAGGTCGTCAAGGATGCATTGGTCATCTTAGCAGTCGACTGAACTGTTGTTGCGCGATAGTAGGTCTGAACTAGGGCTCCGTGAAAAACTATGATGTTAAAAACACTCCGCGTTTTTAACATGTTAAAAACATGTCAAGAATGGAGGTCGATATTCAGGTGTCAAAAGGGATGCTCAATTCTTAAATGTTGTTGTTGTTTGCAAGCCAAACACACGCTAAGCATCGCCAAACCTGTCCTAAACAGGACTTGTACCTAACCCTTACGGCGCGCAGCGCCAACACTTTCAGTCTTAAAGCACATCCTAAACCTCAGCAGTGCTCCTAATCTTCGTGGTTCATATCCCTCCATAGGCCTAACCCGCATCTAAACCTTTTTATGTAGAAATGCTAGCAATATATAATAAATCAATTCTATTTTTCAAATGAGAGGTGCATTATATTCACGAACACTACGTAGCACTGGATATACTCTATGGAAAGGGTCAGGAAAGGTTTAGGAATGTTAAGGATTAAGTCTTCTAAGGGTTAGGAACATGAACCACGAAGATTAGGAGCACTGCTGAGGTTTAGGATGTGCTTTAAGACTGAAAGTGTTGGCGCTGCGCGCCGTAAGGGTTAGGTACAAGTCCCGTTTAGGACAGGTTTGGCGATGCTTAGCGTGTGTTTGGCTTGCAAACGACAACAACATTTAAGAATTGAGCATCCCTAAATACCTGTCAATAACCCTAAATATTGTGTGTATCATGTATCTGATGCCTTCGGAACAAGTCATGTCATACTTTGACATTTGAGTGGCTGAAAATCCCGAAATATCAAAAAAGTAGAATAATTTGAGCCCCCCATTGAATGCAAGCACACTACCACCCATGAGTTTCTTCACCACCATTGCCAACAATGATTCACAGCTCAAGCACCTACGAGCTATGCTCACTCACCTCCCAGACTGCATCCCTCTGGGTAACTCCAGGTATCACTTTGAGAACTTCGCACCTGATCCAGAGAAAGTTGAGCTATACGGCAGTGCAGAAGCAGCACTGAATAATGTGTTAGAAGTCACCTTTGCATCAAAGGGCCGCAAGGATGAGTCTGCACCTTGTCCATTTGAGTTTCAAGAGCATGGGCCTGGCCTCATTGCTGTTGTGGATGTCCTTACTGCTACATTGGAGGAGTTTCCAGAGTCAGCATTGCTCCAAAAATGGGCCAAGGATCTATGGTGTGCTGCAGTGTATCACTACAAGTCTGCAAAGAAGAAAGTGGGTACATGCCTTGTTAGAAGGCTCCCACACAGCACCTCTGCAGAATGAATCTGATACTTCGACATTGCCTTTGGGAGGGCCTGTACAATAGGCATTCACTGTAAACTTTAGTGTAGTATTTGAATGAAGACTTTGAGATAATTAATTGGACTGAATTTCTACTCGAAATAATGCTACAGTATATATAATAAGGTACGCTAAATGTAAGTACCCGGACCGTGTATATGTAATTGCGGACTTGTCTATGGTCTGCAAGTCGATGACAAATAATGTCTGTTTTGGACATTACCGGTTATTCGTTCCCTACATGACTAATTCTTCTACATATTACTAATCTTTTCCTTGTTGTGCTCATACCTCTATCTCCAATATGCGCTAACTCCTACACTCCCCCTTGAGCACAGCCTATTCCCATTTCATCTCTCAATCTTTCGAGTCTTGGCCTTGGCAGTGCTTTTGTGAAAGCATCTGCGAGGTTATCGTCCGTTGGTATGTATTCTAACTTTATCGTGTCATTTTCAATGACTGATCTGATAAAGTGATAGCATATATCGATATGCTTCGTTCTAGCGTGGAACTTGTTGTTTGAGGCGAGGGCAATGGCGCCTTGGTTGTCTGAATAGATGGTGATAGGTGCGTCCTTTCTTTTATAAAGTTCTTTCAGTAATGACTGAAGATATAGCACTTCCCTCATTGCAGACATTAGCGCGATGTATTCGGCTTCAGCCGTTGATAACGCTATAATCATTTGCTTCCTCGCGCTCCAAGCTATCGGCAATCCATGCAGCAGGACCAGGTATCCTGATATGGAGTGCCTGTGGGCTTGGCTTGCCCAATCTGCGTCCACATAAGCCTCTAGATCTTTCTCTCCCCCCCCCAAGGTAAGTTTTCCCTTCTTTGTTGCCCTCAGGTAACGGATGACGCGTTTTGCTGCCTCCCAGTGTGACTTCACTGGTTCTCGCATGAATTGCAACAGTACCGACACTGCTAGTGCTATGTCTGGCCTAGTACAAGTTGCCGTGTACATTAGCGATCCAATCGCTCTCTGATACGGTACGTGTTGTTTGGATATTTCAGATTTGGTGCCTGGCGAATGGTCTGACTGTTCTTTTGTCAGTTGTATCCCAGTCTCCATGGGAATATGCGCCGGTTTTGCGTCTTCGAGGCGGAAGTGTTCGACAATTGTGTCAACATATGCCTCTTGCGACAGCGTTACAGTTCACACACTTCGGTCTCTCTCTATCTTGAGACCCAACAACCAGGTAAGCTCTCCCAGGTCTGTTATCTCAAATTTCTGGTGCAACTGATCTTTAAACTTCTGTATATGCTCCAGATGCTTTGATGTTATGGCCATGTCATCAAGCGATACCGTTACGACGGTGTGCTCGTCCTGTTCCCTCCGATAGTACACTGCTCTATCGACTTGCGAGCGTGTGTATCCAGCTTCAAGGAAAAATTCTTCTAGCTCCTTGGACCACTCAAACCCGGCTTGCTTCAAGCCGTATAAGCTTCTCAGCAGCTTCAAGACCTTTCCTTCCTCTCCCTTCTTCAAGTATCCGGATGGTGCCCGCATATACACGTCGTCCTTGAGTGTAGTGTTTAGGTAAGCACTTTTTATATCCACTTGGTGCATCTCCCAATCATTTCTTGCAGCCATTGACAATACTGTCTGAATCATTGTCATATTTGAGGTAGGGGCAAACGTTTCTTGATAGTTGATGCTGTATTCTTGACGCTGACCATTCGCAACTAGACATGCTCTCAGCTTGACTTTCTGCCCATCAGGTCCTCGTTTTGTCACTAAGACGAAATGACACGGTATGATGTTGGCTCCTCTTGGTGCGTCTACTTTCTCCCATGTTCCAAGTTTCTCCAATTGACTAATCTCATAGTCTATGGCCTGTTGCCATTCATCCGTGTCTGGTCCACTTAACACTTCCTTAAGTGTTGGTTCTCTTTGCGCGGCTGCCATGGCCATATATGAAAAATTCATTTGAATGTCGTCTGGTGAGTCTTCTGTTGCTATATTAGCTCTCTCTCCTTCATTCAAGGCTTTATAGTATCCTGCAGGTGGTCGTACTCTCGTGGCCTTGAGTGTTATTGGATCCGGCAGTTTTTGTACACTCTGGGGTGATGTTTTGGGAGGTTGACTTGGTGTTTGGGGGAGTTGGGGAGTTCGTGTGATGGGCTGGGCGATTTTCGGTGCGTTGATTTGTTCTTCCTGGTTATACTCCCCCTCGTCCAGTACATTGTCACGAACGATGACATCTGGTGGGACAAAGCTAACATTGCGTTCTATAGATACCCGTCTCTTCATTGGCCAAAAAATTCGGTATCCTTTGCTTTCATTGTCCACTCCCATGAACAACACTTCTTCTGCTCTGGCTTCGAGCTTTCCATGATCTGGTGAGTGCACATATACTCTGGTTCCGAATTCTCTTGCTGCCGCTAAGCTTGGTTTAGTTTTGTGCATCATTTCGAAAGACGTATGCCCAGGAATGGCACGAGACGGTAAGCGATTCTTTAACCATGCCGCATAATTAATATCCTCGGCCCATAAGAACTTCGGAAGGTCCTTGGCAATGAGCATGGCTCGTGCGTGTTCGACCAGCGTTTGATTGAGTCGTTCAGCCATGCTGTTTTGCTGTGGCGAATCATGTACTGTGAGTTGTCTCATTATTCCTTGATCTTTCAGGTATTCATCAAATTCTTTGCTCAGATATTCACCTCCTCGATCTGAACGAACTTTGTTCAGATGCGCTCCGTGTTGACAGCTGATGTAAGCCTCGTATTGCTTGAATGCGGTAAGTGTGTCACTTTTCTTCTTCAGAAATTCTATCTTCGTCTCCCTGCTATAATCATCAGTAAAACTGATGTAATATAGACATCCTCCTATTGTTGCTGTTTGTGCAGGTCCCTAGAGATCAGTATGGACCAATGCACCATAGGTATGAGATTTGGTTCTGGATTCTTCGGGAAATGACTGACGCGTTGCTTTGGCCTGTGTGCAGGTTTCGCAATATTCTGGTTTTGATTCTATATCGAGATCTAGACCCTGGATTAATCCTTTCTTCACAGCGTCAAGTATCGCAGTCTGTGACATGTGTCCTAGCATCCGGTGTGCCCCGAAAATGGTTTGTTTTGTCTTTACCGCGTGTGCTTGATGCTGATTTTGATCCACAATGCTGTATAACCTGTTGACTTGCGGAATAGCAGCTATGGTCCGTCTTTCTGGTGCTGCTGTCAGGATTTTGCAGAGTTCATCCTCGAATAGGATAGCGAATGCTGCCGTTGCAATACGATTCGTCGAGATGAGTGTAAAAGCCATTTTGGAGTATAGAGAGCATTTTTGAGTGTAATGCTTGTTTTCTTATCTCCCAGAGGAAGATCTATGCTAACATCTCCTCATCCTATGGCTTTGACAATAGATCCATCTGCGGTGTGTACGTCTTGGGCCTCGATTGGCTCAAACATTACAAACTTTGACCTATCTGGGCAAAAATGGGACGTAGCGCCAGAGTCAATAATTGCTCCGCACTTTTCAACTGGTATGTCTATCTTCTTCACAATATTCACTAGATCTGACATTGCGAACACATAATCATTTGCTCTTTTGATCTTGTCTGCAGCGTTTGCCATTTCCTTTTGGCCTTTCTTTGTCTGCCTTGGTCCTTGTCCCTCCTTTCCGCCTCCTTTCCTCCAACAATCGGCTTTATAGTGACCCTTCCTGTCACAATTGAAGCAAGTGATATCTTCACCCTTGCTCGTCGTGGTACGTCCTCTTAGCGTGTTTGTCCTTGCTGTAAACGCACTATTCTTCCCTTTCTTCTGTGTCTTGGCATTGTTTATCTGCTGAGGTTCATATTCTTCTGTGATAACATTTATCAGCTCATACAAGGTAAGCGGCTGCTTCGTTATGCGTGCTGCAGCATTTATTGATGACAGAATTGGTCTGTAGGATTCTGGCAATGATCCCATGATAATGGCATAGTAATCTCTCTCATCTATGCTTACTCCCATTCCTGCTAACGATTCTCGGATCCTTAACAGGTCTCCGAAGTGTGCCGTCATGTCTCCACCTTCCTCGCATCTGGTGTCCTGGAGCTTCCGTTGCAGATCTATCTGCACCATCTCTGTTTTGCCTTCATGGATTTGGCATATTTCTGCCCATATATTTGAGGCTTGCCCGAGGCTCTGGATGCACAACAATAGTTGGTCTGAGACCGTACTAAATATGTGTTGCTTGATGAGTGAGTCCTTCTGTTGAAACTCGTCTTCCTTCTTCTCCTGTTCTTCAATCTCTGTTTGGGTAGCTACTGATTTATTTGGCTTCAGTGCTTGTCCTTGCGAGTCAATCTCGAAAGGTACAGGTTCCTTCGTCCTACCATCAAGATAGCGCATCAGACCTCGCACTCGTATCACCGTTTGGGCCTTTTCCTTATAGGTTATCCAGTTTGTTTCGTCATCGGAGAGCTGGGGGATATGATATAATGATGAGGAGCCGGGGAGCGTCATATCCATGGTAGTAGCAGGGCTCATAACCTGTAAACTTTAGTGTAGTATTTGAATGAAGACTTTGAGATAATTAATTGGACTGAATTTCTACTCGAAATAATGCTACAGTATATATAATAAGGTACGCTAAATGTAAGTACCCGGACCGTGTATATGTAATCGTGGACTTGTCTATGGTCTGCGAGTCGATGACAAATAATGTCCATTTCGGACATTACCGGTTATTCGTTCCCTACATTACTAATTCTTCTACATATTACTAATCTTTTCCTTGTTGTGCTTGTACCTCTATCTCCAATATGCGCTAACTCCTACATTCACTTTGTCGTAGCTCAAACATGTTAGAATAGCTTGAAAAACTGGTTTCTAGACTCTGTAAAAAACTTGTCAAAAACTAGTTTTTAACTCGTGTCAAAAACCCCTCGAGAATAGGCCTGAGTTAAAAACATGTCATAAACCTCGAGCCGAGTTTTTCATGGAGCCCTAGTCTGAACAATTTTATGTAATTGGCTGACTAACTCTGGCACTACTACATTAGAACCCTCTCCACTAAAGGGGTTTCAGGGAACTCGACTACCAACTACCAAGTACACAGCTGGCTTAGATCTATCTTTCAATTGCAACATGTCTCTCACCTCCAGCAAAAGCACCCCTACCCTTTTAAATGACTACACATTCAAAACAGATCTTCTCACCATAATGAGTGACACTGCCCCAGAGACAAATGACCAGTTGAAGCATCATGCAAAAGCCATTCTCCAGGAAGTAGGATCATCAATGACCTCAATCTATCCATATGGGGTCAGCACATATAGGTTATTGAATGCAATGATTGATGGTTCAGAGCAAGCTGGTTTGTCAACTGGTGTACACTATGCAGCAGCTGCCATCTTAGTGGCCTATCAAAAGGGAGAGGCATCAAACTCCTCTGCCTCTGAGTTGACAAAATTGGCACATGATTGGTTCTTCTTTCTTCTCTGGCCTTGTATGTCATTTACTTTGTTCATAAACTGCTGCTCATGATAGCAATGTCGGAAAAAGGTGAAGGGCCATTGTAAGGCCACCAGCTTACAAGTTTGGTCACATGAGTTGTAATGTGCCTTAAAAGGGCGTCTGAGGTCATCATCAGGTCTTGTGATCGTGAGATACAGGTATATGATGAATAACCAATAGCTTACAATAATGTGCTTCGCAATCTTATTGTATCATCACATCATTATGGCTCCCTCTTGCACCTCTAGGTCAAAGTACAATCACTCAGAACAAACACTAACAGGGCAGCATCAATGCCCACATTGCAGCAAAAAATTCAAGACACAGGGCTTCAAAAAGCATGAAGCCAGCTGCAAGAAGCGCAACAACATCAAGAAGGAACGAGAGGCCTTTGCCCTTGAGCACAAACAAGATCAAAGGCGAGGTGAGTCATCTTCTACCTTGATATTGAATTTTACTGACAGTCAGAGGTATCTATTATAATGTATAGCTCGCTGGCAGGCATGTATGGGTATCAGGTTTCCAAGCACCGGCCCATCACAATCACTCAATAATGTCCCCTCCACAAGTGAAGACGAGGAACCAATCATTCCTCCAGGTATGTATTGCCATCTTTTTTAATTACGCACACCTAACACTAATTATTCTGATTGATTCAGATCCTTCATTTGATTTCGATGCCTTGGGTAACATTGACTTTGAGGGTGCCATTGACAATGACCCAGGTAAGCATGTAATTGATTTGTTTATATTACTGACCAATCTTTCTGCATAGTTAATAGCCCATCAGGTTCTGCTGAACCTCCGCCCACAATGTCTGCTCAATGGCTCCTAGAATTCAGAACAGAATTCCACCCTTCTTCTGGTCGTGAGCCCCTCCATCAAGCATTCAATGAATTCAGCATTAATGCCCACCACGAAGAACAACTTCCTGTTGATGAAACACCCTGGCATCCCTTTTGTTCATGCGCTGACTTCGAGTTTGCTGAAATTGCACTGGATGCTGCACTCAACAAATCTCATATCAATGGGCTCCTTGCTCTCATTGGTCACATCTCGAGAGGGGAGACCCAGATGACACTCAAGACTGATACAGATCTCTGCAAGGCTTGGGAGCATGTGACTGATCAGGTGGCACTGGTATGTCACTGATTAATCTCGCAAAATATATTATAGACTCATTTAGTTTACAAAACACAACATCACTGTCCCATATAAACAAGAAGAACGAGTTTATGAGACCCATGCGTTACCTCTCTGGGAGTGGGCGCTCGATTTACTAGGCAACCTGGTGCTTGCTCCGCATTTTGTTTGGGATGCACAACACCTATACAAACATAATGAAACAGAGTTCGAGCATTTCTACAATGAGCCCTGGATGGGTGATCGATGGTGGGATGTCCAAGTACTTTGTTTCATATCTGAATTATCTGCATACACTGACATCACTTTTATTACATCAGTCTCGCCTTCCACCTGGCCTTAAAGCGGCCCCATTTTGTTTCATCTTGTATGCAGACAAGACAAGACTGTCATCACATGGTATGGTCAAGGCATATCCTGTTGTGGTATGATGCGCAAACTTGCCAGTAGGCATATGGCATGGTGAGGGCATTGGCAGCGGTCGCATCATTGGGTGGTTGCCTATTGTACGTTAATACTGACAACTTTTTAATTATCATGAATTTGATGGAACTATTGCAGGTCTCTGAAGAAGCAGATGAAGAAGGCAAAATGGGGTTTGTGAACTTCAAGCATGTCGTATGGCATGAATCATTCTTGAAGCTCTTGGAACTCGTTGTGCAGTACTCGAAGACTGGTTATGCGCATCAATGCTTCGACATGATTATGTGCTGGCTGTTTCCTATTCTGCTGATACTTTCGGCTGATTATGAAGAGCAGTATGTTTTAGTTTTCTCTGTATTAATATACACAAGCCTGGTCCAGACATCTCATATATTGTTTGTAAATGTATGATGTTGCTCATCTGTGGTCAAAATTGCAAATGTCCTTGTCCTGTATGCATTGTGCTGCTTGAGAAACTTCACGATCTATCCGAGACATTTGCGCTTAGATCAATGCAAGACGCAATAGATGCACTCGATACTTACAAGATCAGCAAAGGTCAGGGCGAAGCACTTCTCAAGGTGTTAGGCTTACATGCTGTTTCAGTAAGCTACAGTCTTAGTTATTCTCTTGTCTCCCCTCTTCATAATTATGTTTTACTATTTTACTGGTTCGCACTGTTGATTGGTATCTCCTACATATTTCGTTATTCCCTGCTGCACCTAGCATGGTCAACCAGCCCTCTGGGGCATCTCTCGTTTACTCGTTTGATCATCCTTATTCCCTGCTGTGCCTGGCATGGCCAACCAGCCCTCTGCGGCATCTCTCATTTACTCATTTGATTTTACTTCATCTTTCCTTGCCACACCTGGCATGACCAACCAGCCCTCTGGCATCTCTCATCTACTCATTTGATCTTCCTTGCTGCACCTGGCGTGGCCAACCAGTCCTCTGTGGCATCTCTCATCTACTCATTTGATCTTCCTTGCTGTGCCTGGCATGACCAACCAGCCCTTTGGCATCTCTCATCTACTCATTTGATCATCCTTATTCCTTGCTGTACCTGGCATAGCCAACCAGCCCTCTGTGGCATCTCTCATTTACTCGTTTGATCATCCTTATTCCTTGCTGTGCCTGGCATGGCCAACCAGCCCTCTGCGGCATCTCTCGTTTACTCATTTGATCATCCTTATTCCCTGCTGCGCCTGGCATGGCCAACTAGCCCTCTGTGGCATCTCTCGTTTACTTGTTTGCTTGGTATCTCTACATCCTTTGTATTTCTTATTCCCTGCTGCGCCTGAACTTTCAGTCATGTTCTGTTCCTTCATACACTTCCTGATATGAATACTGATTCTTGTTTACTCTCCACTAGAATGTATTCTGGCACATTGCCCACTCTGACCCTCATGAAGCCATCAGCTTTGACCACCTACATTCCCTTCATATTGGCATGTGGAAACACCTACTTGAGGAGTTGAAGAAGATCTTCAAGTCACTTGGACGTTCTGTGGAGGCAAAGCTCGAGGATCAGTGAGTCACTCACATCGTTGATTCATGTCACTTAGTTCCTAATCGTTTACTGGCAGGGTTGCTAAATTCCCTCGATGGCACAATTTCAACCATTTCAGTACTGTCATCCACATCACATTCAGTGATGGCAACAAGACAAGATGCAAGACCTGTCTAAAGTAGATAACTTTGCGTTTTTCAATATCTATACTAATAACTGACCCACAGCAAACCCTTTATTCGGCATTGAACATATTGACCCACAGAGCTAGCCCAGAAGGATATCAACTCCTCCATGTTATCAGTAGTTATCTGCAATTGGATAGCTACATTGGTCTCGATGTGCAAACAACAAGCACGCTAGCGGCACTCGATGCTGAACTACTTGTTTTCAATACCACGCTTAAGGTAAGCCAGGTGTTTTTCAGTTCCATCAATAATTAAGTACATCATCAATTGCTCGTTCCAGGACTATGTCGAATGTGTGTCGATGTCCCCTATTGAAGATCTCAAACTTGATTGGGACATTCCAAAGACTCACCTTTGGAAGCATGTGACCCAAGACATCTGAATGAAGGGTGCGACACGTAACTACAGTACTCATCCGAATGAGAAGCTTCACAGTCCTCTGAAAGAGGCCTATGAGCACCAATCAAATGGAAAGGAAGTCACTGACCAGGTTTGTTTTGATGTTATGATACCTGATATGTGTTGCTCACGACATAGGGACAATTGTTTTCATTATAATAATAGATACTGTGCATTGATCAACACAAATATGCAGTCAAATTGTTGAGAATGTGTGTGGACATGCTTGATGAACAATGTAGCTTGCCAGACGATGAAGCCAAAGCTGACGAAACCAAAGCAAGAGCAGCTACCTTTGAGGGACACATCAAACTGGGTTTGCCACAACAGCCTGTATCAATCCAGGACATTGAGAATAGCCACGGCCAAAGGGATCATGCATTTCAAGGCTTTCGTCGCACATATTACAGTGACCTATCTCTGTATAATACGAGGGAACAGACGTGCATAATATCCCATATGATACAGGCCAGCGAACCATGGGCCCAGGATAATAATATCCTCGACTATGACGGATGGGCCGGGAGGCAAATTATTCCCAATGGAGGCGGGTGGGCCCATGCAGGGAATATATAGAGTAGATGAGTGGGCCGATGTACATGAATATTAGGTAGACGGGTGGGCCGAGGTAGTTGGATATTATGCAGATGGGTGTATTAAGGTAGATGTGTATGAGATAGATGGGTAGGTACTTGTTATCACATTCACGGGTGGGCCCAGACACATATTAAATTAGATGGGTGGGCTGAGGGTATCATAAAATATTGTATTAGATGGGTGGGCCGAGGGTATTATAAAATATTGTATTATACGGGTGGGCCCAGATGCATATTAATTAGACCGGTGGGCCGAGGGTGTTGTATGGGATGTTGTATTAGACCAGTGGGCCAAGGGTGGTATAAAATATAGATGAGTGGGCCCATGTGTATCATAATTGTAGACATGATGGAGCTGAGGTAGTTGTACATCAACCAAATCAGAGGAGGTAATAAATCAAAGTTACCAAGTTCCCGGAGCATCAGGTGATCTCCTGACATGGCGATGCGAAGCTTGTGTTGCCCTACGAGACACCAAGTTCTGACCACCAGAATTTGAGTCAACTGTACCAAGTTCTGAGTTCCGGGACCCGGAACTCAACACATAATTTAGTTAATACTTTTTGATGGTGCACAGGTTGTCTTGCAGAATGTGGAATCCGGGGTGCGAAGCTTGTGTTGCCCTATGAGAAGCCAAGTTCCGACCACCAGAATTTGAGTCAACTGTACCAAGTTCCGGGACCTGGAACTCAACACATAATTTGGTTAATACTTTCCGTGTTAAATAGCCAACCGAAGTTGAGATGTTTCTGAAGAGAGCAGCAGGTGCTCTTTTGACATGGCCTTTGATGGTGCTTAGGTTGTCTTGCAGAATGTGGAATCCGGGGTGCGAAGCTTGTGTTGCCTTATGAGAAGCCAAGTTCCGACCACCAAAATGTGAGTCAACCGTACTCAGAGGAGGTAATAAATCAAAGTTACCGAGTTCCCGGAGCAGCAGGTGATCTCCTGACATGGCTGTGCGAAGCTTGTGTTGTCCTATGAGACACCAAATTCCGACCACCCAAATATGGGTCAACCGTACCAACTTCCGAGTTCCGGGACCTGGGAGTCGACAAATGAAAATCTGATGACCAGCACACTTCCAATCAGGTAGTATTTCATTGAGCAATGGATAATAATACATCTTTGACAGCGGCCAAAATTATCCATGGCTCCCTTATCTGATCCTCTCTATCTCCACCCCCTATAACACCAAAGTCCGGACATCCAGCATTCAGCGTCTGATTTCCCAAGATTAACATCCAGCATGAACGGTTCTTCCCCTTCCCCTCCTGATAGCATAAACATCTGGTGCACTTGGGCCCTGACTGTGACTTATGAAGCAGGGGAATATACCGAACAGAAATTCAAGGCAGAGAAGACTGGAGGAGGCCCAGTCATACCTTCTCCCAACCTAGACACTGATCTGGTGATGGTGTGTGATCGCTTGGCTGATGTACTCATAAAGGCATATAAAAATCCCAGTGGGTCTTCGTGCAGATTCGGAAAATTCGTTTTATCATTCAAATTCCTGCATGACAGCTCAGATGCAGATGGATATTGCAAGATATAGCAAATTGATCTCCCCGAAGGACACCTGGCATAATGAACATAGAGAGGCGAGGTTGCTTAAGAGGTGTCCTCCTGGCCATGAAGGCAAAAGGTTGGTCGATGAACCTGCCACAATTGTCAATGCATCCGGTGCCATCATTGCATGGTACCTCCCAGACGCCCTGACCAACACCACCCAGGTGTGTAATATATATTGTTACTCAATGGATATTGAATATTAATGGAACCTACAGAAGGAAATCAGGGAGGCCACCGATTTGCTCGCTCCAAGCCTCGAAAAAAGTGTAAGGGCTGATGGCAATTGGCGAACTAATCAAACATTGTTCAACCAGGGCTCGGAAGATGTTGGACAAACTCCTGGATGCATCAATCTATCTCCGGCATGGTTTCAACAGGGACACGAGGTAGGATCTGATGAGATGGTGATTCCGGCAGTCATACTCACCAATCCCAAAGAATGTGTCAGATCCGGAGGTATCTGCATCATTGAAAGGACCTTCCTGCGAGAATATCCTCAAAGCCATTGCAAGGCCAGCAGCCATCGCGTCCGCGGCACTCAGAGTCATGCATCCTGAGCAGTACTGGGCAGGATTGAGAACCTTGTCAAACCTTGGAAATATAGCAGTAAGCAAGGATCTGCCGCAGATGCCGGAGGCCCTGCAGTACTGGGCATCCATGTTTAACACCCTCTCCATCATTTCCAATCGAGAAATCCCCCATCATCAAGACCACATGTCCATTGCTGAATGCTTCGACATTCTCACCACCATGGGGAACTATTCTAATGCTCGGATGACAATGCCAAGCCTTCAGCTGGAGTTCAAGTACAATTCAGGCTGTATGATTGCATTTTCCGGAAGGATTGTGAGACATGGAGTTTATGATGTGGAAGGGGATCAGATTGCTTGGGCATGGTATATGAGGGATGCTGTTCACATTTACGCTGGTGTTCCATCATGTGGATGGGCTAGTGTGGATGGTCCATACAGCGTGTGAAAGATCAAACAAAGAGCAAGCATTGTGACCTATATACATTCCAACAAATGAATACCATGTACCAATAGTTATCCAGACTTCAATACTCAATTTTGAGCATTTGCAAAGTGATATGTGGGACTGAATAATTTGGATGCGAGCCTTGGTATTCAATAATTGGAACTCGTGACTTGACATATGGGAGTCCCAGGTGCCAGGTTACTGAGTCCCAACACCCGGACCTCAGCACGTGATATTTGAGACTGGGGGAAGATGTATAAATACACTTGAATTAACATTTGTTATTGCCATACACATTTGACAAAACCCTGAGCCCCGACATTGTGGACTCCGGACTTGACACTGTTCTGAATACTGAGTCCCGGACGCCCAGGTCCTGAGTCCCGAATTTTGGAGGTCAGGGTTCGGCGACCCGGAGCTCAGCAACTGTGTTGGGTGTCAGGGTATCCAGAGCATTGGAGATAGCATGTGTCAGTATTTTGTGTTTCATGGTTCATGTTTCGTGGTTATGGAATTGGGTGTCAGGGACTCAGTATTGAGAACAGTGTCGAGTCCCAGGTCACGAGCTCCAAGTCCCGAGTGCCGAACCCCAGGTCCCGAGTCCTGAATTTAGGAGGTCGGGGTTTGGCGACCCAGAGCTCGGCAACTGTATTCGGAGCATTGGAGATAGCATTTGTCAGTATTTTCCGTTTCATGGTTCATGTTTCGTGGTTATGGAATAGGGTGTCAGGGACTCAGTATTGAGAACAGTGTTGAGTTCCAGGTCATGAGCTCTGAGTCCCGAGTCCCGAACCCCAGACCCAACAGTTGCTGAGGTCCGGGTCACCGAACCCCGACCTCCAAAATTCGGGACTCGGGACCCGGGGTTCGGGACTTGGGACTCGGAGCTCATGACCTGGGACTCAACACTGTTCTCAATACTGAGTCCCTGACACCCGATTCCATAACCACGAAACATGAACCATGAAACGGAAAATACTGACAAATGCTATCTCCAATGCTCCGAATACAGTTGCCTGAGCTCTGGGTCAGCCAAACCCCGACCTCCTAAATTCAGGACTCGGGACCTGGGGTTCGGCACTCGGGACTTGGAGCTCGTGACCTGGGACTCGACACTGTTCTCAATACCGAGTCCCTGACTGCCCAATTCCATAACCACGAAACATGAACCATGAAACGCAAAATACTGACACATGCTATCTCCAATGCTCTGGATACCCTGACACCCAACACAGTTGCTGAGCTCCGGGTCGCCGAACCCTGACCTCCAAAATTCGGGACTCGGATGTGAGATTTTTGAATGCATAGAATATGTTACATTTTGTATACAATGAAGACTGAATGGGACTACACTCCTTTGCCTTTCCTCAATTTCTCTAACATGTCAGTGTACATCTTCACCTCTCCCATCTTGGCTTTGATGCCCTGATCTTGCTCCTCCATCAATGCTTCCATGCGTTCTTTAATGAACCTCAGTCCCATAAGTGGTGGAGTCAAAGTGTTTTTCAACTTCTCTGGAAGAACCAAAGCATCATCCTCAACATTAAGCTGAAACAGATAAGTCATCAATCAAGGTAATTCAGCTAAGATCTTACCGCCTAATACTGGTAGTGAGAGACACAGGAAGCCATTATTTCATCCCACTGCCAGTGGTTGATCAGGGATTGTGGTGTTTCCAATCCACCATGGACATGTATATGCAAACACAATCTGGGACAGATGTTCTGCAATTGGCTCATCATGAAATGAAAGGAGGTGGAATGAAAGACTGTCGTCCGGAACCGTGTTCCAGGTTAGCATGGGATACAACTTAAGGATATAAGCGACAGGGACCGGAACCACCGACACGATATTCTGTGAAGTGGAGTACTGCAGGAGTGGTGTGACAAATGTCTGCTCAAATTCTTAGCATTGACCAACAAAGTCATCAGGGCAGTGGTAACATACATTCATCTCCCATTGCAGCCCAGCTTTAAAATACTTGATCCGGTCAGAAGATACACCATTGTTGGCAGCTTCCGTCCGATATTGAGAGATGCATGCACGGATGCACAATCCAGCCATTGCCAATGTGCAGGAAATAGTTGCAAGGCTCAGCTTCAGGGGTCGGTAATGGCTTCCAGCATTCAGAGTGCCAGAAGTGGATGCAGGAGTTGCCAGACATGGCTAATACAGGACTATGGCGCTGGCAATACAAGTGAAAGATGGTGAAGATGTGAAGATAAGAATCACTGATGGATGGATATGAAATTCAAACTCCGACATGGGCTGGCCCAGACAATTCCTGGGCCTCAATTGTGTATGTGGAAAAAGGGACTTCATGAGAAAACAATGTTCATTCATCTCCAGCCTCTATCAACACATTTTGTAGGTCTTGAAAAGCTGCCTGTGCATCCTGTGCGAGCAATGAATACATTTGGGATTGCCTTCCAG